GGCATATCTTCTGGCATTCTATCTGACATATCTCATGGCATTTTATTTGGCATATCTTCTGGCATTCTCTCTGACATTCTATCTGGCATATCTTCTGGCATTCTATCTGGCCGTTGAGGTCCAGCGGTGCACACTGAGCTGGGCAGGTCCCAGGTTAAGGTCCAGCAGTGCACACTGAGCTGGGAAGGTCCCAGGTTGAGGTCCAGCGGTGCACACTGAGCTGGGCAGGTCCCAGGTTGAGGTCCAGCGGTGCCCACTGAGCTGGGAAGGTCCCAGGTTGAGGTCCAGCGGTGCCCACTGAGCTGGGAAGGTCGCAGGTTGAGGTCCAGCGGTGCACACTGAGCTCGGACGTTGGCGAAGAGCTTGGCGAAGAGTTGGCAAGGCAACAGTGGACGTGGAAGTGGAGGCAGAGGTGGTGGAGGAGATGCTGGCGGAGGAGGAGCAGGAGGAGCAGGAGGAGCAGGAGGATCAGGAGGAGGATAGCTAGCCGAGGAGGAGGAGGAGGAGAACAACTGTGATAAAATCAAACAACCCTCACCTGGTAGGTGGGGAATAACTTGAGATCCAGTGATGGAGAACTTGAACTCAAGGATAGTGTTTTTTTTGCGAGAGGGGGCATCTGGGTAAGCTGTTGCTAATGACTGTATTTGTTTGCGATTAATTTTCCATCTTTTGTAACTTTTCATCATTCTAATGGATTAACCTCCAACATCCCACACATCTGCCATCTGCAATTGAAGATCAAATTGAAGAAGAAGAAGAAGAAGTAGTGGTCGTCATCGTCGTCATCGTCGTCGTCGTAGTAGTAGTAGTAGTAGCAGTAGTAGTAGTAGTCGTCGTAGTAGTAGTTAGTAATTGTTGTGGTTGTTGGTTGTTGGCTGTTGGCTGTTGGTTTTTGGGTCTCGATTGTCGGTTGTCGGTTGTCGGTTGTGGTTGTGGTTGTGGTTGTGGTTGTTGTTGTTGTAGTTGTTGTGGTTGTGGTTGTGGTTGTGGTTGTTGTTGTTGTTGTTGTTGTTGTTGTTGTTGTTGTTGTTGTTGTTGTTGTTGTTGTTTTGAAAGGGGCATGGGCAGTTAGCCAAAAAACATCCATTTGGAAAAGGATTGCGTTCAAGATGACGATTGAAAACACAACAATGTTCGAATGGCTGGAAGGGCGGCACCCCAAAAGGCTGATCCGTGTTGATTTGCAGCAACGTGTTGAGATGTTCAGCATGGATTCTTGCCCGGTGGTCAACATTCCTGTGACTTTACTTCCGACAAGAGGCACCCAATCTCAGAGTGACCAGATCTTGACTAGAGACGAAATCTTTTGGAAATGGTTTACTATTATACTATTAGAGAATAAACAAACTGCCTTTTGTAGCAGGCTGTGGATTAGTGAATTGATTTTTCCTATGGTTGCAGGGGTTTCTTGCATCCATTGACTTCTCCGTTCCACTTGTAGGTTCGGATGGGTTTCTCTTGTGGGGTTTTCCACAATTTGAGGAACTGCCATGATGTTTGTAAGAAGTCTTATGTGTCGAGGCATACATACTTGCTATAAACACATGATATATGGAATGTAAGTATCCACACTTACACACATGAACCGTTGTCAGTGAATTATTAGCTTGCGTCACCTCCTCGTTGGTCACAGCAAATCACCGTCACAAGGCTCCGACCTGGTCCTGTGAACAGCGCCAAGATGGGAATGCAAGCCATGCGTGGTTCACCAGTTTGACTCAGACGATGCGCGCCAAGTCGAGCCACGACTTGGACGTTGACACAAGGTCAAGATATCCTGTAAAAGGGGCATATGAAGCATATGGGACATGGGTCAAGATTTGGGCCCCTGCGAAGACACTGTTTTTTCACTTTTTGTTTTTTGTTCCACGCACACACACCTTGACTTTGCATGGCTTGGGCTCGGCTTGGAAGCGGCTCTTGGGTTTCTGGTTTCACCTGGGTCTAAAAACCCGGGTCGCGCGGCGTTTGGACCTGGACGTGCAACCTTTGATCTCCAAAAGTGTCGGAAGCAAAGTGGTGACGGTGATAGCCGAACGATGCGGAAAGTGCTTCACCAAATCGAACAACATGTACATTCTCTACTCACCCTCTATTTACATTTCAAAGTGGATTTTTGCATTCTGGGGCGGCTTCAAATCCCCAAAATGAGTGCGTCAAAAAAAATTGGGAATTTGAGCCGAAATGGCTCCTTTGACAGACTAGCCAGTGAATTTAATGAGCAAGTTTGTGGGCCCGAGTTTGGAAAGATCCCAGGGACAAGTCTGACTACGGGTGATTTTGAAGCGGAACCATTGGCTCTTTAGCAAACATCGGGGATTTAACAGCAAAATAATCGGGACACAATGGGAGAGAATGGGATAAACATGGGGTGGAATTGTCTCAAGATTTTGGGAACCCTGCCAAAGAACCTGACCTCCGAATTTTGGTTCCCTAACATCAATGGCAGTAGCTGCAGGATCCGCATGAAGCACGGTACAGCACCGGGTGACCATAAGATAACTCCGCAAGCCACCAGGTTTTGTGGCAATTTCCATATGGAAACATGCTGTTTTTCTATGGATTTGATGAGCCAAAGATGGCTGTGAAGCATGGCCTCCAAGAGCCTCTCTCTCTCTCTCTCTTTCTCATTTCCAAGCTTTGTGTAGTTCATCCCCGTAAAACCTTCGCCACCTCATAGTGCCTGCTTTTCCAATCTCGGGGTGCTTGAACTGTTTGATTTTGCCCGATTTTGCCTGGAACACTGCTTAACCCGGAACACATGTGATGTTCATGGAGGAAATCTGCTTGGCGGTTTCAGATTTTTTTACCTTTAGGGGATGAAGACCCCAATTGACTTTGAAATTTTGGGACGACTAAACCACCAACCCTGAAAGGAATCGCATCCCATGGCCCAGTTTCCGCTGTGTCTTTTAGCCAAAAAGCTCGTCTGCGCGCCCTGCGCGCCCTGCGTGCCCTGGCTGGAGGCCATGTTTTGTGGGAGAGAAATGGTGGATGGCTTCAAAAACGAAAAAATGATAAACACATGGGGATCCGAGCAAAACTGGTTGATCTGGTTGCTTGTGATCTATTGCGAACAGTACTTGTGCTATGCCCCCATCGTCTGTCCGGACAACATGGAAACCTCATTTTGCAAGGCTCTGCTAGTATTCTGTAGCTTTATTGTAGTTTGGGATCAAGCAACTTCATGTCCTAGGTCGGGGGGACCGTGACCTAGTTTCTCGCCTTTTGCAAATGCCTTGTGCTGCTCATTTGCTCCTTATTACCTCAGTGAAGTAAGTAACGTCCCCTTTTCTTCTCCTCTGCAGACTTCAAAGTTTTGAATTTTGAAGTTTAACGGTGGAGATTTCATTCCCTTGTGGAAGTAAGATCAACTAAGTCGGGTCCCCTTTTCTTCCCACTTTTGAAAGTCTTAAATGAATGTGAAGTTTCATCGGTGGGGTGTCCTTTCCCCCTATGTGAAAATGCAGATGGCCGAGTGAGTAACTGTGGCGTGATACCGGTTCTGAGCCTACCAGTTGATCATTGGACCATTGATTTTCCTCTGGGTTTGCTGCTAATCCCGTTGATGCCGGGACAATTTCAAGCTATAGTTTAAAGTAGAAAACATGATTTCCTGTCTTTTTTTCCTTGAATCAATCTCTTGAGCTAGAGGAAAGCCAACCTCAGGAACAGGGGCTTGGGAGAATGACATCCCTGATCTGAAAGCCCATGATCGGGCAGAATAGTTCCCAAATTCCTCTTCGCAACTCTTCAAATGGCCTGGTTGTTGGGGCAATCACTCAGGAGTTGATAGGGGATAATGTGGGAATCTTCAAGGCTTTGGACAAACCTGGATGGTATGCCCTGCTAGGCTGCGATTTCGGTGACGTGTCATGGCGGTATGGGGCCCTGGAATTGACATAGAAAAAGATTTGCTAAAGATTCAATGAGGGTATATGATGGGCTAAACCAACAGTGACCTGGAGGTAATGGGGTCTCGTTTTTTTGGCATAGAAGATGCTCATGATGGTCAGGGTGATCTGAGACGCGTGCTGCGAGTCGTCTAAGGATGGGAGTTTGGCCGGGCACAGTATTCACGAGGCCGGAAACACCTATGTGTTTCATGGTTTTTCTGTGAATCCAGGTTTCTCACATGTATTGTTTTTGCGTGCGTCGTCTTTTTTGAGCTGCTGTCCCTATACGGAGGAACCAAAAAATATGTTCATTTTACTTTTCCATCTCTCCTAGGGTTCCTATAAATTCCCAATCCTGTCAACTTGCAGGTCACGCATGAGACTTTGGGTCTGCTTTACTGTAGGAGGCGAAGGTTTATCTTTCCAAGAGCCTGCGAAGATTTTAAGATACATCAAGAGTCATCGGGTGGAAGTATGAGGTCACAGGCTGGGTGCACAGTAATACCATGTAATAAAATGCATAAAACATAACGACATCTACATGTATTATGCATATGTTCTGCATTGTGTATATCCATGTACACCTATACAGATGCATATTTTCTGCAGAAACAACAATGTCGCGACAAGCTGACAGGTGAAAGACTTAAGCCTTCCGCAGCAATTGTACCTCTACGAGCGCACCCGACGCTTCAAGGTGCCATCGTAACAATGGTGCAAGCCGTTGCCGGTACCAAAGGGCTATCAGAATCTAATAGAATCTATCATGAATAATCATGAACAGTACGAACACTACGAACATCACATCACAAGCATCACGGCCATCATCGTCATCGTCATCGTCATCGCTATCATCAACAGTGTTAAACGTCAGCAGCGTTTCCATCAGGATGGATGATCACAATAATCATGTTTCTCGTTTCGATTTGTTAGCGACTGGGACCCCAAAATAATTGAGGTGAATTGGCCAGACCACGCCAGACCCATGAAACATGGACGCCTGGTCGATCATGTTAGAGCCATGCTCAAGCCTTCGGCTAGAGTGTGAGCGAAGGTTTTCACCCCAGAGAACGACCTGGATTTTGCTGCAGCTTGGGAGCAATGGCGGCACGCAGCTTGCGGAAGGTTGTGTTGGCCATCAGTGCCTCTGCTGGAAAATCAGGGTGATGCTGGAACCTATGAACACTGATTTTAATGGAACAATCTTGGACACAAATAAGCAATCTAGTAAGTAATCTTGACACACACACACACACGCACATCTCACTAAAGAGTTTTCTACAAACTGAAGCGTTTTCGAAGCACGTCAATGTGTCAACTCAAATGCGAGACCATACCTGAGCTCAGCAGCCCCACTTGGACACTTCAGCCCAACTGGGTGGAACACGAGCCCTTTTTGCGCACCGTCGTGGAGATGCCCTTTATTCCCCCAATTCGGCGTTGAACATGCCATAACCGTTGTTCCCTCCGACGGGGTGTTCACGCGCAGACACACTTCTAAATGTGCATTTTGTATTTTACAGTGTTTTCTGCTTCTCTACAATGCTGCCCTGGGGGGGGAGGGGGGGGCAGGAACAACTGATGTAACTGATGGTACATGGGGGGGGATGTTAACGTTCCATGTAACTTGCTCACGTTGTTGATGCTACGCCACGCTGGGGGTGGGGGGGGATGTTAACGTTCCATGTAACTTGCTCACGTTGTTGATGCTACGCCACGCTGGGTGGGGGGGGATGTTAGCCTCTTCGCAGGAGGACGCTGACTTCTTGTTCAACTAGCTAAACTTCTGACTCAGCAAAGATGACAAACCAAGTCGGCCGCGCGTGAACAGGCCGTCCGACAGTTGTTTCACTTGGCCTTTGGATAAACTGGTACTGTATTGGTAGATCTACTACAATATATATATATAAATAAAATATACACACATCATATACATACACACATAATATATATATATGTATATATATTACATTACATTACATTACATTATATTATATTATATTATAATATATTATATTGCATTATATAATGATATATTATATTCTATTATACTATATTAAATTATATTATACTATATTATATTATATTATATTATATTATATGATATTATATGATATTATACTTTATTATATTATGTTGTATTATATTATATGATATGATATTATATTATATTATATTGTATTATATTATATTATATTGTATTATATGATATTATATTATATTATATTATCATATATTATATTACATTATATTATACGATACTATATTCTATTATACTATATTAAATTATATTATACTATATTATATTATACTATATTACATTATATTATTTTATATGATATTATATGATATGATATTATATTATATTATTATATATTATATTATATTATGTTATATTATATTGTATTATTTGTATTATTATATTATATTATATTATATTATATGATATGATATTATATGATATGATATGATATGATATAATATCATATTATGTAACGTTATTTTATATTATATCATATCATATTATATAGATTATATACTATATATAATATGTTATATATTATATGAATATAAATATGTAGACACGGATTTTGGTTTATCCCATAAAGTATCCGATCAACATCTTCCCATCTGAGGTGTCTTTGGCTCACTGGCTGAGAACCTGGCGGAGATCAGTCCCTCGATTTGATCATTGGATGAACGGGAGAATTTACTGGAAAGCCCCATCTTTAATGGGAAAATGGATGGTTTCCGGTTAAGATTTTCCTTTAATCGAATGAGAAGAGTTATGTATTTTTTCGATCAGCTAGTTTTTAAAGACAAACTTTGCTCAAGAATCCTGAGTTGACATTTGTGAGGACGATTTCAGTCGGATAATTGGAGGATCGGCTTCCCATTCCGAATTCCTTGCACGTAAATATGGTTTCAAAGTGAAATGTTTGATAGCCAACGGGCATGTATTTTTTTAATTTTCTTTACCGCAGCTTTATTGTTGCATTCCAAGTGCAGCGAATCGATGCCAGGTCCTGGGTTTTTGAACCTTTCAGCGAATCGGTTGGGGGAAACCAGCTGGTCACTAAGCGGCTTGAGCCGACATGCTTTAGCTGTTTTCTATGAGAGGTGACCAGCTAAAGCATGCTTCCAGACGGAGCTTGACATGCCAAACTTAGCCGCTAGCCAATCTCTTCGAGATTTGGTGATGTGTTGATCCTCCGTTTCTGGATTTTGCTCAGCCTACTTGTCGGCAGTCATATCTAGGCAGTTCATCATATGCAAGTAGGAATATGGTCACTGTCACCCTTCAAACTGGACAGTCAGAGACCAAGTATGACCAATTCTTGTTGGTCTTGTTGAGCAGTTAACGTCCAAAAAGATCAGCCAATTCTGTCATTGTTGTAGCCGGGTAGTTCACCTATGTTCACCTCACCTTGAGCCGAGGCCAGCTCTTTCAAAAGGTGGACAGCTCAAAGCCGCTGACCATGCTGAACGCACCGGAAGTGGAACCATGGTTCAACCGGCCGATTCACAGCGTGTAAAGGGGTCAGTTGCGCGTCATGGTGTTCATGTTGCTGTATTTATTTTAGCTAACAAAATGGTCGAGGAGTACCACGTCCTTGTAAAAATCTGTGTTTTTGATATCTCATTTTACCCAGGTACATAAAGATCCCTTCTTTTAGGTCTTCAAATAGCATGATGGAACCATTTTGCAGCTTGGCATCCCAATTCACCATTGATGTCTGGCCCAGTACGCGTAGCGAGGCCGCTTCTCCCGCTGCAAACGTTGGCTCGGGCGAAAGGGATCGAACCACCTGCCGCGGATGTGACTGCTACCACCGCTGGATGGGTCAGGACGGTCGCTGCTCGAAATGATGCAGATAGATCTAGATATACGAGATATGCCCGGAAAACAAGAAAAAATCTGGTGGTTTCAAAATGTTTCAAAGATCTTTTCCTTTTCCTCAGTCCTCCCTATTTTGGATGTTTTGGATGATCCCCATAGGATGTTTTTCAGAGGTTCAACCCCCAGCTCAAATTGGATGGTTTTCACGAGCCCAGTCAAGTCAGACTGACCCGTTGTGCCCTGGCGCAACCTTGGTTTTGAGTGGAAAGACACCATTTTCTTTGGCTGGGATGGTAGATTATGGAATTTTCCATGGAAATTGTATGGGAAATCCATGGAAAATCCAGTTTTCTATGCTTTTTTTCCTTATTTCCGGTCTTGATTCATGACTCTGCAATTATGTTGCATACCCACTTGTGACCCATTCAAAAGCGCTATATCTGCGGAAATTGGAGATGTTGGCTCTTCCCAAGATTTCGCACCAGTGGATCCGTAGAACTGAGACAAAGTGAACATCGGCGTGTGTCTCAACTTTTCCTAAACTCTTCAGAATCAATTTCCAAAGTTTCCAAAGTTTCCAAAGCCCAAGAGGCCCCAGAGGCCCAAGAGGCCCAAGAGGCCCCAGAGGCCCAAGAGGCCCCAGAGGCCCAAGACTCCCCAGATTTCAATCTCTATTTTTTCCCGAATTTCCTGGACAGATCGAGGACTATGCTGGGCTGACTTACTGCACGGAGTTCACCGATGCCAATGAAGCCACAGCTGGGGAACCGGCCAACATGCGTTGCTTGGTGCATGACTCCCACTGCGAGGCCATGGGTTGGGGCTAGGGGGCCCATTTTCCCCCATGAAAATGATGTGAATTTGGAGTAACATACTTTAAAGATCTTTAAAGGACAAAGCCGCATTGGATGATCGGCTGGGACCCCAGATGTAAGTTTGTTTCCATGGCCTATACCTGGCGGTGTCCCTGGGTAATTGCTTTCTGGTTTAGGCTTCACTGGTGGTTTGGCGCCGATTTGAATTTTGCATCCAGGAATGTGGTCTGGGATTGTGATGAAACTTTTCCCAACTGTCACTTTCCTGTCACTTTCCTGTCACTTTCCTGTCACTTTCCTGTCACTTTCCTGTCACTTTCCTCTACTTTCCTGCCACTGCCAGGGTTCAGCGGAGGGCAGATGTGGCCCAAACTGTCCTCGCTACACCACGAATGGCTGTGAATGTGCCAAGAGCTGGGTGCAGGAAGGTCACGAGGAGCCGGGAGGCGTTGGTGCTATTTCCATAAACCTACTACCCTTCTGGAACCATTTTAGTTCAATGCAGGGCATAGACATAATAGATACCACCCTTCCCATTGGTTGCTTGAAAAAAGAGGGTCATCGGGGCAGCTGTTGGGTTCAGCTGGTGTAGCTATGAGTCAATGAGTGAAAATTGATGCCCCACCGCAACTTTCGGGGACCCAAAAATGTGAGCCATACTCATAGAAGCCTGATTTCAGTTCTTTTGGTGTTGAACCAGGAAACCTTGCATCATTTTTTGGGTCATTGTGCATTCCGTAGGAGTGCCACGACTCCTGCTGCAATCCTACAGGCTGGGGGGTTCTGAGGGATTCCGATTTGGATCTGACATATTTTGGGAGCAGAACTTGGACATTTTGATCTGTTTTCCTACAATTTTTCCTACATTTTTTTCCCTCTTTCTGGGCCTAAGCACTGCCCAAGCTATCAACCACTGGCATTTCAGCTCCTGGGACCTGGGTAGTTACGGTAGATCAGTCGAAGACTGAGAAATGGTAGGCCTGGTAGGCCACCTAAAGAAACCCAGAACAGTTTGGACATGTTTGGACAGTTTGGACACTTATTGCTATAGCTATTGCTATTTCATACTATTTCATGCTATTTCGCCATAGCTCGCGGATTAGTGGTGTGTTTTTGCCATGAACGGAGGACTATACTATCCTGCTTGCAAAACGTACAGTGTATCCAATGTTCGCCATGCATTTGGAAGTCAAAACTAGGCAACTCAAAAAGTCCTTTAGTAATGCCACAAATCTGGGATGCCCAGGCTCAAAATCTCAAAAAATCCTGCTGTTAGGTGATTTGCAGACTGATTCCTGGTGTATGGTGACTTGTCAGTTCCTTCAGATGAGGTGGACGGTGGCCTCGAACAGTTTAGGATGCAGAACAGTACGGTACTGTGTTTCCCCTGTCTCTGTCGATATCAGAGTTTCCCCAATTTGTGTAGACACCTGTTGCGAGAATCCCTTTCTTAGAGGATTGCTGGGATTCCAAGCCACTGAATCCAGACCGATGCCTCAATGGACATGAGGCTGAAACCATTGGTCTTTTGGATTTTAGACGATCCCTGTGTGATGATTGGTGAAGCCGACAATAGTCTGACACGAGTCTTCCACTTCTTGACAATGTGTGGTATTGGGTTTGCAATGTGACACTATCATACACTATCAACAATAAGCCGCATGTCAGTCCAATATAAGATGCAACCACAAAACATCACTATGGAAATCCAAAGTAGTCTTGTCCAATTTCTACTATTATTGTGAACGAATCTCAAGAACCTTAGGGTTAGTATCTGTATTGCACCACAATCTTTACGGCTCACTTCTTTCTGTCCTGCAGGGGCTCATTTCAGTGTTGAGGGTCGGGTCGTGTAGGGCTCCATTGGATCTTGGGGAAACCTCTCACAGAATAGTTGAACTGAACAAGGGATAATCGGGCTGGGAAATCCTTTGAATTTGATGGTCTAAAACTTGAAGCAATGGTTTCCTGTTTCCCTTTAAACCAATCTATTGATCTCATGGAACCTTCGGACGAGAAGATCAGTGACGCCTCATGGGCCTCATGGTTCATCATTTGTCACGACCATGGAACACATCAATGTGTCACCACTGACTGTGGAAGATCGTAAAGCTGTTTTGAGCGGTCCCTGCGTCCCATGCCCATGGGCTTAAATCATGGTGTCTCCAGATGCTTCTTTTGCCGGTCCCAACCAACTCCAAAAGGCTCGCAGGGACATGCTTATTCACGGCCTTATTCACCCTATCAAAGCATTTGTTAGTTATATAAGTAGGACCGCAGCATTATGCTATAGTTACTACTGATAGTTGACCAAGGAACACCTTTTAGACGAGAGCTGCAAGAGCTAAAGCTCAATGATGGGACGTTGGGCAGGAGACTCCAAGGTATAGGTAGAGTGCACCACTGTTCTCTTGGCCTTGTATCGCTCAACTTATCACAAACTGCTCTACTTCGTGACATTTATGCCAACATTTATTCTGACATAACTTTTGACACGCCTTCGGAGATTTATCCTGACGCAATGACACATGTCTGCTTCACCCTGCTTCACCCTGCTTCAATGTTTGGATCAGTTCCTTTCTTGGGATCTTTTGAGACCAGGATGGATAGGATGGCTTCGGGCGATTTCCACCGAGGTCACTGACCCAGCCTGTCAGGGCATGTCGTGGGGCCCTTGCTCTCCAGAGCCCATGAAACATCCACACGAGCGGTTGACTGCGAAGGGCTGTAAGTGCTCCAATGGTTGGAGTGTCAAGGTTGGAGAGGCCTCCTGGTGGCAATGGTGGCAATGGTGGCAATGGTGGCAATACAAAACCCATCCTGAAGAATCATCAAAAAGGTGGCCGGGGCTCATATAACCATCGAAAAAGAGGGATTTGCATAGTTTAACCTCATTAAACCGGGGCATATAGAGGGTATGACGGTATGACATTAAACATCAGCAACAGATGGGGCCCTTATCATGAATACATCCCATACCAAAAGCCATGTGTAGTTTTATTGAACATCATTTGCTTGACAGAATCGGTTCAACTGTTCTTTATTTTCCATTCTGAAAATGGGATGATGATTCCAAGTAATTATATGATACTCCTTGGATGGGTTGACACCACCACCAACCAGTGATGCAAAAAAGACTCACCCTCCCAAAAAAATGGTATGCATACGAATATGTTTTGTGTGCACGTGTATGTACATATGTGCGTATGTGGATGTGCGTCGATGTGCGTCTATATTTTGGAACCCCCCAAACAAAGGCCGTCCATATGGTTTTGACAGTGTTGCAAATTGTCCAGAATCTGGCAAGAGAAGTACCAATGTGTGGAGGAATACTCCAAACATGCTGAGGTAAGAATGAGTCGGATTTCTCTTAGTGTTTGCTCTCTGCAGACAGCCTTGATGCTAAACTGAGGAATTGGAGTATTGTCATACCTTTTGCTGCACCCCGGCAGGCTTAGGAACCTTGGTTCTAGAGGAGTCACCGGCCAAGGTTTCAGACCCTGGAAGGCGATCCAACTTTGGTTTTTCAGTTTGGTAGGGCTGACCTCCATTTTGAGCTCTGAAAAAAACACATTCTGCTGGCAAAGAATCCATGGCTGGGTAAACTATCATGTCTGCTGGTTAATACCTAATTCTTATGATTCTACCATTTTAAAGGTTCAAGCAAGTGCTTGACCCCGAGCCATTTCTGTTTGACAATGTGGGGAAGGCATTCAAACTCATGGCTCAACAAGAGTTGGTGACCTATATAAAACCAGGGTAGCACGGTTTCGACCCAAAGCCCAGTGAGTTTTTGAGATCTCTAAACAAAGACTATTCGGATGAATTATCATGACAATGGCTATGGTGATATTGATGATGGTGATGATGGTGATGATGATGTCGGTGGTGGTGATGGTGGTGGTGGTGGTGGCGGTGCTGATGATGATGATGATGAGGAGGAGGAGGACGACGATGACGATGACGATGACGATGACGATGACGATGACGATGACGACGATGATGACGATGAGGGCGATGGTGGTGGTGGTGGTGGTGGTGGTGATGATGATGATGATGATGATGGCAGCCGTGGTGGTGATGATGACGATGAGGGCCTTGACGATGATGAGGATGAGTCAATCGTGTATCAACTGCAGGATGAAACTTAGAGAGTTTGTAAGTATGCCTTGTGGCTTTACTTCTATGGAAGTACAGATTCCGGCATGACACGTTGTAATCCAAACCTGACCTTGACCGTGCTGAGACAGAGCCTTCTTCCAACCTAGAATGAACCACCAAGTACCCTGCCTCGGGCTTTTGCACCATTTTCAACACTGCAATTCATTCTTTGGATCATCCTTTCGCTATGTTTCACCCATTCTTGTCAATTTCGATGCATCCACCATGTTGAGACAACCCAAGTGCCTTATGAATTCTTATGACTTATGACAAACCCCTTTACCTCTGAGGACTGGAAGGTGAAGTCTGCGTCGTTGAAGATGAAGGCTGTGAAGGCATGAGCATCGGCCGCTGTAAGGCATGACCTCACGATGATCTTTAGCAGGGCCATCATCCCAGAAATGGTAAAACTATGTGAAACATGGCTATGCTCATTTTAGGTATTGCAAATGACAGATAATTATGGCTGTTTGCCGGGATCAGATTTCCGTAATTGCGGAGGTTCATTCCGGTAGTAGAAATTATGTTTTTGTTTTTGTGGGAAGCATGAAGAGAGTTTGCCAGGAAACATGTCTTTTTGAAGCATTTGAAAAGGCAGCTTGATGGCAAAAAGGATGATGCTTACTCAGTCAGTGGCCGCTATCTACCTACCTACCTATCTACCTATTTACCTATCTACCTATTTACCTATCTATCATTATCTATCTATCTATCATTATCTATCTATCTATCTATCTATCTATCTGTCTATCTGTCTATCTGTCTATCTGTCTATCTATCTATGGTAAATGAAAGGTCAAACATGATCAATCATGGGGATTGAATCGTGCAGCAGCTGGTTGCCGTTCCTGGGATGAAGATCCGTCGCTGTGCGGTGTGCGGTAGCCGCTGTAGATCGTGTAGATTTAGGGCCCTCTTCGGCTGGACGAAATGACATCAGTCAGAAGGTGGCACTTCGTTTGTAGTTAACCACTGAAACTGAACTTAGACTTAAACATGATTCATTGTAAGTACATACCTCAAACATGCTGGACCAATGAACAAGAAAACAATTGGTCAGTTGTAGAATCTTAAACCTTTCAATTCTTGGGGCCACGCAATGACGTCACCAGAGATGGTGATTAGTAGGGGTAACCATCCAACAGTCACCTTATTTCAGGTTGGTGAACTCTTATGCATAGTTCAGCCAGAACAATGACAAGAACAGTTGTTTTCCTCTTTCTTTCTTGAGACGTATTGATCAATGCTGGCGCATTTGCTCGGATAGAGGACATGCTTTCAGGAATTTTTGTACGCCCCGATCCACAGGCCCTTTGGTAATCCACCATGGCTGGAGATGGTGGTTTTCCAGCCAATCAGATCGACTTTGCGGCAAGCCATTGGTTTTTCCCTCTGACACATTGGTGTTGACTTGCTTTGATTGGTTTGCTGCTACCTGAACAACAGTAAGCTGACATCAGTTGGACAATTCCACTCCTAGGTCCTCTATCCTGGAAGCAGTGCGCATTGTGTCACCCCTTGCAGAATTCACAGCAGATGCGTCCTCGGCTGTGCTGGCTGCGGTTCCCTTCGGCAACAAAATCTCGAGTCAGCAATGAGGTGGAGATTGGATGCTTTGAGAGGTCCATTTCCATCCTGGGATGATCATCTCCCGTTTCCATCCATTTCCAATAGGGTTATAACAGGGTTATAACTGACCCTCCTGGTGGGAGCACGTTTCTGCATGCCCTTTCTCTGTTTTTTCTTATGATAGTGGTTTGTGGCTGTGAACGTGAGGCAATGATGGAGAATTTGTCAAGTTGAAGATGAACTACAAAATAGCTGCAGTTCAAGACTCTAGCATCCCAAACCCGGTATGCTCACCTTTGGCAATCTACTCTAGCAACGATTTTGCATGTGAAAGCCAGGGTCCGTGGAGCAAAATGCAGCATCAAATGGCCAACATTTAATAGGTACAGACATACGGACGTGTGGATGAGTTGATTTCTTTCTGTCAAAAGTCTTCCGTGGTGGTCTGCTGGGTTTGACCTTGCGACAGGAACGCAAACGCATCAACAGCTCGTCGGAGCGCGGAGTGGACACGGAGTACGGCCGGGAACTTGGATGTGTCCCCCCGTGGAGCCTTTAAGGCAACTGGTAGCCCATGGTAGTCCATGGGGTAGCCCGGTAGCCCAATGACCTACGAGGTTCGAAAAGGTCGGACTTATCCCCAATTCCTGCTGGAATGTCAGCTGAAGAATCGGTACCGAGATTTGCACCATGTGGGCAACGGATGGCAACGGTTCATATAGATGGGGAGATCAAAACGATCAAAGCATGTAGACATGTTTGCTCCTATCTAGACAATTCTAAGCATAGGCTGGCTATAAATGTTCAGACTTGTTGGTCGATATCTCAAGTATGACTTGACAAAAACAGGGATATTAAGTATGATATTAGCTAGCAAGAACATGCCAGTTTCTTTTCTTCTGGAGAAAGCACCTATTGTTTCCATAAGCTAAATAATTATTGTTGCTGGTTTCAGCCCGTCGGTCGTGGATTGACGTCCAGTTTTTTTTGCGAAATTAAGATGGACCATGTTCAGGACCCTCTTGATTGGTGGCAATGTGTGGAGAGGGATCCTACAAGCAAATGTGGATAGGATCTGCTTGTCCATATTTGATATCCCCGCACATAATGGTGAACCGTAGGAACAGGCCCGCAGCCTCGCCCTGGAAGTCGGTTGTTTCTGGTCTAAACTTTCTTTGCTAAACCTTGGTGGTTGGGTAGGTTGAAAGTAGACGTGTGGCTAAAAACGATGAGTCGATGATTTAATATGATATCATGATATCATATGTATGCACACTGCATACAGAATTACAATGAATTACACAGATATTACACAGATATTTATGTAGATAATTGTAGATAGATTTACACATATTTACAGTGTACAGTAAGTTACACTGTATGTTTATATCAGTGGATTGGGTTTTGGGTCAAACATTTAAGGCTCGCAGGAGGCACCTCCCTTGTGTGAGGCACATGGGGAAACGGCCATGAACCTACCATGACTGGGGGGTAAACATAGCAGTAAACATAGCAACCATCAAAATGCTAATTGGGATTATTTAAATGCCAATTGGGGATGGTTTATGATTTTTTGGTTTACCATATTGTAATTTTTGTCATGATTCGCTGCTGAGTTGTGACAAAGCCAATTGGGTATGAGTCAAAGATATTCAAAGCTTGGGAACCGGGGAACCTTTATGGACATTTATGCTGATTTTTTTTGGTAGATCATTTTGGGTGGTTCTCGCGTGAGCACCATTGAACCAGATAGATTGTATGACCGCCACGCGACCATCAATCAACCGCGAGAAAAAGGGATGACACTTCCTGAGTTTTGAAGCTTCATGCCAACACTTGCATTGGTTCACATTCCATCCTTTTAGTTTTGGACATTCCACCATTAAACCAGGAATATGACACCATATAAAGCACAAACATTTCCGTGTTTTTTGGACGCATTTTTGATTTAACATCCGTGGCGCCATCTTGGTGACAGTGTCAGTCACCACGGTCGGCGAAGGTCCAAGGATTCGTCTCAACAAGATGTCCCATGGTTTGAAAGGCGAAGGACCCAATGTTCTCATTTCTTAAATACCAGAACAAATAGAAAAAGGGGATGAATGGGGTATGTTTCACTAAGTTTCTGGACAAGACCATGTGACAAGAGCCAAGTGGCACGAGGGCCCACATGTTGGCCAATTTCTGTTAGTTGGAAACCGATTTCGTTTTTTGTTTCCAGCATTTTAAAATCCTGTTTCTTCAATGTTTTAGCTAGCTTTTACATTTTTTTTCAATACATGCCAGGGCTAAATGATTTTGACGCCAAATTTATATACAGTCACTCATTATTTTAGAGTGCAAAAACACAGATTTCACAGCAGATGTCCAGTGTTGCTTGCAAATGGGATTCAACTGGGTCAACCTTTGGTTTAACCAAAATTAAAACATAGCCCTGATTGGGATGGCCATTTCCAAAGCCAGCATTATCTCAACGGCTATCCGGCCGGAAAGTCATATCTTTCCCGGCCTGGCAGGTCACCGATGGAGACGTGGAAGAACGTGTGGACAATCCTGACTCCACGGTCTATCTGATCTTCATGGAGGTTCACCACTGGTGAAGGGGATGATCAGCCTGTTCCAGAGTGACGTCCACAAGATTTGTTGATTTGTCGAAGTTTCATTAAAATGTTTCCACAAGATCTCTTAGTCTGTCAGGCATCGCCCTCATTTTTTTCACAGCACACGCAGGGCTCCACACGAACGCGGGAATCCCTGCGGAACGCGGCGGTGTATCATGGCGTGAAGGTCAATGAGTTTCAGGCGCCTGGAAAGAGTTGGAGTCGAGATTTCGAGGTGATATGGCATCGTTTCTTTTTTTTCCCGTATGTATGTATAATCCGTTTCCTTTTGGGGATATATGTGTATATGGAGGTTTCCTAAAATGGAGGGTAGCCCTATATCATCCATTTATAGATGGATTTTCCGCTATAAACCATCCATTTTGGGATATCACCATTTATGGAACCCCATAATATTCAATACAATATAATATGATATAATGTAATGTAATGCAATGTAATGTAATTAATGTACATAATACAATATAATGGAGTATGTAATATAACTATACATATATATATATATATAACTAATACAACATAATATATTATGATATGATATGATATGATATGATATAATACAATATAACATAGTATAATATATATATACATAATATAGTATAATATAATATAATATAATTTGATATAATACAATATGATATGATATGATATAATATAATACAATGTGCTATCATATAATATAACATGATTTGATATAATATGATATAATATGATATATGGTATAATATGATATAATATGATATATGGTACAATACGATATAATGTCATCAAATAATATAATATAATAAAATAGACAGTAATATAATATAATATGGTGTAATATAGTATAATATAGTATAATAATTGATATATTGTATATATATATACACACAGACCCCGAGGTTTGCCCAAGCCCAGAATAGCGTAAATACCAGGGAATTCTGTATGACATCAAACAACGGGAAGGAATTTATGTTCAATTATGTTGCTAGGGTGTTAACCAAAACATATTGCTTCTACAAATCATATAACTAGAACATGTCGCTTCTACATATAAAATGAAACAATCCATACAATCATTAGGGTTTCTTATAGGGTTTCAAGAAGATATTAAAGTTCCCCGGCCCCATGGGACAATTAACCATACAATCATTCGGGTTTCTAAAAGGGTTTCAAGAAGATATCAAAATCATAATCACCATCATCATCATCATCATCATCATCACCATCACCATCACCATCACCATCACCATCATCATTGCATCTTGGCTTGTCCGGACGCTCGTTGCGAGTCCGCAAACCTCAGGGTCTTGCCGTATATATATATATATATAGCTCTGAGTCAAATTGAACCGTCAGGGATCACAGATGGATCGACGGATGCATACTCTGGTTCCAGAACGAAATTGAGTCTAACCCCCCTGTTCAAACCGTCCGGATCACTGCAAAACAATCCAGACACAATTTTAACCCACAACCATATGTGTATTTGTGTACAGATACATTGTATACATATATGTGTACATACATAGAACTTATGATATATATATATATATCTATACATACATATATGTATATATATATACATTTCCATATTTATAATATTAAACATGCACATGTATAGGGACATACAAATGCATACAAGTTCCCCCCCTACTGGATCTGCATAAGTAGAAGATCTTGCAAGATCCAAGTGTCCTCCATGCACATATACATATGTATGTATGCCTATGTACATGTGTATGTATATGTATATTTAATATGTGTATTTGTATGTGTCTGTATTTGTATACGCGTACGCACATGCGTATGCATGTATATATGTATGTGTATCTGTATTTGTGTATGTGTAGGTGTAGGTGTAGATGTATGTGTATGGGTATGTGTAGGTGTATGTGTACGTGTAGAAGTATGTGTACGTGTATGTGTATGTGTATCTGTATGTGTATGTGTATGTGTAGGTGAAGGTGCATGTGTATGTGTATGTGTAGGTGTATGTGTATGTCCATGTGTATTGTGTATCTGTATGTGCGTGTGATGTATATGTGTATTTCTATATGTACATTTATATACGGATGCAACATATATACACACCCGTAGCCGCACACACACACACAGATACGCATTTAAACTTACACATGTACGTATATAGATATGTATATTCACATGTATATACTATTAATATATATATATATGTTGTATTTAATGTGTATATATATAGATATATATATATATATCAAAATGCGCACACACACAGAGATAGAATTCTCCATAGCCAACTTATTGGCCCTCAGTCCTCTGATGCACTTAGCTGTGGCAGGCAGAAAGCTCAAGCTTCAAGAAGAACGAGACAATTACAGTGGCCCAGCAGCATCGCATCTGAAAACCAAGACGGCTTTGGGATTCGAAGATGTTTCTTGAATCCAAATGGTTTTTTTCAAGGCATTTCATCCAGCATTTCGCCAAGGACACGATGAAGATGCTGTCCGTGTATTCCACGCAACGAAGTGTCTTCGTAATAAGAAGCGCACTGGAGGTGCAGCTCGCTGGACCCACTGGACCCGGACTGGACTGGACACACTGACGGTCACTGCCCAGGGCGTGTGCAGTTGGCTACGAACTGCCATGAGTGCGCATGCAAGGAGGCTGGAACTGAGAGTGGATCCAGCATGATCCAGCCACATGTTGGCTATTGAGCCTTGGATAGTCAATCCCAAACGTTGGCTATTGTTCTCTTCCTCTGAAAAGCCTATAAAGTCACACAAATAGTCATATACACATGATAATATCAGATAATTATATAGTTTCATGATTTATGTACGCACATCTTTTTACACCTGAAAGAAGGACAGGGTGGTTGATTTTTTAAAATGGAATCCTGTCCTACACAACCAGATTTCAACTCTTGTTTTCCAAAGCGAACGATTTTGTAGGTGCACGCTTTTCACTAGAACATGGTGGCGAAACCATTTCCAGAATCACATATGTTCATTGGTCCAAGTACATTTGGCATTCGCAGCCTACTTTGCCCAGTGAGGGTGTGTATGGTGGATTTTCGCTGACAGGATGGGTGTGCCAACCCCTTCCTTCGTGAACGCGGGAGATGGCTTGTTCACCCATCCCATCGGCGAGTTTGTGACCCGGCATTCATGGACCACGCTTCTTTGGGAAATCCCAAAGAACATCCTGGTGTTTTTTTTTTGGGATCAAAGACGATCAACGAATTTTGAGCCAATCCAAAGATATCCAAAGTATCATCACCTATCAAGATGATCAAGGATCAACCAGTCATCTGAAGTCCTGGAAATGTGCAAATCTGAGGTGGATATCCTTTCCCTCTTGGAGCACAACCAGTGGGACCGTTCTGCCCGGAGTCCCATCTTGGATTTGATGCAGATCCCGAACTCTGTTCATCACGGCCATGATTTTCATGCCATTTTCAATTGCAGAGACGACATATCTCCAATCCAAAAAGGTAGTCCGCCGTTGGTCATTGGAACATTGGTGAAATGATCATCCTTGTGTTGTCCATGGCAAGCATGGTCTCAGATCGTCTCAGATGTTTGATTCTGAGTTTGATTTTGATATGAAACACTTGGATTTTTAATTTTGAGATCATGAAAATCCTGAAACATAAAGATCTTGTCATAAAAGATAAGCCAAACAGTAGAGCAATGAAAGTTTATGGCAATCTCACCAGGCCAAGTGACTGGTTGTATTGTGCCTGGGATACGTTGCTGAACGATGAACCCTAGGACAACACGATACTGTAGATACTGTTGTTGGTGATAGCAGTGATAGCCCCATGGTTTCTTTCATACAATATCCATCAATATCCATTAATATCCTATTTCAATCTATTTCATGTTTGGACGCCCGAGGCGGTACACCTCGCCTTGGTGGGTGATTTGGCACATGGCCGCACGGCCCATTCCAAGGCGTGGGTGGGGCTTTTTGGCCGCCGGTGCACCGGGAAAACCGTGGATTTCACCAGAAAAGAGCAGGAGATACGGCAACCAGAAAGAGGGAGTCAACCCAGAACTTAGATTGTTTTGCAGCGAAACGATGATTTGACTAGCAAACATGAGGATTTGGCAAATATGGAGATTTAATTAGCAAGAGTTAATTTAGGAAAATGACACCAGCAACGGGAGGATATCTCCCCCTTCTGCAGATGAAACAGGAGAAGCTGGCCACTCCTTTCTCATTTGCGGGCTCAGGCTCACCCCTTCAAAAGCACCTTGACCCTCTGGCAATCTAGATAACACAGCAATGGAGATAACATGGGAACAGACAGTGCCCACATTTATAGAAGATTTGCCTGTAAACATGGGGATAGATTACAAACTATACAAGATAGTTGGTACTGGGACGTTGTTGAAACTAGTGCTGCCAGTGAAAGGGGTCTGAAAATGCATCTTCGGGGATTCCTTTGAGGTGCAGGGACTGCAGATCTTCAAAAAGGCCAGCGGTTCGATCATTTCATGTGTGTTTGGGAGAAGCCATCGGGCCGAAGCCGGTACGTAGCTGGGCGGTTTCACAGGTCACAAATTCTCACAGTTTTGACCAGTTTCTCCCAAGAAATTTAAAGAATGGGATGATGAACATATTTTGCAATAAAAATAATGATAATAATGATGATAATATAACATAATATAACATTCACTTCCATATATTCACATCGGATTGTAAGTGGCCACCGGCGACCAGAGATATAAGAGTTTGAAGTTATTTCTTGGCAGATGTGGTCCAGGGATGTTCAGGGCTCGACATGCCGCTTGGAAAATATCACCTGTAAATGGTGTTGTAACTAGACCAGGTTGAACTGAACTACCAGTAAAATAGCCTTTCAGGCACTGAGTAAAGCTCAAGTATGACTTACATAGCTGGTAAAACAGGCTCCCGAAGTATCATGTGACATGGGAATACATGGGAAGGGCTTCCGATTTGGGTCTATCTCAACTATCTCAACCCCCAATTTGTGATGCTTGAGATCTCCGAATCGGTGCAGGTGAGGGTCGATCTGGTGGCCCCAGAGATCTTTGGATATCCGGTTGAGTACCGAGACAGGCCAGGCAGCGAGGATTTGCGCCATTGGAAATGATGGCTTATAGATTTTAGAATATTTAAATATATTAATGATAGTTAATGTTAGATATTTAATATTTTATGATAGTTAATATTTTATATTCTAAATATTTAATGATAGTTAATCAAAGGAAGTTGGGAAGCAATCTTCCGAGTTGCGGAGGCTTTTTGTGATTTTTGCTCTAAAAATGGTAAAAAAACTGGTATTTTCAGTGCTTTGTGACAAGAGTAGTTAACCCTTATTTGAGAGCAAAAAATAGAGTTCGCCTCCAAAGGCTATCATATGCTGTCATAAATCACTGGCATCTACAGACTCTTGTGACAGGATTCAATTTTTCCTGTGAGGCTTGCAAAGAACTACAAACAATTAACACACAACATAAAACATCTGCTGCACAGCATGCCATAAGAATGGGTAGCTGCGCATCTTGGAACAGAATATACAGTAGCAATAGTATACATACATTGTATACAGAAGCATTTGCGCCACATAAGAAGTATGGTGGGAAGGGCATACATTATGTAGGTGGATATACACAAGCACATCTAACACTCTGGAGGGAATGTTACAACTCAAGAAGTAGGTACATATCTTGTTTGTTTCTCATTGTTATCTGGCAGAGTCTTGTCAGCAGTCTCATTTCAATAGTTAGAGAGAGAGAGAGAGAGAGCCAGAGAGACAGAGAAGTGTGTCATGCTGTTGACTATTAAGATCAGGCAACCTGTGTGGTGGCATAGCTATTCAAAGATAATGGTATGTTTGCTTCTTTGAAACATCAGTTTAAAATATGGCCAAGATCCAAATATGCACAATCTATATAGCCTGCACCCAAGGGGCAGTTGCAGTCATTATTGTCAAACATAACTATCAAACAACTATTTACATATCAAATTTATCAACAAATAAAGTAATGGTTATCACTGAAGAAGTTGGACACATTTCCTGTTTGCCATCCTGTATCTTATCTTGTAGAGCCTTGTCGGCAGATTCATTGTAAAAAGATGCTGCACTCATTATTGAACAGGCTTTTGAAATCCAAACATGTATCATCTAGCCTGTAATCAAGAGGCAGCTACAATTGCAATACATCAAGGCGATCTTAGCAATAGATGAAGTAACAGTGATAGAAGGTTTGATGAAATGTTAGCTGTGTTTCTTGATTGTTTTTGCTGCTTGTCAATGTTTTGTGAAGTCAGAGTCACCAAACCTGCACAGGCACCTAAAAAACAACAACAACAACCACTAGATGCACCAAACCTGCACAGGCACCAAACAGACTAAAAAAAACAACATTTCCAGGAACTATGGGTCCACTTCTGAGTAGTTGCTGGAAATTTTGTTCAATGTTTTGTGAAGTCAGAGGCACCAAACCTGCACAGGCACCAAAAGAACCCAAAAAAACAAACCACTACACAGGCACCCAAAAAAGCAAAGAAAACACCATTTCCAGGAACTATGCGTCCACTTCTGAGTAGTTGCTGGATTTTTGTTTTTTTTTGGTGCCTGTCGATGTTTGGTGCATCTAGTGATAGTGGTCTGTTTTTTTTTGGTGCCTGTTAATGATGTTTTTGTATATCTCATGTCAAGATCATGATGAAACATATTGTGTTTTATTATTTTACTAGAGTTTTAGACCCTCCAAGTGCATAAAGCATCGGTATTTACAGTGTTTTATCATCATTTTAAATGAAAATTCACTCCCCCACGGGGTGCTGCCCTCCAGAATTATCATTATTATTATTGCTATTGCAAAATGTGTGTGTGTGTATATATATATATTATTACCTAAGAATAGAAACAGGAATCCCCAATTCCCATGGTTTATCATCTGGGGTCCTCCAAAGTTTGGAAATCTCTCCCGAATTCTACTGCCATAGACCTGATAGCTCTGGGATTTCCCAGTCTTGAATGCCTAGATCAGCAATTTTTCTAGCTACACCCTCATTCTTGGGTGACATCAGATATCCCCCCATTTTTCGGCTGGTTCCCATCTCATCTTGGAAAGCCATCCCAAAAAGCCTGCTTCGTGGTTTCAGAGGATTTTTTTGCTATCTCTGGGATGGTTTCTCCCAACGTGGATCATACAATTTTTTGGGATGATCCCAGAGATAAATATGTTCTCCCATTCTCCCAATAGATCAATCTTTTTTTGGGACAGGCAAAGAGCAGCAAGCCGACCCCCCCGAAAAAGACATCCGGAGGATGCGCGCCAATGGCTTTGAAGTGAGGGAGTTCGCCTCTGTCGAGGATCTTTGGGCATTGAAAGGGTGGATTTTCTGGAAGATTTTGATGATTCTATGCCTATTTTCAAGGGAAAATCATTTTCAGATGGTTCTCACATTCCATTTGACCACTTAAAGTCACGGAACATGGCAACCGAAACTGCCATGTTTAGAGATAAACTTCCCACCAAAAAGACATCGATATTCCATTGCTATATACTATACCCTGTTGTAGTGTAGCTGGGAAATTAGCTAACAGATGACGTTCCGAAAGGTTTGTTGTTCCATTGCCACAAGGAGTTCGCGTTTATTTTTGCATCAGAAAGTTTCACCCCTTTTTCCAGAACTACACTTGAGTGAAGCAGTGATCAATGGAGACTGTAGTTACCTGTAGTTTCTGTATGGATACTTAGGAGATCTTAGGAGTGTCATATCACAGAGAATTCTCTCAGTGGATGGATCACCTTTGTTTGAACCATGGAGGGATCGCCTTCATCGACACATGGGGAGAACGCAACTCACCGGCAAAATCTGTGAAGAAACGAAGGTGGACCTGGTTCCAGCACAAGTGATGGGCCCTGATCCAGATCATCGCGGTGAACTCTCTCCCATCACTGCTGGCACATCAACCAGTCGAATGGGCTGGAATCACCCAGAAAAAGCTGGGAGCAGGGCCCATAATTCATGCTTCAATGTGCAGAAAGTGAATTGTAGCTGCAGACTGAATTTCGAATTTGTTTTTTCCCCAAACCCGAAATCCCTGGTGGTTCTTGGTCATAGTTGTGTGGCGATGTTTTATTCTGTTGTTTGTTGGGGATCACAGTCATCCACTATGGGAATCCGCCCTCCAAGTCGTGGAAATTTGGGGATGTCAGGAGTACCTTGAAAATGCTAGCAATGTGGCAGATGTCTGGTGCGCCGGACACCGGATTTTGGGCTGCGCTTGGAGTTGAAGATTTGAACATCACTCTTTGGTGACGTATTGGTCAACCTCCCAAAAGGTGACAGAGGAAATGAAAGGAATCATGTTAAAAGGACCTGTGGAGTGTGTGAGGGGCAGAGTTTACATTGATTTGATAACCTGCAGATGGTAGTTGCTCCAAAACTCTGCATTTCTTAGCGATTCCTTCTTGTACCATAGAGACACATACTACTTAAGGACCTAGGATAATTGCTCGCGGCCTCGACCTCACAAGTGAAGGTCAATCTTGGGAAGACCACAAACAATGCGCCCGTAAATGTGGCGGCTATGGCTATGGATCAACATTTCTTGCCCACAAAAACCACTGATGTTGGTCTTTTCTACATATCCTGATCATTCCTGACCCATATGCATATGTATATATATATATACATATACATATGACATATATATATATTACACATATATATATATATATATATTATACACACATATATACAATTGTATGCACACATACGTGTTTCTTCTTTTTTAAATGCACATATATACTCATACATATGGTACCCTGTTTGCTATTTCCAAAAAGGTAGATTGCCAACATCTTTTGTTTTTTTTTGGGGGATGGGAACCAGATACACCGCCACAGTACCCCGGCTACCCGTGACCTATGCGTGGGGCTGGTGTAGTATCTCTACCTGGATGGGGGAATTTGCAGGCATATGAATGAACAGAATTCAGCAATAAATGTAACACACATGTGATTCCTGGAAGAATTTTATACAGACAACATTGCAGATAATCTGAGTAGTAGAATGTTTGCGACTTCGCGACCATTCTTGAAAACCATTCTTGAAAACCATTCTTGAAAACCATTCTTGAAATACGAAATAAGTACCTCAAGTCACTCAAGTTTTTTTTCGCTACAGCTAAAGAAGGGACGCAGAGGTCAAGTTGAACGGCCTTATCCAACCGTGTTTTGCGCTCCCCAAACGTAACAGCGTCCTGTCACTGAGAGGCCGTTCGGGCCAGGTACTTTTACAAGCCGCAGTTCTCCAAATGCGGGGTGGCTGCCTGAGTTGAGCCCCTGGTGTAACCACTGATATCCACTACGCATATCACTAGGCATACATAGACGCAATGTGAAAAATCATGTAACATAATATAATGTATTATATAATGTATTATATATATACATATTCATAGATGTATTAATACCCACAGACGCCTTTTTTTTTGCCCAGACATTAACATTGTGAATGTCGTGCTGTAGAATACGCCAGTGCCCCTTCACCCAGCGTGGATTTTGGCCGAGGATCTGACGACTTTGAGGCTCAACGAACTGAGAGCCCAGGCGGGAGCGCCATGCCGAGCTTTGCCTTGACCGGATACATAGATAGACCTTTGAGTGATTTTGAGTGCTTGTATATATATATATAGATAGATACTGTATATAGACATATATATGTATATATGAATAATATATATATATGAATAATATATATATATATGAATAATATATATATATATATGAATAATATATATATATATGAATAATATATATATATGAATAATATATATATGAATAATATATATATATATGAATAATATATCTATATATATGAATAATATATATATATATACGAATAATATATAAATATATATATATGATTATTATATATATATATATGAATAATATATATATATGATTATTATTATATATATATATGAATAATATACATATATATATATGAATAATATATATATATATGTATGAATAATATACATATATATATATATGTGAATAATATATATATATATATAACATAGACCCGGGCAAGCCGGCGGCGGAAGTTTCCCAAACATAAATGACCTATAGTTCAAAGACACCCTGTCCCGACCGTGTCCTTCCCTCGACAACCGTTTGATTTTTTCAGCGAGAGACGAAGCAAAGTCTTCACACTCCACACTCCACACTTCACACTGCACTCTTCGCACTCCAAACTTCACTTCACACTTCACACTCCACACTTCACACTTCACACTCCACACTTCACACTTCACACTTCACACTTCTCACTTCTCACTGCTTCCTTCACACTCCAAACCTCACACTTCACACTTCACACTTCACACTGCGCTCTTCGCACTCCAAACTGAAACTTCACACTCCACACTTCACACTCCACACTTCACACTTTTCACTTCCCACTGCTTTCTTCACACTTCACACTTCACACTGCACTCTTTACGCCCCACACTTCCCACTGCTCTAAACCTACGTGCAACAAAAAAAACACTAGTGCCAAAATGGAGAAAATCTGCTAACAAATCCATTTCGCAGCCTTCATGCAGCCACTCCAAGACGATTTCCGAGATCCAGCTGCAAAAGACAATAGTATTACCAATGCAGCCACAGCACGAAGCAACCTTGACGCAGCCATTACAATGCGATCTGCAGAGACTGAGTTGCAAAACACAATAGAACTACGCGCAACGGCGTCGGAAATTGTAGCTCCAAAACCGGATCTCGACGCCAGAGCGAAAAAAAGACGATTTTGAAGCACTTTTTAAAAGGATTTTTAGAAGGAAAATCATTAGCGCCAAAATGGAGAAAATCTGCTAATAAATCACTGTGGCAGCCTTCATGCGGCCACTCCAATACGATTTACGAAGTCCAGCTGCAAAAGACAATAGTATTACGAATGCAGCCACAGCACGAAGCAACCTTGACGCAGCCATTACAATGCGATCTGCAGAGAACTGAGTTGCAAAACACAATAGAACTACGCGCAACGGCGTCGGAAATTGTAGCTCCAAAACCGGATCTCGACGCCAGAGCGAAAAAAAGACGATTTTGAAGCACTTTTTAAAATGATTTTTAGAAGGAAATTCACTAGCGCCAAAATGAAGAAAATCTGCTGACAAATCACTGTGGCAGCCTTCATGCAGCCACTCCAATACGATTTACGAAGTCTAGCTGCAAAAGACAATAGTATTACCAATACAGCCACAGCACGAAGCAACCTTGACGCAACCATTTACACTGCGGGAACGATCCTACAGTTGCAAAGCACAATGGAATTCCATCGGCCACTCATCCACCAGCAACACTTGCAATCCCATTTACAGTGAGGGAACGATCCTAGAGTTGCAAATCACAATGGAATTCCATCGGCAACTCATCCACCAGCAACACTTGCAATCCCATTTACATTGCGGGAACGATCCTACAGTTGCAAATCACAATGGAATTCTGTCGACCGCACATGCACGAAAAACACTTGAAACCCCATTTACAATGCGGAACCGATCCGAGACCGATCCGAGCATGATCCGACCACACACGAGACCGTCTCGCACCCGTCGCACCGCAGAGGTAGATCATCGACGTTCGGGGACGCACTTTGTCTGGAAAAACACAGGGTTTCGTGCATCTGCTATCTCTCAAAAACGCATTTCGTGCGAGACTTCCTTCAAAACTCCATCGGCAACTCATCCACCAGCACCACTTGCAATCCCATTTACATTGCGGGAACAATTTCTTTGACTAACTCGTTCCCTAACGAACTCTTTCTTTGCTAACTCTTTCTTTGCTCTTTCTTTGACTAACTCTTTCTTTGCTAACTCTTTCTTTGACTACCTCATATATCCTGACTAACTCTTTCTTTGACTAACTCTTTCCCTGACTAACTGTTTCTTTGACTAACTCTTTGTTTGACTAACTCTTTCTTTCTTTGACTAACTAACTCTTTCCCTCACTAACTCTTTCTTTGACTAACTCTTTCCCTGACTAACTGTTTCTTTGACTAACTCTTTCTTTGACTAACTCTTTCCCTGACGAACTCTTTCTTTGCTAACTCTTCTTGTGACTAACTCTTTCCCTCACTAACTCTTTCTTTGACTAACTCCTTCCCTGACTAACTGTTTCTTTGCTAACTCTTTCTTTGACTGACTCTTTCTCTCACTAACTCTTTCTTTGACTAACTCTTTCCCTGACTAACTGTTTCTTTGCTAACTCTTTCTTTGACTGACTCTTTCCCTCACTAACTCTTTCTTTGACTAACTCTTTCCCTGACTAACTGTTTCTTTGACTAACTCTTTCTTTGACTAACTCTTTCCTGACGAACTCTTTCTTTGCTAACTGTTTCTTTGACTAACTCTTTCTTTGACTAACTCTTTCCCTGACGAACTCTTTCTTTGCTAACTCTTTCTTTGACTAACTCTTTCCCTGACATTCTAAAAGTCCGTAACACGGAAGTTTCTCCCCCTAAACTTCCTTTGATGAACAATATATATATATATGAAGTATATATATATATGAAGATTATATATATATATATATTATATATATTATATATATAAATAATATATATATATTCTATATATATAAATAAAACAATATATATATATATACATGTATACATTATATATATATATTATAAGCAAAGAACAACCACATTTAGGTCTTCCTGCTATGTGTTCAAAGACATAATACGTCCCGGTCCATGAGTCTCGCGAACACTGCCAAAACCTTGACGTTGATGTAAAAAATGGTGTCACAGACCAAGTGGTTCACTGGGGGTCATTCTAGTTCATGATTGGAATCCCGCCCTCTGCAAATTTGGATGTCTTTTTGCAGTCCTAAAATGGGATGCTTTTGGAGGCCCCCAAAGATGACTGGCCGTCAATCTGTAGTCCCAAGTTCCTTGAGATTTTCACGAAGTTGGTTCTATGCCCGTGGACCCCTCCCCATTTTATCCCGATAGCCAAACAACCCCCAAGAACCAACATGCTGGGTGTGGTTGGTATTGCCATTTCGACGATGCTTCAGCATCAGGTGTCCTTTCGCGAAGAATGGGTCCATCAATTGCCAGAAGGAACAGCGGTGGTTTTGAGAAATGGAGGGAAAACCCACCGGAAAACATGGTATTTGAGGGTAGAAACCCTGCACAATTTCCCCAAAATCAATCCAGTGCTTCCATCCGTGGGACCAAGTTTAGGCCGTTAGGTAGATCAACCTGTTTTGTCCCTGAAATCCAGAAGTTTTCCATAGGTCCTAGGTTTTTGACGGATAGGTTTTCCACCATCTTTGCAGGAGTGCGTTTCTTCCAAACGCTTCCGCGAGACAAGGCGGATGGGGGATTCAATAAGTTGCTGCCTTCTACGTGTGCCTTCCAGAATTCCAACGACATCATGCCCACGTCATCCCCCATGAACATGAGCTAAGCCACAAGAGCTGACAGTAAACCAGTTTCAATTGGAATTAATGACATGAGTGTAGCTACAGGAGCTGCTACACATGGACACATCATGCCAGCTTGCCCGCAGATCCTGGACAATACCGAAACTATGGGCTCCACTTCCCAGTGACCTCTAAGACTCTAAGATAATTTCGGATGTCAGACCATCATTTGGGATAGGAGTGAAAAACACTTGGACGCAACAACGATCGGCCCATGAGCCCACTCCCAGGTACGGACCACATCGTGGTAGTCCATAGTCTGTAAAGCATATGTCGCCGCGGCTCAAATCCTGAGCAGTTAACCGGGTCTATTGGATTTTGTTTCTATCTAAATCTTGTGCTATACTATATACTGTCAGTATCTGTCAGTACAATTGTCACGACTTGATACATCCACATCAATTAGTGCTTCCCCAGATATCCTCAGTAGCTGGGTGCATCAGGAGTATCCAATCATTCCTTTGACCTTGGATTCGCGCGCGATCAATGGATGGGACACGTCCGGCAGCCCATTCTGCTGATCCGAGCTGCATGTGGCAGCTGGTGGGTTCCATCAATTTTGCATATCATCAAAGGAAGTTTTGTTGGCAAACTTCCCAGCATATGTCACATGAAATTTGCCAGAACAAATGTCGGAATCAATGTCAACATAGGGATCGCATGAGATAGAATATTTGCACAAATATATGTCAGAAGATTTGCCAGAAGGTATGTCAGAAGATATGTTAGGGTAAATATCAGAACACATGTGGGAAAAAATGTCTGGATAGATGTCCGAACATGTAACAATTTCACTTATACAATCAGAATCAGAATAAGTGGATTAATATTACTATATACTATATATATAGGTGTCAGCATTTTTGTCGGAACATTTATATTTCGGTTGGGGTCACACGGAGGAGAGTAAAATCAATGTTTATATACTCTCCGCTAATTTCACATAGCCGTTGAACATTGTACAGTTCTCGATGATTTACGTATTTAAACATTAGCATTTTCATGCATTTTCAATTTTCAACCGCTATATATTTTAGATTACAAGATGGTATATACATTCAGGTTCCAGTATGCTTCCAAATGGAGGGCTAATTATTTTAGGTTTTTTTTTGATCAGGTTTAGGAATTATTTTTGGATTCCTGCTTCTCTGCTTTTCCTGCTTTTCCTGCTTCTCTGCTTTCCTGCTTTTCCTGCTTTTCCTGCTTCTCTGCTTTCCTGCTTTTCCTGCTTTTCCTGCTTTTCCTGCTTTTCCTGCTTCTCTGCTTTTCTGCTTCTCCTGCTTCTCGCCTTTTCTGCTTTTTTGCTTTTCTGCTTCTCCTGCTTCTCTGCTTCTCTGCTTTTCTGCTTTTTTGCTTTTCTGTTTTTCCTGTTTCTTTGCTTCTCTGCTTTTCCTGCTTTTCCTGCTTCTCTGCTTTTCTGCTTTTCCTGCTTCTTTGCCTTTCTGCTGTTTTGCTTTTGTGCGTTTCCTGTTTCTTTGCTTCTCTGCTTTTTTTTTTTGCTTTGCCTGCTTTAAATACTTGATTTTCATGTAAGATGCATTTTGCACAGTATTTACATCCCTGAGTATCACATGACCAACCTTCTCTTGAAAACTAGCAACGTAACATGTGAGAAGAGGTGCTTGCATTCTGCTTTGGGGGGAGGCGCTGCGCCCTCCCCCAATCCCCCCCTCCCGCTTTTTTTTATTTAAACTTAAACCCAAGTTACATTAGTTGGTTTTTGCGAACTAACCTTCTCTGGAAAGCTGACAGGATTACATGTGATAGAAAGATAGATAGATAGATAGATAGCTGGATAGATAGATAGATAGCTTGGTAGATAGATAGCTAGATAGATAGATAGCCAGCTAGATAGATAGATAGCTAGAGAGATAGATAGCTAGATACCTCGATAGATAGATGGCTGGATAGATAGCTAGATAGATACATGGCTAGATAGATAGATAGATAGATAGCTAGCTAGCTAGATAGATAAAGAGGTAGCTAGATAGATAGATAGATAGCTAAATAGATAGGTAGATAGTTAGCTAGATAGATAGATAGCTAAATAGATAGGTAGATAGTTAGCTAGATAGATAGATAGCTAGATAGATAGCTCGATAGCTAGATAGCTGGATAGACAGCTAGATAGATCTAGATAGCTAGATAGATAGTTAGCTAGATAGCTCGATAGCTAGATAGCTGGATAGACAGCTGGATGGCTAGATAGATAGATAGCTAGATAGATAGAAAGCTAGATAGCTAGATAGCTAGCTAGATAGTTAGCTAGAAAGCTAGATAGGTAGATAGATAGCTAGCAAGATAGCTAGCTAGGTAGGTAGATAGATAGCTAGATGGATAGATAGCTTGCTAGATAGATAGCTAGCTTGCTAGATAGATGGCTAGCTAGATAGCTAGATAGCTAGCTAGCTGGATAGATAGCTAGCGCCCTCCCTCAATCCCCCCCACCCGCTTTTTATCTAATCCCAAGCTTCCGCATCTGTAAATATTTGGGTGAACATGCTCACATGTAGAACGTCCCATGCAAAATGGAAGGTGAACATGCCAAAATGTGGCAAATACCATACAAAATGGAAGGTGAACATGCCCACATGTAGGAAATCCCATGCAAAATGGAAGGTGAACATGCCAAAATGTGGCAAATACCGTACAAAATGGAAGGTGAACATGCCCACATGTAGTAAATCCCATGCAAAATGGAAGGTGAACATGCCCAAATGTGGCAAATACCATGCAAAATGACAAATTCAAGTTCCAAACCGTTGCAAACACTAGGCAAATGGTACCAGCCAAGAAATCCAAAAAAAATTCCCAAACCTGCTCCAAAAAAAATTCCTAAAACTATTTCACACCCCTTCCAAATGGGTACATTCAGGTTCTAGGATTCTAGGATGCTTTAGGCATATGAATTTACAAGAGTATTACACGAACACAGATCGTACACAACATGTTCATATTGATGATGAAACGCGGCTTCTGCCCTGTTGTTTTGAAAGAATCGCGTGTTGAGTGACGGTCTGATGCTTTCGGCCCAGTGTCGCGGCCAACGCCTACTTTTTGGATGTGGTTCTCCTCTCGATGCTCTTTGGCCGGGACCCAAGGCCTTAAAACCCCGGGGACCTGAAAAAGGTCACTTACAAGAACAGAATTCCAGTTCACCCCCTGGCATAGTGGGTCTGAAAATACAAAATCCTAATGAACCTTTCCTAGATCAAGAATTTACATTTTCATGCCCGCCACTGCTATCTTTCACCAGCCGCAATGGTTGTCCAGCAGGTATCTGACTTGATCAACTGACAACCAGAAAACGACGTTTCGCTTGTGAACCAAGGAAAGATTGGCCGAAACTTGGCACCACCAGCGGATGAAGCTGGGTTGGAAGCTGAGGCAACTTGATCAGCGATCTTGCTATGGGGGTTTCCAATCCATGGTATCCCACAAAATCATCCATTTTTTGGGATTTAAGCCATTATAAACCACCCATTTTTGGGGGGCCCCCGAGTCGACTTTTTGGAAACCCCCCCAGTAAGAACGCCCCAGTGTTCACTTTCGGTTAAAACGGGGTGATTCCAAAGCCTGTGACCCCCCAGGTTCAACTCGGTGCAGGAGACTTTTTTGGTGGCAGCCTCCGATGGATTTTGGGCCAACGGAATCTCAGGTACTACCTGGCAATGTTTTCTATGTACGATACGGTGTAGCATAGTATAGAATATTATAGTACTATAGTACTATAGTATTATAGTATTCTAGTATATTGTAGTATTCTAGTATATCATAGTATCCTAGTATATTGTAGTATTCTAGTATATATATATATATTATAGTATCCTAGTATATTATTGTATTCTAGTATATCGTAGTATTCTAGTATATAATAGTATATAATAGTATATAATAGTATATAATAGTATATAATAGTATATAATAGTATATAATAGTATATCATAGTATTCTAGTATATTCTAGTATATAATAGTATATAATAGTATATAATAGTATATCATAGTATTCTAGTATATAATAGTATATAATAGTATATAATAGTATATTAGAGTATTACAGTATTATGGTATTATGGTATTTTAGTATAGATATTTTCATGACGATAAAATATACTATACTAAAATATTATAATGTATATAAATAGTAGTAAAAAAAATAGTGTATAATTTTAGTATATAAATATTACTATAGTATATAATATTACTATATTTATATAATTATATACTATTACTATTTTAGTATACTAAATATTAATATTATTACGATATATATATATATATACCATAATGTATCATATTATAGTATTATGGTATATATTTTCATGACGATTTACCTCGTTGTTAGTTTCCTTATCCTCTTGGTTCCTCTTGATTCGGCGAGGAGTCCCCGCCCAAGTCGGGGAACTCAGCGGGCACCAGTGGAACCAGTTTTTCTTAGTAAAACTCTGAAAACACCCAGGATCAGGTGGGCAAAATTGGGCATTTTTTTAAATGTTGTGTCTTGTTTACAGCATTTTGAACAAGGGTTTGCACTGCAGACTCCTTGGTCAATGGAACCGGCGTCGCATGGTTATTGGACATGATTCCCCTAGATTTCATGGATTTGGTGATGCGAGACCCTGGGTGAACCGACAGAAGGTTGGCCTTTTCCTCCGAGTTGCCATCGTTTATGAAGGAGAGCGATGGGTAAACTTGAAACAGCAGAACTGGTTGCTGAGGGCAGCTAAGGGTTGATAAAGGCATGATCTTTTGATTATTTTGGATTGGGCATTTCCAATCCAGCCTAAAATTTGCACGCAAGTAGAAATCAAAGAAACAACATGGGCAACTATGTGTCGAAATCGGGTACCCACAAAGTAGAGTGGTTTTCTACCAAAACCAGAGAATTTTCTGTACTTCCCTGAATCTTCAATTTTGATCCAAACGTCCTGTGGATGGAATCACCCCATCAGAATTTAACAGACATGTTCTTCGGCATCCGTGATGTCACTCAATGGACACCACTTGGATGGTCCATGGTCATTCCACAAATCGCAACGGTTTACCAATCGCAAACGGGGTGAACATAAGTCCCCAGGTTAGATGTGATGATTCAACGTAATATATCCAGATAATTCCAGATAAACCATGGAGAGTGACTTACCAGAAATGCGGATTGCAACCATTCCTCAGTGGAAATTTATGGCTTCGTGGTATTGGAAACTTTTGGCATTGGGTTTACCCCTTGAACCCAATTTGATCCAATTTGGAGGTTTCCAATCCATGGGGGTACCCCAAATCATCGTAATCATCCGAGTCACGGATGACCTTTTTAGTGGTGTGAACCCCATGGTGACGACGACCCTGCAGAGTTTCCCACTTTGAGAAACACAGGAAGTGACCCTGGTGGAAGATGCACACCACCGAGACTTGGAGGCGAAGTGGCTGGGTCTGGGGAAGTTGATTTTATGGATCTTTGGTAAATCCAATGGGACTATGGACCAACTGCAGAAGAAAATCCTGATTGAAATCGACATTTGTTTGGGGAAAATGCTGACCCCCAGTTGAAGAGGCTCCCAGAGAACTGCTGGCTGGTAGAAACTAAGATAGTGAAAACGGGGACGTGACGCAACATTTTTCAGCCATCTATTTGGTGGTCATCCCTGAGTCTTTGAGTATGTGTCACGGAGTCGTGTTGTGTAGCCGCGCAAAGAGTGATGCATGCAATGAACACGGGGATTGAAGGAACAAACTTCGGTGATGACAGGAATCTACCAACACGGGATCAACCCTCCAAAAAATATCAGAGAATGCATTAGAATATATTAGAATAGTTTAGAATGCATTGGAATGGTTCGTTAATCTCTGTTTCACTATCAACCCATGCTTTGGGTGTTGACACTTGGACCAAAACAAAGAGCCTGTCGAAGTAGATGATTGTAGGTAGTTTGATATCCTGTTATTTATATTGATTTATAGGATTTCAACCATCCCAGGTGCAGGATTTCGTCAACAGTATCAATCAATGTCTACTTCCGAGTAGCTCTGAAGTTTGAGCTTAGACTTGATGGAACAGGTACGGTTAAAATACCAAGAGTTTACTCATGTTGACTCACTTGACTCCAGAAATTTGCCATTCTTCGAAACTTGCATGGTCAATGGTTTCACATATGTTTCACATATTTTGTGTTGATCCTCCCCAGAGTGCACACGCTTTATTTTATGATGTCATTTTTTTCCATATTTTTCCATATTTTTCCCACATGACGTTCATATTTCGGCGGGGTGGCTCCGCCACCAACCCGTAGTCGGTCCTGGTTATACAGTTATACAATATCCCCATGTTTGCCGTTCAAACTCTACTGTTTGATGAAATCATCACCTGCCCAGCGCGCACGTGCGGGTGGTCCTGTGCCAATCAAAGATGGCTGCGTGCTGGACCATTTAGGCCCGGAGATCGGGAAAAGGTCAATAATGGTCAATAAGTTATAATAATGGTCACAATAATGGGTATCAGCCACTTTTTTAGATGAATTTTGATGCAGAGCCATATGAGCAATCATTCCAAAAATGGAGAAGGTTTTTGAGTTTGGGAATCAGGATTCTTTTCCCAGATATTTGGGATGATCTCGGATCAGTGGGCGGATTTGGGTTAGGAAAGGGGATTAGTATGGATTAGTCAATACCCTTGTTTGGACTGTCTGAATTGGGGATATTTGACCTTTTGGTGCTTCAGCATTTTGACATACCCAGAGGGAATTTGTTTGCCACTCGGAAATATTTCAAACATCAGCACCGATAGAGATATTCACCAACAGATATTTTAGAATACATGAGATGATACACATTGATACAGAGACGATGGGAACGCACACACTGGACATCACTGGACTGGGATTTTAGAGGGTCATTCTTCAGTACCCAAAGCGGAAAAGGTACCCAGGACCTAGATGCAATATGATGCCTGGTGGTCCAGGCTCTTACACAACAGCCATATCCACATCATACATGTGAATTGCGGTATAAGTACGGTATGTATATGTATATGTATATATATATAATAATCATATATATATATATAATAATCATATATATATTATATACACATGTATATTACACATATGACACAAGGAATATTTCAATCAATCCCATCCCCCCCAAGAAAAACACCAGTCTTACAGGAATCCCCAACAACCGTCGATCCGAATTGCCCAGTAGCCGGAGGCTTGGGCCCCACGTCCTCCAAATGTTGGGAGGCCCTTCGAAAGGCGCGGGGCAGTTTGAACCGCAGATTTGCTTATTTCGGGGTTTCCAAAAAGTCGGTGGGGTACCCAAAAATGGTAGGTTTATGATGGTTTTGAAACGGTTTTGAGCCAAAAAAAAAGGATTTTGGAGGTATCCCCATGGATTGGAAACCTCCATCTGTATCAACATGGATCATCCAACTATTGGGAGATGATTTGCAATACGCGAACCAAATCCGTTCACCCCATTTCCGCAGCATGTAGAAGTGAGGTGTTTGTTAGGCTTTCTCAGGAGGGAAGGCATGCAAAAGTTCTGATCAGAGTGTTTTTTTCCGCACCAACCAGAGCTATAGAATTGCACTCTTCAGGGTCCAATGACATCGACATACACTTCCGAAATCTCAAATGGAAGCTGAGGAAATGGAGTCCGCAAGCCTCCAAAAAAGCCATACCCCAATGGAAGCCGCCGCCACGCCACCGCCTGGTTCCTATAATCATCTGGAATCTGTCCTGGCTATTGCCATCCGCTGTTGGCTTCCATGTCCTGGCTGTATCCGGCCAGGTTCGGACCATCTTAGGATGGTCCAAACAGGTGGGAAGCGAAGGTGGCAAGAAACTGCTGGGAGGATGATCATGTGGATATCACCAGAGACGCAGCAAGAACTATGTTTTCTGGTTGAGAAAGACATGTTATACCCACCAAGATTAGCGTTTTAGCCACTCACATCGAGCATTTACCCATGCATAGAAAAACAATGGATTTTGACCATAGGCCAGGAAACAAATACCAATGAATTCAATAGATTCGATCTGGTTGAATCTTTTGACGACCACACTAGCCCACATCATTAGCCCAACATATCAGGTTGGTGACTCATGGTGGCTCAGCCAGATAATGATACGGGGCCCATGTTTGCAAGAAGGATATCCAGCCTTGCAAATGGCAATATCATCAAAGAAAAAATATGGACTTGTAGTTCATTATCGGTTTGTTCAGTGACCACAAGCCACCATAGCCATCGAAGGGTTGTAACATGACAGTCCCAGCGGACCAAACATGACGAAACGACTGCTCGATTTTGATGGATTCCAGCTCCACTTCTGGAGATCCAAAAAGAGCCATTTTTTTCATGGAAGAAATTGGCAGATCTTCGAGGGTGAGATAAATGTACCCAAACAAGTATGGATATGACATGATGTGAGATGATATGATCTAATATGATTTGATGTGCTTTGATATGATATGACATGAGACGAGATGATATGTTTTGATATGGCATGTGATGAGATGATTTGATATGATATGAGATGACATGATATGGTATGAAATGATCTGACATGGTATGATAGGACGTGTCATGAGGCGATATTATATGACCTGATTTAATCTGATATGACATGATGTGATTTGATATGATACGAGATGAGATGATATTTTATTACAATATATTACATGATGTGATATGACATAATATGATATGATCTGATATATTGGATGATATTATATGATATATGATATGATATATGATATATGAAATGATGTGTGACAATATATATATATAACATAATGATGATATGCTATATGTATGTGACGTATGGCATGATATTATATATGATGTTTGATATATGATCTGGGACATTTAATAGATGTAATATTGTATATGATATGGGATAACACATGAGATATGATACGAGAAATGGTATCAGATTTTTCGATGTAGGATCTGATATGACATGTTTTCTTATATGATATGGTATGTTATGTGATATCATTAGAGACATTAGATATGATTTTTAAGTGTTTTTTCCTCCTCAATGCGGCTAAAACCACTGGACTGTGGCGCTGGACTGTGGCGAGGCGTCTACACTTCAAAAGGGAACCCAGGATTCTACAAAGGCCGCGGGTTCTCGGCCGTTGGGAGCGTTGGGAGCGTTGGGAGCGTTGGGCTGTTGGAAGATGCCCCCAAGGCCCCTGTTGGAATGATATATGATATATGATATACATGATATATGATATACATGATATGTAATATATATATATAATATAATATAATATAATATAATATAATATAATAATATATATATGATGCATGATACTTAATTTGGTACTGGTAAAGATTCCAACACATGTTAAGAATTGTTTTCAGAAGCTGTGGCTTCCTGGGTTCTGCATCAGCTATTGCTTGGGAGAGTGGACAGCTGCAGCAACCCATTGAGGTGCCATCATTTGCCTAGAACTGGATAGAAATTTAAGGATGACCAAACCTGTTTTCGATCATCCAGGTAAAGGATGGTAAAGGAATGTGAGAGATCAACCAATCCCCTCGAAGTTTTGTTCTTTGGTGCCTCCCATCCCCTCCCATTCATCCCATGGGCGAGGTATTTTAACCTTGCCTGGCTTTGACTACAAACGTCTCCGAGTGGAGGAAATGAAGGCACCCTACTGATGGGTAGCATGGTCATCAATGACTTTAACTGGCTATGTAGCCCCAGGATCACCCAGGACGCGGTAATCAGTAAATGCATTTACCAATCAATTGCATTCTCTTGACCTATTTGACCTCGACACTGAATTCTTACCAATTTCTCGCACGGAAAGAGGGGTTTCCCACGATTTATTGCCACCACTTCTGACTGATGCTTCTCAATCACCAGATTTAGACATGTCTAACATTTCGGGTGGATGATCTCGAAAGTGATTGAAATCGATTCGCCGCATCCTGTTGCTAATTCATGCTAATTCTATTGCTTATTGGAGTTCACTTTCATTGTGCTGTGGAATCAACCATGGGACTGGTGACTCCCCAGTTTGATGATGGGCTTTGCATCGCCAGCCGGGTGGCAGATAAGATCCAAACTAACCATTCCCGGTGCATGACGTGTTTGAGACATATGTGCCACCCTGAAAGCACATGTAGAACCTTGCGATTGAAGTTCAATGTATCTATGTTGGCTTCTATTCGAGAACCCCGGCAAAAGAAAATCCATCCATATCGTCCATATATGTCCATATCACATATCTTTTTGTATCTTTTTGCATCTGATCATATCTGATCCACATGGGATGATTGAACCATGGAGTGAAGCTAGGGACCTGGAGGACCTGCTAGGGACCTAGAGGACCTGGATTGGATCCATGGAAAATCCGGGGATTCCCAGATGATGGCGTCAGTGGCGCCGGGTTGCACCTTCAACTGCGTGAAGGAATCAAAGGTTGCAACTTGGTCAATGGTGGCGTTGTGATACATTGGAAAGCAGGAATTACCATGGGAATTACATCAATTGACATCGCTCGACGTCATTGAATTTCATGTAACAACATTTTCTATCATTCAACATTATTTACCATCCTTTAAGGTCAAGCTGATTGGATTCTCATCGGTGTTCAAAAGGTTTTTTTTCTCCCATCCCCACGATTTTTTCAGCTGATTTCATGCCCCAAGGGAAGACCCAGCCAAAATGCCCTATAAACCATGGGAAAATCATGGGAAAAAATGGGAAATTCATAGGACAATGATGGGACACCTTATGCAAATGGAAGTTTAGTTCGCTGGGTATCCAAGATTGACCCTAATATCCTTTGCTTAGAGGAAGGGGTCTGCCCTGAGAGAGGGTGATCCGATTTGTCGTCCCGGATGGCTGGGGTTCCATTCATATTGTGGGTTCCAAAGATACTGATTTAGGAATTTCCTAAGTCACGGGGGTACCCCAATAGCTGGCTGGTTTACCAGGGAATAATCCTACTAAAATGGATGATTTCGGGTACCCCGATTTCAGGAAATCTCCAATTTAGATTCTCGAAGTGTGGGTAGCTTACCTGAGAGTCGGAGAACCAGACATGCTCACAGGAACGCTTGTAAAAAAAAAGAGGTTGCCATTAGAAAGCCGACCGACCAAGCCCCATATGGTAGTAAATGCTGGGGGAGCCATCATTTTCATGACCAGGTAGAACTGACCATTGATGTTGGATGAACTAAAGCACCAGGGATGAATTTCAGTCCTTACAAGCATGACATGGTGAGTCATTTCGAGTCTGGGAAATGCTTGTTTGCCCTCAGTGGGATATATGGGATATGGACATCCAGCATGGCTATTAGGGATGAACATAATACTACTCATGAACTGCATCCATGACGTACGAGGGAGTTCCTTGGCCCCGCCTAGGTCCGCAAGTACCGTTTAGAGGTTGGCTTGGATTTAGAAGTTGGACACCTGGAGAATCTGGGGTAAGCATTTCTACTATATATATATATACACATAGGACCCGGGAAGCACTTTTCTATATCCTTTTGGAGACCTCATAGGACCCCTGTCACTCGGGTTTCGGTCGTTTGTGAATGCCCGTGAAATGGGGCGACATCTCTTCGCGTATCTCAGGGATAATCCCAGTTTCTTGTCCAAAATCTTGGCACCCCGCATGAAAATTTGATGATTTTAAAGGTAGCGATCCGATTTTGAGAAGCATCCACGTGAGGAACAGGGATTCACAATTTCGACAGGTGCCAGAGCGAATCTACAACCTGCCCAACATCAGCTGTAAGAACGCCCTTTGTGTGTCAGGCTCTCGGAGATGTTTTCAGATTTGTAGCGCTAAGCTGTTGCACCGTGAAGGGAAATGAACCCCAAAACAACCCAAGAACTGTGGGATTCAATGAGAGTCCCCATCACAGATTGATCTTGGAGCCATTTGGAGCCTGCAACACACTTCAAGATGCACGCCTGCGACATGTGTCGATGGTTCAAGATGCCGCAACATACTTCAATCCCATTGAATCCAATTAAACCCCATTGAATCCCATTAAATCATCGTGGTTGATGATTAAGTCCCCATTGACTTCGGGTTTGAAACCTGACGAATCCCCAGGTCCAATCCCGAGAATCGGCAGCGCGAAATCGTGGCGTGCGCGGCTTTCTCGGGCCAAGGAGATGGGTGAACTGCACCGGGGAACATCGGGGCTTGGGGTTGGAGGATGGATCAACTGTTCAACATTTTTTTTTTACATTTTGTTTTTAAAGGGGGATCAGATCCGTTTAGAAGCTATTTTGGACAGAAGGGTACCAGGTTTTTTCGCAAACAAAAAGCACTGTGATTTCAGAAATCACCGAAGGATTTGATTGTGAAACCATGCTGCAACCTTGCAAGAATACTTGGGTTTGGGTCTGACCCCGGCATCTTCCCAAATGATCCCAAATGTCGAGTTATTCACATCCCAACCAAGAAGACTCTGGCATGTTCACTTTAGGATGGCGTTGAGTGCATCCCCGGTTCGAATCCCTGGAAGCTGGAGGTACTTGGAACGGGTGCCTTACTATGTCTCCAGTGTTCTGCCCAACTGCACGGAGAGCAAGTACCTCTATGTGTGTAAGTGGCGCCCCCGGATGGTGAACGCATCCATTTCTTTGGCCAGTTCCATTCAAACAGATGGGTTTGACAATCAGATGGTGGAGAAAATCATTTTCCTTCCTCATGTAAATGATTTTCCCAAGTATTTGATGGCCAAAGATTAGGGGCTATGCCCCGTTTTTTGGGCAAACCCAGATGTTCTGGTTGACCCTTGATCTGCTGCATGTCCGGTGCAACGGTTGGATAACGGTCAGAAATCCTGGGATTTAGCAGAATTGGCAACCTAAGGGAAACTTTAGAATTTACTGCAGCGTGTTCAGAATGGGGATCCTTTTGCATGACTTTTGCATGTACACAAAGTATTACACAACTATATATTATGTACATTTATGTACAGTAAATGGATTTGGGTGGCGCAACCAACTTCAACTCAGATCAACTCAGATTGGTGTCGGATGCTCCGGAACGGCCAAGCCCAGCAGCTGGTCTTTTATCTGGTGGGTGGTTTATTTTCAAGCCAATACCTTCCGTAGTAAACTCACGTTTTTTTGATGTATGATGATGTATGCCGTTTTTCTCCGTATGCCACCATGAATGTAGATCATTTTCTAAACAACCAGGGCTTTTAAGCCAGATCTTGTTCTAAACATACCTGGGGTTTTCACCGATTTTTTCAGCAGAAAAATCCATGGACTGTGATCCCCAAGGACTAAACGGGCCGCGCCCCGTGTCTCGGTTTCGGCAGGTGGTGCCGATGGCCGCACGTCTACGAGAACATTTGGGATGACCTGTGGAGGGGCCCAGCCCAGCGGTCTATACATTGCATGTATGATATTTACTATGCACCTACTAGATCCAACATAATATATACATATATATATATATACATACATGTGTGATTGTGTATATATATATATTATACACAATCACACATGTATATATGATTATATAACATTATATATGTATATACAGATTTACATAATATAGTCCATTGTTTGAGTGTCCGAAACGCAGAGCCATACATCGATGGCGAATTATTACTATACATAGATTATTGATGCATGGGGTGTAAATGTGCATATATATATATATTATACACACACATACACAATTCTTATACAATTGTACGTGTACATGTATTCCATTAATACGCATGTACAATGAACATGTATAATATGTATCTCTCTCTCTCTCTCTATCTCTCTCTCTCTCTATCTATCTATCTATCTATCTATCTATCTCTCTCTACATATATATATATATATATATGCATACCATAAATGGATGTCCACGTTTGCTATGTCTCCAACATGATGGCAACATTATATTTTTTTAACCATCAAAAGTCTGCAACGCTCAGCGGCTCAGGCGACGTCAAGCTGTGGCGTGACGAGGATCCCGGGGATCCAAAGGGGAAAACTTCATCTGGATTTGACCTTCAAAGCTACAGATTTTACCCGGTGGATTGTGCCAAAGATATTGATCTTTGCATATCTTTGCCTAGAAAGGTGTGAATTGTACCTACCAAGATAGGAACTCTGGCTATAAATCAGGTGATTTTGCAAAGAAATCTGGGCAAATTATGGCAACCTCACTAGACGTTCCTAATTTCTGGTGTGTGAATTATTGTAACGTGCCCAGATAAAGAGAATTGTAGCTTAGCATCCGGAGTTGCATGAGAGATCGCTACGTGAATCACCAGCAATAGCCGTGACAAGTCCTCGATTTCTGGGTTCCTCCAGTTCTAACCATACTCACCAGATCTCCCCAACTTCGACATGAGATCAGTTTGAGGCACCAGGCTCTTCCATTGCTATGGTTGTTCACCAGAGGATACCTATTGATTTGACCCATGCAACATCCTCCACGTGTTTTAAGACTATCTTGAGACCAAACACATTTGCCCACGCATGGCTTGACGGTCTACAAAGACATGACCCGAGGTTCATCTAAGAGGCCTGATTCCTCCTGATCCGTCACATGTTGCCAGGCTTGGGATTTGCGCGTGACGCTGGGGCGGCATTGCACAACCCGTTGGAGAGTGCAGCCTGTGGGATTTGTACAAAGTCATATCGCATTGGGTGACAGGGGCGGCAAAGAGCCAAAAACACGGCATCACATGGAAACCAGATTGCCGGGAAACTGATCCATGGTTGGATGTCTACCTATGGTCAATTTACAGCTGGAACCATTTTTTTTTTGCGAAGTGGAATTTCAGTCGCCTGGCATCCAATGTGCAAAGGGTCAAACTTCCGGGACCAAAACCAGGAGTCGCAGCAAGGCGAAAAAGTGGTCATCCACCACCAGCGAGGATCTGTTGATTCCAACGCAGTCCGTTTTTTTTGGTTTGCCACAAGGTACTGCTGATGAACAGACGTTTCGCCAGAACTTGGGATGTCCAAAAGATTCCAAAAGTATGATAGTATGGCAGCCGTTTCGGAAATCAGCAAGTCCAGGTTTCACAGCTGGAAGCAGCATCACCTGGACCAAGTGACTGAAAAAGCTTGGACTAAGCTATGGGATATTTCTATGAACCAAATGCTTGACTTACTTGCCTCATAGGTGAACCTTGGTTGGGTGAAGTTGGATGATTCCCCCTTTTTTTATGTCTTTTTTATATGTCATAGACAGCTAAAGACAATCTTTTCATCTTTTTTCTTAGATATCAAAGGTCAGGCCATGGTTTGATTGCGATGTTGCCACTAAAAGCTCGCTGTTCCCTGTTCCCTGTTTCCGCTTCCCACATGTGTAGCTGACGATGAAATGGAGTTTCTTCAAGACGGTGCCCAGGCTTGAAGTTGTTTTTTCCCCTCAAAACATGAAGGCTTCTTATATGTTTTTAAGCATAAATGATGTGGATCTTCCCAACAAATCTATCCAGATGGATCAATTGTTTTTTTTTTAACGGTAATATCACTATCATCCATTTATAATCAACTTGATATACTATTGACTATTGATATTCAATTAAACAAAAACATTTGGGCGCTTGCGGTGACGTTTGGCCAGGTGTGTTATTGGATGACCCTGATAAGTGATGGCTACATGAGGGAAACGAGACGCTTCATAAATATTGGCTTTTAGAGAGACACAGGGGGAATGTCCTACAGAAGCCCGACTTTCTTTTTTGGTGGGTAATTTGTTTGTAAGATTAGGCGTCAATTGAGATGAAATATGATGAAATGCCGTGCTCAAAATTGGATTTTTCTGGGTGCTTGGATCTGAGATGATGCCGAAACAGGTGATCCATGATTGTAAACTGATTGGAACCTTAACTTTTCTGGGGTGGCTTCAGTCAGAGTTTATGATGATTACAACTGTTTTTCCCCTGATTTATTAGATGGGTATCTCAACTAACCACTTTTGGTAGCTTCTTTTTCCAAAGCAGTCTTCCTCTATTTCGCACCAGGCAGCAAACTGATGGGCTTGAAATGGCTGGACCCCCATCAAAGTCATGGAATTTTCATTGGGGTCCCACCTCTTCGAAATCCATTGATTAGATTTGTGTGACATATATGGAGGTTTTCAGAAATGGGGCGTAACCCCCAAATCATCCAGTGGTCATGGATGACCATGGCTTAGCATTGAACCCCCGACTTAGGGATCCCCGATTTCAAGAAACCCCCAGGGTCACAGCCCGCTGGAGATCTAGGACGCTGGGCTGGGGTCAAACTTAAACATAGCACCCAACATACTCGTAGGTTACATCACCTTCCCATCAAGCAGTTTATTTGGGCAACATAAACAGCTGGCTATCCGTGTGAAATGATTCTCATGTAACAACTAATATACATATATATATATAGACATATATTATTATATATTACATATATTAATATATTATACAGATACATATTATCTATATTATTACATATTATATATACATATTGTATATATATATACATATTATATAATATACATGTAGACTGATTGGACATGTACAAGTCGCTCATGACTCATTACCATTCTAATGGCTACTATATGATACTCTCTTATTCTCATTATATATACATATTGGTTATATCCCATCGCTGGATCGGGCCTAGATCGGCTGCAACACCAAGGTGCTGCTTCTCACTGCCCTTGCAGCTGTCTTGACGGTTCTCTCCACCTTTCGAGGGCTCCAGGCCTGCTGGGAATGTATGGGATGGAATGGAAGCATGCACAACCATTCAAAGTTCTGAGTGGCGGTTGTGGGGGGAAGAACGCCATCGAAGGAATTGGCCCTCTGGCAATCTCAGGAGAAGTCAGGAACAGATTGGTCGCTGGTTGAGGAATGCCGCGAGCAAAAATCGATGATACGGTTATATACACCTGTTTTCTTTTTCACATCCACAACACGAGGCATGGTCATACCCGAATTTACAGGATCATCGTTTTCAGACCTATCATGAAGAATCCCCAATTGCGGGGCCATTTTCTCAATAGACCCGATTCTGTATGAGGATAGACAAACATTGTTCTAACATACTATCGTGAAATAGTATTGTGAAAAGGATGCAAATTAAATGCGAAGAAACAGTCCAGCAATTGCTTCTCAACATGTAAATACAGACAAAGACAACACAAAAACGTTCGAAATATGCTCCGTTCTGCACTTTTTAGCTTTTACAGGACGTGCATTTTTATGAGGCAATTATACTTTGTGAAATCACAAGAATAGCTCACATATGGCGCTCCCAAGATCAAGTCTGAAGAAGTCCGCCGAGGATATGGAGGATACTTGAAGCTATCGGTTGATGGGTATCATGGAGGTCGATAGTTGCTGTATATGGTTAGCAACACTTTACCAGCGTTGGAGATTTCGTCTCACAGTGGCTTCGAATTGAATCCACCGGCAAGCGGCAACATTGTTTGAGCGAGATGTCGAGGCAGCTTGAGTCATAGAGGATCTGGAAGAAGGTCAAGGCCTTCATCCTCCCCCAGCATGCCCCAGATTGAGCCATTCTATTGGCTAAATATGTTGGTTTACCCACTAAGATTAGGAACATTTAGGAACCCCCTATTGCTGAACCGCCATGTAAATCACTTGGTCATTGGTTCCAGGTTCAGCCAGATGCTGGGCCTCCTTCGGCATCTGTAGATCTGCAGCCAGATGAGAACGAGGAAGAGGAGACTTGGGTGAATTGGATCCGCTTGTAGAACCATTGATTGATAAGGATTGAATCAAACCTGGCCAACAAATTTCGGATTGGCTCAGATTTAATCAACAGAAACTTGGATCATTTCCCCACTCTACGGGTGGAAGATCAGGCGATGAAATGCTGGTGATTGGCCCCCACTGGCGACGTCAATAGAGGAAATACCAGGAACCCTGTGTCTTTCGTCCCATGGGGTCTGCCCAGCCAATACTGGGCTTGAACCGATTGGCTATGTGAAAATTGTCTGATTCTGAAGCTTGCTTGGTCATGCTGACCAGCTCAGGATCCCTGTTCTATCAGCCTGATCGGTAACACCCCCAAAAAATGGTACCCAAAAATGAACAGATCCAACAGTAAACCATTTTTTTGGGGTGTTTGCGATGACGGAAGTCAGTTGCTTGGGAAGACACCTTGCAGTAAATGTTCGCGGCTGATGGTTCTCGTCGACAGCTTCAATGGGGCTTGGAAATCTGCCCATAGAATTCCCTGAAGATTTCCTGTGTGGTTTGAAACCCATCCTGTTCCACAACACATGGGGTAAGCTACTGCCGCTGGTAGGCTGTCGTCCATACTTTGATGAGTGGACCCCAGGATTCGTTCTTGTAATGACCGATTCAGTCAGAAGTTCATAACATCCCGAAACCATGGTTCTGAAATGTTCTGAACCATGGTTATGAATCAGTTACTATATATATATATATAACAGGAATCAGTCAAGTGAGTAGAGCCATCATCATTGTCCAGTTTCGGACTTGAATTGGTACCTGGTACCTTTCCTACTAGCCCAGTGGTTTTAACAGGTTTCAACTCTTGAATGAACAGCTTCTCTCTCAGCATTAGGAGTCCGCAGAGGCTGCGCCCTCTAGCGAAACCTGGATCATTTTGCTGGCCTTCCAACGCTCGGGGACCCACTATCTAACCCAGGCGACTTGGCTGAAATTGGTCCAAGGATTTTCTGGATCTTGGTGATGTTGGGGGTGTCAGTGACGTTGCTTCCGACTTTTTTTTGTTCCACGGATTTTTCTTTTTTTTGTTGTTGGGGGGTGATTGATTCGGCTGATCCCATGAAAGGTGAGCTGGCAATTTTTGGTCGAATTTGGGGCCAAAAAAAATTGGTAACAGTAAAGATGACCAAAATCTACGGACCCTTGGACCCGAAATGAATTGAAGGCAAGCCCTTGAGTTGCCATCCATTTTTGGGACACCTTGCTGCATGTTTGTCTGATCCTGGGTGGTGGTTGACATAGCTCTGTCCTGCAATCGGGAACATCCCACACAGAGTTACATTGTAGGTTCTGGGTGTATCTGAGTACATATATAGTCTGTATAGTTGGGATGCGTATCTATCGTACTTATCTACCTTTTTCTTCTAATCAATGCACCTGTTTAGCTCATTTTTTTGATCCATTCTTGTTTTTCACGACGTTGTTTTCCCTCCACCAGAAAATAAGGTCATCCCATCTCTTGGCACATTTGGCACTGACGTCTCATGGGACAACAGAACCTTTTACCAAAAATCTTCAGCTCCCTTTCCAGGAGCTTAGCCGACATCCTTGTATGTATGTGGCAGGCGAATCTTGGCAGATCCTGGAAGTTCTTGAGTCCAAGGAAAGACTAATGTCGCCTTAAAAAGGTTACAAAGACCACTCCTGAAAAGTGCCTGAGTATTGGATGATTTATATATCTAGTGAGATGGGGATGGGACATTGCCGGCATTGCCAGTCATTGTCAGTGTTGTTGGAAGTAGGAAAGTTACTTATTTGCGAGTGGACCGCAAAGGTCCCATGGAGCGCGATTTTCAGATGGTACCTCTAGGCCATTGCCCATCAATGTGATAGTGGTAAGTCAATCATTTTCAGGAACAGCATTTAGAAGAACCCTTAGTGGCATTTCGAGGTCTACTGATATACGATATGATAACGATATATCCATGCAATCATGGGGTATTATATGCTACAGTCTGCTACAGTCACGCTATGGGCAACCACCAAAGGATATCATATGTTATAGTCACGCTGTCACGAGGTATTCTGTGTTATAGTCACGCTACCCCGGTTCCCGGTATTTGGAGAAGCCCTTGGTCCCCGCGCAATTCTACTGTGATGTATACGTGGTTTTGATATTCCCCTTGAACTTTGAGATCAGGAAAATTTTCTCGAAATTGCAACAAACTCATGGAATTTGCCGTGCAATTTCTGATCAATGAGCTAAATCCCCGAATCAACCAGGGCGTAATACAGGTGGACCTAATTCCCAGGCAGAGATGCTAATCTACCTCTGTAGCAGTGGGGAATTTGCACCAGACAACGCTGTTTCAGTCTCCGAGGAGATACTTTTAGCTCCAGGGCTCAAGGAAGATTGGTGGTCTCCACAGAAGCACCTCAGTCTGAAGCGGCTACCGAGGATCAGTGACTGATAGGTGACTCAACCACCACCCAGTGACCCAGTGACCCAGTGACCCAGTGAGAGTGATTGAAAGCCCAAGATTTCGTCAGTGGGATGGCCCAACATTTTGAATGACCGGAAGCCGCAAGGTACCTCCAGCCGCATTGTCTCCATAGATCCTATGAATGTTTCACAGCCATTTCCGAGTCAGGAAAGTAAGTCTTCAGGCTGTAAATCCGTGGCTTTGTCATGCTTTGTGAATGGAGTACAGCACAAAATTTACCTCATTGTCCATAATATGGACTTTTTAAGGGCTATAGGGCCTATAGGGCTATCCCTGGGTTTGAGCCACCCATTCTGATCTTTGTAGATAGCACACCTCACCCATGGAGAGCTACACCGGCCAGATTTTTGTCGCCCAGGCGCAGGGCCGGCATCAAGACCTTCTACAACATATCCTTGTCAGCCGAGGTTGCCTCGGTGGGGGGAGCTGCGAATTAGGCAGGCCACATTTTTGAGGATTCGGATGGATTTGGGATTTGCTGATTTTTCTGTGAATTTGCTGTTTTTTTTGCAAAGTCGCAGGGTGCAAAGATGTGCAAAGAAAATCAACAAATCCAGTTTTATTTGTTGCACTAAGATCGAACGGTTGTCCCCCAAACCTGATCAAAGTTCTGAGACTGCCATCGCTGTCGTGACAATTTCTGTCGACTTGTCATCTCTCCCAGAACTGATTGAAGGAACATTTTACACGAACCTCATGGTGTCCGCTTGATTTTTCCAAGAAAAAAATAAGCCAGTGATCATTCATGATCATGCTAATGGCTTAGGTCCAGCATGTTGATATGTATGTATGTATATGTATATATATATGTCTTATAATATATATATATACACATTCAAATGGGTTTAAGCATCCATGATTCAAATTCTTCACCATTTTGAGGAGAAGACCTTGGAGCTCCCGGAGGTTTCAGCTCAGTGGGCTTCAGATGCTCGGCTCGTCATCCAGAAATGGAAAGGATTTGGGAATAAAAAGTTATAAGTCAGAAATAAGCAATGTGAGAAATAGAGTGAGAAATAGATAGACATAGTGAATTTCAGAATTTGGGTTTATGGCGGACGCTTTTTGTTTCATTTTAGAGATTTGATGGTTTTAGACACCAACTTATAACCAGACAAATTGGGATTTAGCGAACAGGATTCATAATATACAGTAATATATGTATATATATACACATACAGAACATCACACACACACATACACACACTTTACATTAAGCTCCATTCCTGTACATTACAGCACATTACATAACACTACATACATTTAAACACACATGTGCGCGATACATATTGATAAATAAAGACATAAACAATCAAACTGGAATAATACTGTAATAATAGTAGTAATAATAATAGTAATGAATAAATCTAAATAATGAATAAATAAACAAATAGCTAAATGTATTTATCACCTTATTCGCTTCCAAGTCTGGAGGACTTCACCTCCACGGCTCAGGAGTCTTCCAAAGCGCTGGCTGAAGGGAAGATGATTCGAGGTTTCAATTGGCAGCTGGGCTGTGATGATCAGTGGTTCGCTGGGATGATGGTCTCTGTGTGTACAAAGAAAGACACATGTACTGTATATATAGATAGATGTACTGTAGATAGATGTACCATACTATATGTACCATTCGTGTATATGTGTATCTATACACTCTATAAATATATATATACACATAGATGTATACATGTTGGGATGACAGGTATGGATATGGATCTTCATTCATCGAAAGATACTTGTATCCAACGTACTGCTATCTGGCATCACAAATATCTCCATTGGTAGATGGTTTTCCCGTGAAACATGGTACTTTTTGACGGCATTGCAACTGAGGTGCTGTTCCAATCAATGTGTACCACCTCTTATGAAGGCATGATTGGGGTTATGGTATATGTATACCTGTATATATGTACATCATACCTCATTCACTAATCTCAGCAGTCCAGTTCACTCAAGCTATACTCAAAGATGGTTCCCATCAAGACGGAGTATTCCATCAGGGATCAAGGATGGTTTGCTTTGGGATTTTGCCAACGGTGCCCAACGGGGTTTTCTTTCTTACTTCGGCCTAGTCATTTTGGGCTGATTGCATCCCCACCAAAAACCTGTCACCAGATGCATTTTTTTCCAGGCTGGGCCGCTGTAGCATCTTATTCAGCTGATCGCAAGACATTTTTTGTTGTGGATGTCCGAAATGATATTTCTGTAGGCGGGAAGCTTCGCGGTTGCATTCCTTAAACCATATCCATCCATATCCCATTTTTGTTTTTTTGGTGTCAAAAAATAGAAACTTCAAAGATCTTCAAAACGATGCACCAGCTGCCGTCACATCGTGCCATTCACCGACGAGGGTTTTTCTGATGCCACCAGACGATACGATGGTACCCAGTGGATTGGATCCATTGGATAAAGCGATAAACCCAGCTGTTGGACAAAACAGCTGTTGTGGGTTCATAGCCAGAAACAGTACCCTCTGGTGAACTAACATAGCAATGGAAAATGGCCATTTATAGTGGATTTTCCCATGAAAAATGGTGATTTTCCATTGCTATGTTAGTTCACCAGAGGGTAACCGGGATGAACATCCAAGTAGCTTACCCCAAGTGGGCCATGAAAAAGTGAGCAAACTGCGTCCAAAGTTATCATGAAAAAAAACAAAATGCTAATGCTAAGCTTACCCCCAGTGAGATTGGTTGCCAGTTCACCCCATATGAAATTCTGGAAACTTGCCTCATCCTGGCTGCTTGCTGTTGAAATCATGTTGGAGGGTCACATGTCTAAACCTGGTCTAATTATATAGGTCTGGGTCAATCAGCAAATCTCCGGAATGAATCCTAAGAAGTCCCACCACAGTTGGTATTTCTCAAACCTCAATTTTGGGTCAAAATGCCACCGCCTGGGCGCCTGAGGAAAGTGAGTCAAGGCTTTCTGCAGGACCTTCCGTGGATCGAGGAATTCATTGCCACACACCAGGCTCGTGGAATTGGATCGCGACACCGGTTCGAGACTCTGGAGACGTCTTGAATTCCAAAATGGAACGCCTAGAAAATAGCAACTCCAAAAAAGATAGAAAAAATGATGGCCTGGAAAATATGTATAGAAACCTATAGATACATGCGTACATGCATGCATATAGACATGGGATATATATATATATATAAACAGTATCTACATATACACATGTAGATATGAATTGTATTATATATACACTCATGTGCATATATATATATGGATGCATAGGTATATAAATAGACATATATTAATATATAGACACACACATATATATAACCAGTACACACACACATATATATATATATATTGTATGTATATGACAACGCTTCCATACATAGATGTATACATATAGATACATGTTTCTATAAGTATATATATATATATTTCTACATATATATATATATATATGTGCAGATATTTGAACACATATGTATATATATATATGTAGCTCATGTGCCTGTATATATATATATGTGGCTCATGTGCCTGTGTATATATGTGGCTCATGTGCCTGTGTATATATGTATATGTGCCTGTGTATATATGTATATGTATATACATATATGTAATGTAATGTGATTAAATGTAAATGTCAATGTAAATGACAATGTAAATGTCAAAGTAAATGTAAATGTAATGTAAATGTAAATGTAATGTAAACGCAAATGTAAATGTAAATGTAAATGTAAATGTACATGTAATGTAAATGTAAATGTAAATGTAAATGTAAATGTAAATGTAAATGTAAATGTAAATGTAAATGTAAATGTAATGTAAATGTACATGTACACGTACATGTACATGTAAATGTACTGTAAATGTAATGTAATGTAATGCAATGCAATGAAGTGTAGTGTAATGTAATGTAATGTATGTATGTGTATATATATAGATATGCACATATTCATATTTGTACATACACATATACATACTTAGTTATATATGTATATATACACATGCACAACACCCTAAACTCTAAACAGTTGGCCGTCAGATTAACATACCCTGTTTGAGGTGGGTTATTTATTTGTTTTGCCAGATACATGCATATGGGATATAGAATCTTTGGCCATTTCCCAGTCTTTTTACTTGGATCCCAGGAAGTGCAACAAAGAAACAATCAGACACCCGGCTATATCCCATCTATCACTGGGCGATCTTACTGTGGTAACAATGGCATTGCAACAACACGATGTAATGTGCAAAACCCAATGCCATGAAACCATCCTCATTTTTTCCAAGTTTTACCATTTGAGGGGCATTGCATGACCATACCCCCAAGAATGAGTTCATTATGGTTCATTTCCCCATATTTGGTTGGTTGTATCTCCATATTTCCCAACATTTTGTAATATTTCCCTCATAAATTTCCCAGATTTTCCAATTTTATGGTGAATGAATTCAATTGCATTTTTATCGCATCCACGCGCTAGGTTCGGCTCATTTGGTTGCAGCGCCGCAACATGCTCCGACGTTGCTAAACCAGCACCCGTTCACCCCCTGTAACGAACTGGGCGTGAAAATGGGGCATGCATGTCAACTTGCCATTACTTTCTGTGAATAGGAACGAACACGACGACTAATTTGAAGTTTTTTCTTCCCAAGAAACTAATTGGATCTAATTAGAACATGGGAAAAGGATCCTACATGACCAGTGTTTTGGGTGGCAAAACAGGTGCCCAAGTATGTTTCTTTGATATCCCTAGGTTTGTTGGTGGACTATTCTCATATATAGCTCCCATGATAGCCCAGTTTCGTGGCGCATGGGGAAATCCCACTCGGCCAGGGGAGCACCTGAGGTTCCCCCGGACTTGACCCTACCATTTTTGAAAATCCAACAGTCACATTTTTTCTGGTTACCCTCTGGTAAACAAACATAGCTATTGGAAATGGCCCAGTCGAAATAGTGGATTTACCCATCATTAATCATTAATAGCATGGTGGATCTTTCCGGTTCGTGACTTTTGATATGAAAAAACCAGAGGGTTTAGACCTGCATTTTCGTGCAGATCTCGGGATTTTCCAGGTTATTTGTCAATGCAATCGAACCGTCGCTTTTTTGTGGCGGCGACCACCGACAAGAGCGAGGCGAGTCGCATCAAGAAAGAAGCCTGGCACCGTTGTTGGGTCTGAAATGGTCTGAAAATGGGGAAAACCCATGGCCATAAAAAAAAGGGAACACATGGGAACAGCCACTAAAAACTAGGGAAAACCATGGAACAACATGATTCACCAATAGATTTATATAGAGGTACGGTATTTTCAGACAAACCCATTTAAGAAATCACGGGGCTGCTGTGCGCCCCTGTACACGTACTCACCAATCAGTGAACATGCCCTTGGCGCATTTCAGTAGAGCAATTTTTGACTTGAAGAGACCCACAGCAGCTCGGGTATGAAGCTGTCCGCACCTGTGACCATGCACGCGCCTGGATTCCCGTTTTAGCCCTTCCAGCATTGGCAGATCCGATGCCACCCTGACCTCCGGGAGTGACCTGTACATGCCTTTACACTGTTTCTTCTATCATCCAATGTAGTAATTCATTCGGAAGCAAAGAGATGACGAATTTGAATATGGGAAAACCCCCACGAATCTGGGACATTCACTTACGATCAGTGTGATGTTCCTCCAGGTCCCCTCCTGTTGCCGAAAAGCGTCCCCCACTTTTCGCGTTGATCCGGCAGTTGGTACCCAACATTTCTTGTGATTTTCCTTCACGAACTTTGACGATGCCCGGGTCTGTTTCGGGTTTGGATTCAGCTTCTTGAAACGCTGAGGAAAAAATTCCGATCCCCGCTCCTTGGTTCGTGAAAAGCCTGGGAAACCCATGGGTTGGATCACCCAACCAGCCATTGTCGGAGGGGATGTAGACAATACGTATAGTATCGTATGGTATATTATGCAATTTTATGTAAGTATAATATATATATATAATTATAATATATATATATGTAGATTTCATGGATGAAGGAGGATTAATGCTTAAAGTATACTATGTCGTTTTGGAATGTGAACCCAATTTCTCGAAGTGCACATCCCTTCATAAAGTCGACCTGTTGGACATTTAGACGCTGCAGGGCGGACTCTCGACGGGGTCATGCCAAACCCAAGGTTGAAAAGATGTTGAAAGACTTCAAAGCCAGAGAAGCAGAGGTGTTTGGTCAGTGGAAAGGGCGATGACATCAGGTCTACATCAATCAAACTTGATTAATTTTGCCATGCACACCTGTTTTACCCATTTAACCAGTGGGTATGTTTCACTTTTCACTGAATGGTATTGAATGGTTCAATTTAGAGCTCCCTTGTAGGCAATTCACCATGACTTTGGGAATCTGTTTACATGAGGCCGAGCCACAATTGCGTTCGATGGTCATTGCCAGCTCCACAAATGTGAATCCCGGATTAATAAATCCAGAATAAACCCAGAATATTCATTGGGGGTTGGCCCCAGATTTCTACCCCGTATTGATAAACTGGCGGTTTATCAATCCTCGGTCAACATTGCAACATACCACCGCATCCTACCACAGCACCATCAATTGGCTAGATGTGATCATCCAATAGCAATCTGGAAAGCCAATAGCAATACCCGAGCACCAGGCCCAACCTCTGTTGTTGATCGTGAAACATGGACTTGCCGGACATTTGATTGAAATAAACATTCGAATGAGCGCACGCCATTCTGAACCAATCTCACAAAGAATCTCTACAAACAGTATCCTCCCTATCACTTTCCGACTTTCCTTGAGTATCTTCTATAGATTTCCATAGTGATACTATACTACCTGCTATAGTATCTACTGTTGATGTCCTGGTTGAGGTGAAACAGCTCCATCACTTCTTCAAGACTTTGGAATCCAAGGGGCACCATGTGGGGCGCACAGCATGGGACAGCACGGGTGGGGTTGGCACCTTTGGCAGATGCTGAGTATTTATGGCTATGGCTCAAGAGTATTGGCCCAAATTCAATGATTAAGGTCCTCACACTGACAAACCGTTTTGCGGGTCCATTGGTATCCCTTTTTAGAGCTACAGGATGAATGGCACTAAACTATACTAAACTCATGTTTAAATGAAGTTGTGAAGTCTTCATGAATTGACACTGTTTTCGCAAACTGAGTTTTGGTGAATCCTCCATTTTCTGAAGCTGCAGGTGTTACAGGTGACCTATGAGGATCTTTCCGCTGCTTGGAATGCGATGAATCCGATGGGCGAAGAGAACTCGATGTTTCGGAATCATCTGCTTAAATTCACTGATTGCATTTATGTAATATGGTGTAATTAGTTATAGTATGTCAATGTTTGTTATAGTTATAGTATACTAAGCTAAGGGGCCGAGATGACTTACTATAAGCTCAGGTCTTGCTATAGTTGCAAGTAAGTTTTTGCTCCCTCAGACAGGTTTACTAGAGCTGGAATGCTCTACATAGATACAAACTCAAATGGGTGTATAACCCAGTTGTAACTAGCAGGACGCCTCAGTGAAATTTACAACAGAATCACCTGGGCATGTTAGCAGATCACTTAGACATGGCAATTGTCCCTGAAATCTGCCAATGGTCAGAACTATTGACCGAGGAAGCTGTTTTTTTTGCTGTTCAACAAGGAATTGTCACCCCAAGTACCCATGTTTCTACAGTATTAGAAACTGACAAAGTATGATTTATAGAGGCCTCCTATGGACACCCACGGCTAGGCCAACTGCAGGGATTGCAAGGACCATGTTTCAATCCCTGGGACGCACCAGTCAGTCCCATGTTTGCTCCTGTCACTCCTTGGATGTGCATCCCAGTTATCACAGTTACCAAGTGGCCAATCTCCAGGACGTTTGCAGGCGCCAGGACTTTTCTTTTGAGGCACTTACTGCGCCAGGACCCGACTTGAATATATTTGAATAGATGCGTACCCATTTTTGCAGGTTTTCAGGTACCGTTTCCCATCCAAAATTGGACCCCCCAGAAACATGGTAAACATGGCATCCTTTTGTTGAAAATTCTGGCGGCCGGTCCAATGGTTTTACCGAGGCCAGCATGGACACGATCAGAGCTTGGGCCGTGAATGGTGTCACGGCGTGCAGAGTCTCGGGAGATAGCGTCAGAGGTGACGACAAAGATGGCTACCAGAAGCTGCATCCAGGCAATGTGTCTGATATGGTTGAGCCTCGGCAGATTGCCTGGAGAATAAATATAATAAATCTCCACCAGGAACAAAGCCAAAGCTGTTTTAAGTTCGAATGAAAGGAACTGTCTCTCGCCACGTTTGGTTGGCAGGGATTGGATGTTTGAGTAGAATTTGATGTGTGTGTGTGTGAAGCAAAGTACTTTACTTCTTGTGATTCCAACATGACACGCACTTTCTGGGAAAAATGCTAACACATGTATCTCCGAACATTTATTCTAACATAAATTCTGATCTCTCTCTCTCTATATATATATATATATACACATACATACATAATTATATATATACATATACATATACATATATATATATACATATGCACATACATGTATATTCTGACATGCTCTGACATTTGTGTTGATATATGTTATTTGTATATAAATCATGAGTTATTTACGCCACTTACCACTGGTGTATCAAATATGGATTGGCTTTTCCAGTTGACCATCAGCAACCATGGCCCAATTTAAGTAGCCGCGTAGCCGGGCCTCAGGAAAATTGGAAGGAAGTGACGGCAGCGCTGAAGAGGACGAAATGGGAATGGATGCTGTACAGTTGACCGAAAAAAAATCGCATGTTTTTTTTGTGTGGCCGGTGGGAATGCTGGGCCCTGGGCAACTGGGTGTAGAAGGATTTGCCAAGAAAAGCGTGACGAGTTATCCAGTGTAAAAGATAGTCAACCATCACTATTAGAACCGTTTAAAACCAACAGATGATCCATCATCCCCAAATCTTAGTATCAGAAACCCTGTACATAGCTTCCCCAACCTCAACTTCCATGCTTTTTCACGAAAGCTAGTTTCTGCTCTGCTAGCTGAAGTCCCTCTTGCTTTAGCAAGGTATTGGGGGCTGGAATCTCGAATCGGATGAAACTTCATAGTTAAATACCCCCCCTCCCCCCCGGCTGGCTGGTTCACAAACAGTTTAGCCACCGGCAGCAAATTCGGCAGCATCCGCATCCTCAGCATCATTGCGTTTTCATGCCAAGCTCCCTGCCAAGCTCGTCCCTTATCCCGGGGTCTCAAGTTTCAGTCGTGGCGGTGGCCACATTTAGGAAGTCCGTGGCTCTATCAGGGTATCAACTAGTAGGAATGTATGTTTCCAACTAGTATATATATATATAGGGTGACCCCAATCGATTGGTTTTCTTTTTCGAAATGAATATGTTGTTGGATGATTTTTTGGGTCCTCCATTTACTCCAGAACGACGGCAACAGTGATAGAAACAATCGGAAAGTGAGGAGATTGCTTGCCTACATGTTTCCATCATATTCTTTATCTTGCATCCAAGTGACCCTCATGATTTGTGTTGGTTGAAACCACCAACCTGAATCAGAATGCCGTTCTGTTTCTTAAAGATTGGAACATAAATCACAACGAGGATGGGTCAGAAAAACCATGGGACCATTGGAATGAGGGGATGAACATCCAGCTGTAGTCAGTTGCTCCCAGAATTTGGATTCATTGTCTCAATAAGTTGATCCCCTCCGATGAAACATGGCTTTGGCTATCCTGTGTTTGACTGTTCACTTGGACTCTTCAGCCAATGTGGATTATCAGTCTAGAACACAGCTGGCCAGTGATGGCAGAAGGTGGTTGCTGGATGGTGACCCTGGTCCCCGCGCTGCCGTTTTTTTGCTCAGATTACTTTTGCAAGAATTCAGATGTTTGAAATCGACGTTGGGACCGAGGTTGGAACCCTTTTTTTGGGCTCTCATTCCTTTTCTACCCGCATCTTGGATATTTGTCTTGAAGAATTCTAAAGTGTCAGGCATCTGCCAGGCAAACGACGAACTGCAGATGACAAAAGTGTCAGTTCTCCAAAGCGTTTTCTCCACAGTTGTGAAACCTTCTCAGTTGCGATCTCCCTCCACTCCCGAAAGGGTGTGCGTGGAAAAGGGCCATGGCGGGCGATGACCTTAGCCCAACGATCAGCCAAGCGTGCCATACATTTTACAGATTTGATATGATTTTGTACAGATTTGATGATATTCATGTTTTTTTCCCGGTAAATCTGCTTAGATGTCATTTGCTTCTTTGTTTGCTTTAGTTTTGAGCTGGAAGCATGTATCCTCATTTTTGTCAGGTGGTGGCCAAGGCTTGAACAGTGGTTCGGTAGCAGAAGCCGTGGCCCAGCTGCACCCTTGAGGATATCACCAAAAAAGGTTTAGCAGATGTCTTTCCGGACTTGGACGTTTCAATTTTCAGTTTTCATGTGACATTTTGGAACTGTACTTTCCAGAAAGTGCAGAAAGGCTTGCTGTTGGGTTTCCTTAGTCTGTTCCTTGAAGTTCGCAAATGGTCAGTATCTGGTTCATATCCTCTTAAAACTGTGATCTATATCTCAAAAGATTTTATGGTATCAACCCAGGATTTTACAACTGCCTTTTTAACAGCCATCTCCTTATTAAATGTTACATGTTGACTTGATTTCTGCAGGTTCATCTACTGTTGGTTGGCTAAGTATCATTGGTTGGCCGTTATTGGGAATACGGCGATGACTCAAAAAAGCTGGTGCCAATGGAACCACAGAATTGTTTCCTGTTATTAATTTGGGATGATCATTTTGGCCGATACCTTCATATTCTATACTAGAACATATGATATCATATAATATATAGAATATAGAATATTTTGGCCAATACTTCATATTCAAGGTATTTGGAGAATATATGATATCATATACCTTGACATTTTTCTCCGGTAGCACTTTTGTATGGCCATTTCGGGTCACTCTTTAAGTAAGGCGCTCACGACTTGGTTTGAGTTGGATCCAGAGGGCTATGCCGGGAGCCCAAAAGGGGTAGGGTTTCCATAGTGGGCATCTCCAAGAACTGGTTTATTTCATGGAAAATCCAGTTAGAAATCCCAAAAAATGGCTGATTTAGGGCTAGAAAACATGAGAAAACATGAGAAAACCTCCAGCTATCCTGTAGCTGGTATCTGGGTAACGCGGATGAAAGTCTGGATAGCTGACAATGCTTGCTCTGTAGATCCTTTTGTGGTCAACGTATTTTTGTCAATGCTGAGCATTGATAATGACTAGCGTTCGTAGACGGCTGTGGAATATTTTGAGCGAAAATACCCCGATGGAGCAAGCCAGTTCTCGGCTCTCAATGACAGCAAGCCTCCATACCAACCATCCGATCTTCTCGGAGTTTACTCATTGGCGATTTGAGAACACAATGTGTTTGAATTGCCAATAAGTAAACTCCGAGAAGATCGGATGGATTCGGATGCTTTGTTCGAAGGCTTGCGGTCTTTTGGCCGCCAAGAACTGAGTTGCTCTACTAGGGTGTTTATGTTTATTGATCTGAATTGGTGTAGATATAATTGCATGATATTGCATGTAACTATAGATATTACAAATGATATATATATATATTATATTATATAATTGATTTTATTTGTATATGTATATATTTATAGAATTGTATATGTATATAATTACATAACCCTCGTAAAATGTTCAATTGTGATTTTGAAATTATTTTGATGAGCTCATTCTATTGCAATCTGATGCCTCGTAGCTATGTTTGGGGGTACCTACAGTAAGTGCCCTCCATGTTTTTTCTCCATTGCTAGCTTCGACCAAGGCCATCGATGCTGCATCGATCAGCAAGACATCGTCTTTGAGAAGAATTGCTGGTAGCATCCCCTGCAGGCGAGGCTTCCTGGGACACTTTGGGAAATCTCCAAAGTCTCCATGGAGCTTTGCTGAGAAAATCACCGATGGAGAAGAGTTCCCAGTTGCTGAGGATCATGGGATGCTTTATCTGGCCACGGGTCTGATGAAGTCCCTGTCATTTTCAAGCACAGGGTAGTTACTGTACGAATGACCCTGACAATTCCATCATTCCCATTTATTCCTGAGTACACCGAATAGCGAAGGGCAGTTTGATGCAACTTCATCTCGTGCTCTCACCACCCACATGATCTTTTTCAAGGTATCTAAGATTGGCCTGTTTGGAATGACCATCCCATCATTGGATATATAGCATTGATCCGTACCATTCCACAGATTTAAACTTGGTTTGGTATCCCACAAGGAACTTATTTTTGTGGTCAGGTAGCCTTGCAAAAAGTGACGCATCCAGAACATGACATAATGACATAATGTCATTGCCATTTATATTGCCATGTTGATTCCTAGAATTCAGAGGTATGTTAACACCCGCTGCAATTTTTCTACCAGTGGGGGGCCTTTATTAATGATTTGTCAATGGTCAATATTGGTTTCGTTCCCTAGTTTTGTTGCTTCAACTTGTTTTTTTGCTGCTTAAATGATCTTAAGTCCCCATTAATTTGTAACTTCTCCAGATTTCTCAAGAAACATTCAATTACCATCCACAATATCTACAAGATTTCCAAAGCATCCCTAGATGGCATTCCATCCCAACCGTTTCTGCAAGGCCTGCTGCTGCGGCCGAATTGGGACGGCTCTTTGCAGAAGCTGAAGGTGGCACGCAACTTCTTGGTTTCAGAACAATTTTTCCATCCCATCTCCTTATATTAAATACCACCCATAGCCCATAGAGGGGATGACATGCCATATTTGGGACCATGGAATGGGATGTTTAATATCTAGACACGGATGGATACGCATTTTGTTGGTTGACATATTTGGACCAAGCGACTGAACACGGGGGATGTCTTGACCAAAATGGGAATCCTTGTGTATCCACAGTGTGCCAGATGTGGCTACAGGGCAGTGGCTGGTGCCACGGGTTTGTGGGGTCAATGTTAGGTAAGTTTGATCAGGGAATTGTCGATGTCCCACTGAAAGATAGTATGAGGAAGTATCAAACATTATCCCAACTGGAGACCTTTGCGATATTCGTCCCAAGCAACTCCATCGTCACACCCGAAAGCCTCAAACAATCTCAAACATGCTTGGCTACTTCCCGGCCACGACGAAAGATTGCCCGGTTCTTGGAGGGTAGATAGTTGGTACAAGAGTATTATTTTCATCCGCATGTTTGGTAGTGGTGAAGTTGTCACATGGTCCGCTTACATGCCATTGCACAAGATTCTTATCCTGGCAAACAGCGAAAATGATGATCTTTTTTTTTTGCATACTTTCGTTTCAGATCCACCATGTCTTGCAAGTGTTGTTTCTTTTTTCTTCTACTTAAGCTTGCTTGTGCTAAACGTCGGGAATTTTCGGGAATGATCCACTGGCTAACTATCAATAATAATCCCGTTCCCCCCTTCCCATCCATTCCGTACGTTTAGCACGAGTAAGTCAATGTTTGGTACTTCCAATCCCTTCCCAGCAATCTAAGATACCCCCCAAACGAGACCCTGGTAAAGTACTGGGTACCCTTGTGATTCCACTAGTTCTTTGGTAGAGGGGTCCCCAAAATGAGTAAAGAATGGTAAACAACAGTGGGGATTTGTCTAGAATATATTACATACATATACTATATATTATATATATAATATAATATATATATATATATTATATAATACATTTAATACTGTATATATATATATGAATATGTACAACACTATGCATATAAATACATCATATTTCTAGGGGATGAACATCCAGGCTATATCAGCCGGCTATATCAGCCATTTTGGTACCGATGGGGTGCCGGGTGACATCAGGATCAGGAGATTCGACCATCTTCTGTCAGATGCTTCGGCCACAAGACGGGAAGGCTTGCAGGGCTTGCAGGGCTTGCAGGGTAGGTTGGAAGGGGCGAATATATACCAAAAGCTAAGCATGATGTGTATAAGTTTAAATACATGGTACGATATACGTATATATATATATAGAGATATACATACACACAGATATATATCGTATATTTATATTTATATATTTATACATATATATATATATACACATACACATAATAATGTAGACATATACATATCTCAAAACATGTGTATCGAAGGTTAGGGCCACACCAATTGTAAACAGGACACAACTACCCCGTTTGAGGTTAAAGCAGGTTGAACAGGGTGAAATATTCAGGTACAATATGGTAGAATAAGTAGTGTCCCCTTCTGGCAGGGTCTTTCAGATTTCCAAAGTAATATGGGTTTCCAGATGGATTTGGGTGCCACGGGGTCCCATGTCTTGCAGTGCCACCCTCTCGGCTTGAACAATGGCCAGCAGCAGATCTTGTTCATGCCAGCCACTGTCCATGCAGTGGCCATTGCTAGTATTCGCTATTTACAATTTACTTGCCCGAGGGGTTATCCCATTCCGGTTCACTAGTTTTTGCTTGTCTTTTTGTGGTGCTCTTGATTGCTTTTCCCTTCTTTCACATTGCCAAAACGCGTTTGACTTTTATTGGAGGTGCCAAGTTCGGGCACTTGTCCAGGGATGGTTTAACACGTCTCCCGAGCATTTCATGTAACGCTAGCACTGTGTATTCCTGCCTCGTGCCTTGGCAGCAGAAAAATGGTCGTGCACCCACCCCATCATTTATTGACTACATATCACCCCCATCCTTTGTTGCTTGTGGTCTTGTGGACTTTGATATTTTCATATATTTTCTATGATTGCCATTCAGCTTGTGAATGTTACATAAATATCCCGAATTCCTCTGCAGTGTCACCACTGCGTCTGGTTCTGCCAGGTGCAGTTCCTCTACTTTTGGAAGGCCTTTGCTGAAGCAGCGCGCATCGCAGGCTGGAGAGTGGATGGGTCAAGGAGGCTCCGGGAGAAAAGAGATCGAAGCCGAAGCCAATCAATTGCTCAGGAACTGGGGTATATTGTACAGTACCTCTGGATACCTCTGGAAAAAATCAGTATCCCATTATGCCATTCCATCTACCCTCTGGTAAACTAACATAACTATGGAAAATCACCATTTTTAATGGGAAAATCCACTATAAATGGTCATTTTCAATAGCTATTTTGACATAACCAGAGGGTACTGGTTATTACTGGTGATCATTCCCCAATGGCCAAGATTGGGGTCCCTGGTTTCCCCCGTGGATCCCATCGAAGGGGCCGTGGCGATAGACACTGAAAACCTCTCAGTGGAATTGGAGATGCTTCGGGTGCAGCCTGCGCGGAAACACCGGTGATGCAAAGGGGAAAGCATCAGCTGCCCAGTTTCGCAATTGGGGAAATCGCATTTAGAAACTGAAAAAACCAAAAAGGGTCCAGAATGGTGGGTTTTAATATATCATATCAGTGATTATAGTGGGCTTTATGATACTTATGGTGGGATGTGTTGTAACATGTTGTAACTCGGGTTCAAAAAGGCTAGTTCTTCTAGTATAAATTGGTAAGGTTTAACTATTTTGCGCATGATTTTTCTCATTTTTTTTGGGGAGGATTTACAGCCCATGGCTGACCAATCCACATGAGGGGTCCAGCAACTGTGCAAACGGAGAATTAGTTTCCTCTAAGTTTTCCCTGAAGTCAATTGAATCAAGAGAGTCCACCTTGCCTTCTATCCCTTGAAGCCTGTGCCGCGGCTACGGCTCAAGTGCGAGCAAACCTGTAATTGCTGTATTTCTCGCATATACTCAGGCTTTGCAGTTCGGGTCGATGTGAGATTGATATATCCTCGCATTTAGTAAACATGCTGCAGTTCAGTTGATGTCTGGAACCACATGTCCAGCCAACCAGAAATATATGAACCACATTGAAACATATTATAATTATCATAGAATATCCTGACAATATGCTTTTCAACATGCAACCAGCATTCAGATTCCAAGCAACAGCCAGGGTCCCAGGCATCCCAGGCATCCCAGGCATCCCAGGCATTCCAGGCATCCCAGGATCCCAGGATCCAAGCGCCATGGCTGAACCCCAACGGGCCAAGATCCGTGTCACCGGGGTGGTGAAGCGTTCTTCAGTGCCCGCTGCGGAGGTGCGGGTGGATGGAGAAAATCGCAAGTTTCACGGTGCAAACCAGGTACCTCCAATGGAAAATGATGACAAATGATGACTGCAAGGAGAGTTTTTTTTTTTGGGTACCATATTTTCAGGCAAAACGAAATGAAATGGGACCATTTGAAATGGGACCATTGTGCTGGGTCAATTGACTCGTTGAGTAGTTTTTTTTCTTCTTCTTTGACGTTTTTCTTTTCTATGTGCTTGAAGGGTCTCTGAGATTAGCATGGATTGGCCATTTTTGTGGAGCATTATTGGTTGAGTAGCCCTTAAATTTGCGTGTCCTGGCCCAAGTATTTGGGTTGCAATCTGTATGTGGTTACACTTGAGTTGTGATCCCATAAGGGAACATTTACAGGACACCGAGAGAGATTCGCTAGTAAAAACCATCGGCTTTTGATTTGCATGAAAACGGCCTGGCAACATGTCTGGCCGTCTTGATTTTGGCACGATGGTCGATGTATAACTGTTGGGAGTTGGGGTTCCAGTTGAGCAATGCCCCAAATCACCCTGATGGATGGTTGACGGTCAATTGTATGGAACTGTACTATGTCAACTGTGTGGAGTTTGTTTGGCATCTCTTAAAGTTTGCTTGGCATTTCAATGCCAACTTTTGCTTCTGAATTCAAACAAAATGCTTCTGAAAGGACAACATTTTGCTTCTTAGATCTCTAACAGGTGTGATTATTTCACATAGCTATGGACAAAAATCACCCATTTATAATCATTTCTATATGTTTTTCCCAGCTATAAACTTCCATTTATAGGGACTTCCCATAGTTTCCTATGATTTTGCCATGGTTTTCTTTACGTTCGATTTTGCCAAAGCCGCCAACGCCGCCAAGGCATGGTCCCCTGCCCATCGAGGAAGCACGGCCTCTGCCACTGCTGTGGCATCCGCAGTGCCTTGACCAGCCGAGTTTGGATTAAAGAATGTACTACACGCTTGGTTACATACATACATAACATACATAACATACATAATACATACATAATACATACATTACATTACATTACACTACATTACATTACACTACATTACATTACATTACACTACATTACATTACATTACATAACATAACATTACATTACACAACATAATATAACATTTCATTACATTACATTACATTGCATTACACTACATTACATTACACTACATTACATTACATAACATTACATTACATTAGACTACACTACATTACATAACAAAACATAACATAACATTACATAACATAACATTACATTACATAACATTACATTACATTACATTATATTACATAACATAATATAACTTTTAATTACATTACACTACATTACATTACACTACATTACATTACAAAACATTACATTACATTACACTAAATTACATTACATAACAAAACATAACACAACATTACATTACATTACATTACATTACATAACATTACATAACATTACATAACATTACATAACATTACATAACATTACATAACATTACATAACATTACATAACATTACATAACATTACATAACATTACATAACATTACATAACATTACATTACATTACATTACATACAACATACATACATACATACATACATACATACATACATACATACATACATACATACATACATACATACATACATACATACATACATACATACATACATACATACATACATACATACATACATACATACAACATACATACAACATACATACATACATACATACATACATACATACATACATACATACATACATACATACATACATACATACATACATACATACATACATACATACATACATACATACATACATACATACATACATACATACATACATACATATGTATTATGATAGTGTACAGTATACATATATATATATATACACACACACATTTAGGTATGGGATAGTCTTAGCCCCGGGATGAATACACCTTGGTTGATTAATTAGGGGGTTCCAAGCAAATTGTGATAGTTTGCTACTTCAATGGTGCCATCCAAATGAAACAGCCCAGGCAATTACGCACCTTCGTCAAGCCCTTTAACTCGGGCTTGTTTCAACTAGTCGTTTTTCCCCATCAAGATCCTGAAACTTTTCCGTGAAGAATCGGTGTGTCTAGAAAATGGCGTTTATGAGGGTGGCTAACAGGGTATAACAGGGTATAATTACGCCGCAGTGACTAAAAGGGAACCTGATGATCAGTGGATTTTGGGCTACCAATTGTTTTGGACGAACTCGCATATGGGATATATATATATACTGTATATATATATATAAAATGAATCTAACAGCTGTCCTATTGATGACTTGATGATGTGGCTTTGTCTGAACGTTCACGCACCCAAAACCCATGTTTTCAAACGGTATTTTCTGAACAAAGTGGCCATATTCGACTATGCACCATTTCTGTTCAACCATATATATATAATATATACGTATGTACATTTAATGTATGTCACTAGTGCATCACTGAAATGATATGTATACACTATACATATACATATTTTGATATATCGACATATGGAATATATTTCATGATATCAAATATGCATACATCACCATGTATACAGCATTATGATCCACTATTGTCAATGTACGAGTTGGTATGTGATGGGGCCCGCACTGAGAACGATGGATTATTCCAGTCCGCTAGTAGTCAACGAGATTCAAGTTGGTGGCTGGTGACTGATCTGTGGTTTGACATATTTTGTCAACACCGCTAACTGGGACAGGTGATATGTAACACAGACACACACACACACACTCTCTCTCTCACTCAATACATATGTACATACATATATTATATATATATATTTATACAGATGTATATGTATATATACATTATTGTGAGGTATGTGTAAAACATATGATGCGATATAGCATACTATCATTGCATGCTCATATTATGTAAATGTAAATATAGGTATTATTTGATTTATTTGCATATATGGATATACGTACACAATACAAGTTGGACATCTTAGATTTGCTATGATATACTTTACTCCGTCACTTCTACCTGTGTATTTTCCCTTCACTTCCACATACGCATTAAACTATACTATATATTAAAACACTTTGTCTCAAACATTTGGGTAGGTAGCGCAAACATTTTCCCTGTTTTCAATGCCCATAGATCGGGGTATCCCGCATTTTGGCCAAAACTATTGTCATATGTAAACATCCAATGTAAACATCCCATTTTTTTCCGTTATAGCTCATGAAATTACGTTACATAATCTTTTATCCCCGGGAAATGTTGGCTTTTGTGCCCCCCATATTATGATAGAAAAAAAAAACCTGCATCATTGATATCATTGGCAGCCTCCTGGAAAAATTCATCACCGGGCAAAAACCAAATCTAGGCTGGCCGTATTGGTTCATTATCCCATAGGGTTGGTTTGCATCATTCAGTTTTTAGCTAAAGAAACCACACTCCACCGAAATCACAGATGTTCAAGTGGTGATAGCCCGTTATATCATAGTATAGCTGCCCCTTATTGCTTACTTCAGACCATGTATATGTATAAATATGTACAACTGTATAACAATTTTTAGCATGTAGTTGCTACCATCTATCTATCGATCTATTTGTCTATACACATATCAACATTATGCAATCATCTATTCTATTATGTCTATTTACTCTATAGAACTATCTATCATATCTACCATGCATAGCATAGACAATTCCATATAGCCATATTTTTTCATACATAGTTATTATAGACAATTTATCATAGAATTGGATGATGGGAAAATTTGAACCGGAAAGCCCTATATTTGATGGTAATTTTACCATGGTTTCCTGTAAATTTTCCCGACTAAACCAACCCAATGAATTTACAGGAAACCATGGTTTTATAGATAATGGCAATTTATGGAATAAATTTTCCTGAATATGGAATTTATAGATAATGGCAATTTATTCCATAGCCATATTCAGATCGCCTTGAACTGCTGAGGCAAGGGTGGTTAATGCCCAGGTGAATCCCCAGGTGCGTCGCAGCCAGCAATGGACTGATCCATACGACCTATGTAAAAAAACGAACCTTTGTATGTGTACATATATAAGTATATATATATATATATGTATATATATACTACATATATAAGTATACATATATATATATGTATATATATATACTACATGTTAAGTACAATTATTATATGGATACATTATTGCATATATATATATATGTATACATATATGTAGATATTTAGATATGAATACGTATATAGACATATTTATATAATCTATTTGGAATTGATATATGCCGGTTGTTTGATGATTTGTTGGTGATTCACGGCTCTGACTATTGGGCTTACCGAGCTGTGCGGGACGCAAACAAAAGGAGGCGCTATTCAATACTATGAATATAGTATCAATAGTTACCCTCTGGTAAACTAACATAGCTATAGAAAATCACCATTTTTAATGGGAAAATTCACTATAAATGGCCATGTTCAATAGCTATGTTAAATTACCAGAGGGTATGTTGATATAGTAATTAGTAGTTAGTTACTTCTAATGGTAATAGTAGTAGATATTGATAACATTACTGCTTTTAATGAGTGACATGTGTTTTATTCCTCTTGTCAAGATCTTTTTGTTTCTCTCAAACAGCCCGGACGTCCTACATGAAGTGGTGGTGTCGTTTTTCCGTGCATTTTCACCAACAAACCTGGGTTGCTACGTGGATAGATAGATTGCCAGAAGGGTGCGGAAATTGGTGTCCCCAGCATCTCCCATGAATGGATGGTTAAATCGGCACAACCGCCAGGCCTCTCCTGCGAAGGCACCTTGATGGCTGGTTGCAATGATTTATACTTGGTACATCCGATTTAGAACTGGTTACTGTAACAAGATTTGAGACTAGATTAATTAACAAAAAGGGTTGGCTTAATAATGAAAACCTTTTCGGTTGTTTTCTTCACAACTCCCACTTCTGGTACAGTAAGTCACTGGGTAATAGGGATCATAAGGTAATTGACGGGGTACAGACAAAACATAATCCCATTGTTTTCGCTTCGGGTTGAAGCCTCAAATGGTGAACTCAGGTACTATTGAAAAAGTGGTTATACCACATTACAATTTACAACCATCTAAGTATATGGTTTGTAATCAGGTGCAACTGGGAGCTAAAGCGATAACCATTCCTGGGACATCCTGGGACCATTTCATGGTCGCGCAGGAATCGCCATTTCAACCCGAATGGGGTGAACGTTCACCCCATTGCCCACGCCAGCCCCTTATCCTACGATCCAGGCTTCATGGTTTGTGATAGTTCCACGAAATACTGGTTATTTGATGTCCAAAACATCCCTAACACCATGGATTTCTTCAGCCCAAAATCCCAACATCACCGCAGTGGATGGATTCCTGGCATGCACCACGGACTTTGCCGCGAGGCTTTGAATCAGAGTCAGCCCATCTCCGAACATTCGAGTAGCACATCAGTAGCAACACGCGAGCCTTCGCCTGAGCCTTAGCTCCTTCAAATCTTGCTGCTGTCGTTGGAGATTGTTTCATGTAAAACCAGGTTTTAATGTGGGTTCGGTATCTGAAAATGGGGTATGAGTACCGGTGTTCCCACGCCCAAACAATTTTGATTAGGAAAATGACGATTGAGCAGTGGATAGAACGGGACACCACATTTTCAGACAAACCCATGGTGACTTACGCCATAGTGTCTGCTAATGCTGCTGCTGCCGCCGCCGCTTATGTGCGCGGAATCGTGTCTATCTGCATTTTTTCCAAAGATATGCGTCATGACTGCGCACGCGCAATGTATTCTCGATTTTTGCTAGGGGGTTCAGGGGAGAAAGTGCATTTTGACTCTACGTGGGCAATCTTTCCAGGCTTTCAGCTACCTTCTGCGAGTTGCAGAATTCAATGAATTGTCAGAAAAAATAATGCTCGTGACGTGACTTCAGAGGCATGATGTGCTTAGTGCTTTTCACAGTGCCACACAAGATGTGCCTTTAGCGGCGTAATGTGAGTTAAGTCGACACCTTCTACCGAATATAATATGTTTACATCACTTATTCTTAAGGTAATCCTGTGATTGATCAACCAGGGATGAGACAGAATCCGCTTTTGACACTACACAGTCAGTCGTCTTTTTATTTGCGACCAGGTCGAAAGAGTTTCAGAATTATGTATTGGTTTCTTGGTCCGGTCTATTTACTTTATGATGGTTGACGAGCACATTCGATTTATCATGGGGGGTGTGGTTCCAAGTCATTGAGCCAAGAAGTTGGATTATCTGAAACTAAGCATGATCAGCACCATTTTCCACAAGCCATTATCCACAAGGGTGCCCCATTTTAGCGCGCCATATCTATTTGTGAGAAATGTGATGATCTTCTGTCTGTGTCTTGGCGAAACAACCTGTCTTCTCACATCCTGCTTCTGGAACTTGCAACCATCCACCAAGCAGAAGCGCTTCTTCCCGTTTCTGGATTCACAGCAACAATGAGCAGAAACACGCAGAAACTACAGATTTAGTTGCTGGATTTGAGATCGCTTGAGTTTGAACCCGGACACAGGTTGGATGGGTCAAACTTAGGGCCTTAGGGCAGGGAAGACCTGGTTTTTTCGCTCTTCTCTGATCGGCCGTTGGTACACCTTGCGCAATGGTGAGGGCTTCTGCCCTTGCCATTTTCATGGAGGAATATATATATATATATGTATAATCCTGCTACTTATTCTTGCTGGATATCATTTATCGGCATGAGCCCAGCAAGGAGGACTTGCAGCATCTTGAAAGGAAGAAATGATATCATTTCCAAGGTTGGCAGTGTATGGCTTAACTCTTTTAGAACCACCAGATGCGGCAATTTGGTGTTGAACCATCCGATTGTTGTAGAAGCATGTAGAGCATATACCACAAGCACCGTCAGGAGCACAATAAGGAGCACCATAAGGAGCACCATAAGGGGCTGTACCCAGTCTTCCAGTTATGCTGTGAGCCCAATGGAGCTCCATTTACATCTGATTGGGGTTCATACCCTACCATCATGCCACTTGCAATCAAGAAGAAATACGTTCTTGACCAGGTTGAGTCTCATTGCTAGCTGCGTGAATTCGTACTTCATGCTTAAATCTGCCATTGGTCACTCGAGGCCTGTCACTGGTGAAAAGGCTACGCAAGAGGTGAGGAAGAGGCCCGAAAGGACCTACCAAAATCCCCCAAAAGTAGAACAATGAAGTCCTACTATAGAAACGTGATAGATCATAGATCAATATATAATCAATATAAATCACGTTTCTATCTTTTTCTGGATTGCTATAGATCCACGTGATATAATGTTTTTTTTTAGTTACTCGCCACGTTTTTTTTGCGCTCAGCTCATCCCATGTCAGTGGCGCGAGGCCCATCTCCGCACAAAGTCGGGTGGTGGTGTGCAACTTGTCAAAAGAGAACAAGGAGTCAAAGGACCCTGGGTGGCTATGGGTGGCTATGGGTGGCTATGGGTGGCTATGGGATTGTATGATTGGTATGTGAATGCCAGGATTAGATAACCAATCCGCTTAATGCTTAGTCCATGTAATTTGGAACTAATCGACAAAACGATCGAGATTTAAGCACCATTCAATGGGTGAATTGACTGGGTTGCTGGGTAGACCAACGGGTGCACACGGAAATGCTTGGTTGGGTGGCTTGATACGTATTTTGTTTCCAATTTCGTGCAGGTATGGGCTATGCTCTGACAGTCACTTTTTTGCATGGTATCTTAGGCTAGCCAGGTTGATGGGTAAGGTGAATGGGTTCGTTTTTTGGCCATAGATTTGGAGAACTGGCAGAGAAATGATGACCAAATGAATGAAAGGAGAAGGCATCATGACGCACATGATGCACGTGGAACTGCACCGTAAAAAATCGGCTGAACGATAACACATCATCAAATGTCCGGAAGAAATCAGGCTTGGCATTTCTTTTAGGTTATCATGTCATGTTATCATTTGTCATGATCATGTATCCAGATGGTACCCTCTGGTAATTTAACATAGCTTTTAACAATGACCATTTTTAATGGGAAAATCCACTATTGATGGTCATTTTCAATAGCTACGTTAAATTACCAGATGGAAGATTCTCACACGCTCCAGATGCATTGTGTTTTTTGGCGCTGGTGGACTTCGCAGTGTCATAGGTGATATGCCTGACTCAAGCGACCAGAAGACAGCTGGTGTGTTAACCAGTCACTTGGTGCGTTCATTCAGATGCCTCACCCATCTCTTAAAATCTCTTGATTCAGATGTCCGTTCATCCATGAATCATGATGAATCTAGATATGGGTTTGTCTGAAAATAGGGTATATTCCCAATGAAATAGCCATTTAATAGGGATAATGATCAGCAAAACCATTGGGAAAATGGGGTACACTATTTTCAGACAAACCCATATGAATCTATCTGTAACATTCACTTTAGGTCACCTGAAGAACTCCTCTCCAGGAGCCCAGGTGATGTGGGCACATTTTTGTAGGAACCCTACTGGCAGTGCGGATGGTTTTTGGATGGTTTTGATTAGATCCCGTTCTCGAAAAAAATAAGACATTTTGGACCTGAAAGTTTGAGACCCACCATATTGATTTCATTTGATTCTGTGTTTCTTGGTGGAATGAGACGCTCTTCCGCCTCACATTGCTGACGCAGGATGCTCCAGTGCTTCAAGAATTGAAGGACGGTCAGCGGATGGGAAAACAGTTGACCACTGCCGGACGTGGGGCCCAAGCTCTGATCCCGCAAAGATGGGGGAAACTATGCCATGCTTAGCCATCAATGCACTGAGGGCGCCTCAAGTTTTGTGACCTTCCTTTATTTGGGAGTGGAAGTCCATGCCAGAGGTGTTCAGTGGATCCACCTGATTCAGATTTGGCCGAAGGGCCGACGGTGGACAGCAGGAATTTTTTCGAAAACCACATGGGAATGTCTCAAGACCTGATCTTCGCTGCGGGGGAATCATGGGGATCAAAACTGTAGGGAATCCATTGCATGACCAATATGTTGATGATCGCGAATCGCGCAGGATAAAGAGAAGTTGAAGTCTGAGAATGAACGGCTCAAAATGGAACTCTCCAAGGCTCCGGTCTCAATCTCTGCGGGCATTGTGCTGAAATTTCGATGGAAGCGATGGAAATATGCGAAGAATATCAAATAGAAGCCCTGATCAACTGTAACTAATCTGGCCCCGCCAAAAAGAACTCAAGTCATCACCATGTTTATGGGTGGGATTCCAACCATCCCCAGTCATGGTAGGTTTGGTAAATATTCTCATTCATATTCCATATGTTCCAGTAGTTTTCTATTCAATCACCATGAATTCCCCACAGTAACAATGGATTTTCACGAATTTTCGAAAAGCCGCGCAGCCGTCGATTGGTGAGGCCTTATCCCCGAAGGAGAAGAAGATGCTCCTGGCGGAGAAGACGAATCTCTTGCAGGTCCTGCAAATCGAAAAGGACTGCCTGGAGAAGAGGCGCCGGTTTTTCAGCGTCCCTTCTTGCATGGTTTTAAATATGATTATACATATTACATATATATACATAATATGTATATGCACGTAAGTTTTTTTTTTGGATAATGAATTGATAGTAATGACATGACAGTAAAGACGTTAACGATCGTGTAAATAACAATAGTAGTAATGATATGATAGTGATCGATATATATATATATATATACATACATATATACATATATATATATACACGTATATACACGTATATATATATATATATATCATATCAACGGTAACAATGATCGTGGAATAATGATAATGCTAATAATTATGATAGAATGATAACAATGACAAATACATGTATAGATATACATTCATAAATATCAATAAAAGTGTGGTTATATAGATACACACATGCATATTGACATATATTGACATCACTTATGTATATAATATATTGGCTACCAAGAAGTGATCTGTGATTCTCTGGCGTAATTTGGCAGGTGGTGAACGAATCTTCATAAGAGGTGTTGTTGGCCAACATGGGCCCCGCGAAAGATAAACATGGAGTTCGCAAAAGTTTCGCGAAAGTAAAATTTTTATTCGCGAAGAATGGCCGTTCCGGGATAAAGGAATTTTGATCAACAACCATATATATATATATATATGTATATATATATATGTATATAGAGCATACCCAGTTTTTTTCATTGTTGGGGCTCCGGACTGGCTCCATACCTCAACATCTTGGATGATTTCGATGAGCCATCAGAAGTGGTCGGTGCCCATGGGATGAGCCATCAAGGTCATCCATCTATGATCATTTTTGCAGGTCAAGAAAACTATAGAAACTATAACCACACAAATATATATATATATATATGTATATGTATATATATATACATATACATAGATGCACCATGTACCACTACTTGAGGCAGAGATCATCCCACTATCATCCCAACTTGTATTGGGATGAAGTTTAGCCTCCCTAATACGAAGATATGTGCCATTTCCGGGTGTCAACTTTACTTCCCAATACACAAAAAGAAATTGGAAATTGGAAATAGATTGTTGGACATCCACTTTCCGATTCATCGGGTGTAAATTTCACAATTGGAAATCTATTGAGATACAGCGCAAAGTCCATTTTCCATGTGCCACACAAGTGCGCCACAGGTGCGTTGCCTTAGAGAAGCAACTGATTGTCGATGCCAAAATCTATGAGGACCCTGGGGGCCTTCTCGGGCATGTGTCATCCTGTTTCGACGAAAGTCCAACAGTTGCAAAGTTGGAGGCAGTTGGAAACTGCCCATTCACCATGAATAGTCGTGTCGTAAGTGACATAGTGAGTTGAAAACACATCGCCATTTTGAGGGCTTCCCAAACAAGATACAAACCACTGAGAATTACCAGGACGGACATCCAAATAGCCCGACCTCACGCAGCCAACCTGATCAAGCTTATATACTAATATATATATAGATATTATATACATATATATTGAGTGCAACCAACACAGATGATCATGATGACTATGATGATGGTGGTGATTGTGATGATCATGATGATTTGAATGATGATGGTGATGATGACTCTGGCTCTTATTATGATGGCCGTGTTGATGTTTGTTATTTTATTATTCGATAATGTTCCTAGTCATGATCATGATGATCATGATGACCATGACCATGACGATGACAATGACGATGAGGATGATGATGATGATGATGATGGTGATGATGATGATGATACTGATTGCGGTGACTATGGCACTTTATTCTTTTTCTTCTTACTCTTCTTGTTGCTGTTGTTGTTCAATTCTGCTGTTACTGCTGTTGCTTTTGCTTTTGCTGTTGTTGTTGTGATCGTGGGTTTGGTTGTCGTTGGTTGTTGGTTGTTGGTTGTTGGTTGTTGTTGTTGTTGTTGCTGTTGTTGCTGCGCTGCTGCCACTGCTGTGGTCGTCGCCGTCAAGGTTGTTGTCGATGTTGTTGCTAATGTTGTTAATGATGACCAATGATGTTATATAGTTTGTTTGATATATAATGTTGTTGTCAATGTTGTTGCTAATTTTGTTGTCGTTGTTAATAATGTTGTTAAACATGTTATCAACGTCGTCGTTGTGCTGGTGGTGGATCACCAAGTCACCTCCCAGTCCAGCCAGGAACGACTTCAGAAGGAGCGGGACCAGAGGAAACAACTTGAGGCAGAGAAGGAACTTCTCAACACAAGGCGCAGTGAAGCAACACCTGCTTGAGAATGCTTCAGATAAAACAGACATAAACAGACCATCACTGACCATCACAGAGCCTACTTTACTGTTACCTGAATCTACTTGGCATCTTGGCGTTGCTGGAAATACGAGTGGTGTTTCAAGTGCACACATGTATAAATAATATCACACAAATATTCAATACTGTTCCATTCCAATTACAATTGGCATCTGGCCTTGAAACTTCTCCAGGTCGCTCCCAGGAATCGTGGCTTCATCCCATGTTTAGTAGGGAAACTCATCCCATTTCCATTCCATTTCCATTTCGAAAATCCTTCAGTAGGGATCTGCCAAGTTAAAGATACAAAAAGAAGTCGTAGTTGTAGGCAGATTTTATATACAAGATACACCAGTTTAGATACCAGTTTGATATACCCTCTGGTTATTTAACATAGCCATGGAAAATGGCTCATTTATAGATGGTTTACCTTTAAAAACTGGTGATTTTCCATGTCTATGTTAAATAACCAGATGGTATCTACCAGCTTCAGCCAGCTTCAGAAATAGTGGTGGCTGTGTTTTTTTCGAGGTGCCAAACCTTGGAGAAGCAACTGGCACGCCGCGAAAGTGAGGTGACGACACGGTGACGAAACTGCCGGGTCTTTGCCGAGAAATGGCAGAGATTTGAACAGAAATCTCATCCTTTATTAGGGTGTGTCTGAAAATAGTGTACCCCTAAACCCAATGGTTTTGCTGATCATTATCCCTATTAAATGGCTATAATTGGGAATATACCCTATTTTCAGACAAACCCATTAGGCTCAAGCATCTAGAAATAGTATGAAATAGTTGTCCCTGATTTGGCGCAAACCAAGATGCAACATATACATGCACATGTTCTGGGCAACATTCAATACCCCGGCAAGAAGGTTCCACAACTTTGTTCATTTTCGCGAATTCTCCCCTGGAATTTTCGCACTTGACATCTAACCAGGTGGTGGTTCACCACCTGAAAAGGGGATAGCTCGATGGCTCGGACATGTCAACATTCGTAGCTTTTTTTATTGATCGCAGGCTGGTTGGTAAAGCTTCGGTAACTTCGGTCCTTGGGGGAAACCGATCCCTTCCAGTTCGATCCCGATGCCAATCCAATCTCTGGGATCATCGAAGTGCCAGTGCAGTGACTGAAAAATTACCCGTTTTTTTTTTGGCAAAAACCACCATGCTTTTCTTCTCTCAATTACAACCAAGTAAAATCCATTCATGTCGGATGGAACCCCAGTATGGTAAAAACATGTTAAAACCCCATGGTCACTCGGTCACTCCCCCTTGTTGTTTGCCAGTTTTTGGGTTTCTATGTTGATGGAGAAATCTGCTGCAAAATCATTGTCACCAAAACCCCTGGTGCAGTGTACTGGAATCCCAATTTTTGTTGAGATACCCGATGCTGCTTGGTAGATCCCCTTGTAAATGGTAAAACCCCCTATGTTCAACGCCGAGATATGCTTAGATCGATCTTGAATCCAAAATGTTTCAGATTCCAAGATATTCCAAGGATTGGTTTCAGGGAACATCTAGAGGAACATGTTTCTTAAATCTCCAAACAGAGCACAGCTTGGTAATTGTCCTATTTTGGGTATTTGGAACATCACTTTCAAATATCAGTTGAAGATTATATTCCCAATATTTGGGTGATGTTCAATTGGGACATTTACCAACCCCCGTTCAAAATCTTTCAAAGCAGATTTTCCCAAACAACCCGCTAGGCACGCAAGGTGGGCTGGGCTGACGGACAGAGTCTGGCAGTGGCTGTGCCTGGGTGATGCCAAACTGCGGGGTGTAGGAAGTTTGGAACTCTAAAATAGCAAGACAAGTAATATGTGTAGTTATATGTTACATGTACATGTAGTAATATGTATATATTGTATAGTTATAGAGTTGTGTGTATATAATGTATCGCATGATATCGCATGTAATGACATGGAATAGTGATATTTCATGAAATATTTCGATAGACTGAGATGATTTTTGCCACTGATCCGACCATTCTCCTGTGGTGCGTTTCTACACGTATTTGTCTCTGCAGATCCGTGGGGATCTACAATGCATTTATATATTATTACAACAAACATCGTACTTGTAATTAATATTAATTAATGATATACAATGATAAGGATATGATGTAATATTAAAATATACTAAAATACATAATCGTATGCAGAACAATATATGTATTCATATGGACGTACTTTTTTTTTTGTATGACATACAGAGACCTGACACAGAGCAATACCAGCATAGACAGGTGCATCCCAATCCGGGCACAGCTGCGCCGGTATTTAGGTGCCTGAAAATCGACCCCACACGGGGAATTCCATGAACTCTGGCCTTGTTTCTGCCTCGAACTTCAGTGGCTCTGCTGGAATCGGAGGTTGATACGTAGTCGGTTGCCACCTTTCGCACTGATCGAACGGTTCAGCATCTGAAACTGGGACTCTTCGAGTACTGTCGGTGCAAAGAGATCTTGAAGGAATCAATGGATCTTAAAAGTTGTTTCCAATTACTTTTGAAACTTGTTTCCCATTGACTTTGCTACGTTTTTACAGGTGGGTTTCTGCAATGTCATCCCCGGATCAGCAAACCTTGCTAGTTGGGTGCGTTACCACCAGTCCCCCAATCAGACCTAGCTGTTTGTTAATCCAGCTTTAAATAAGGTGTTTTTCTGGAAAACATGCGGGTACTTGCATGGCCGGAGTTTGCTTGAAAGAGACCTCCCAAGAATTGTCAAATGGCTTGTCAAAAAGTGGGGTACCAAGAAGCCACAGAATTGGTCACAATGCCTGAGATTTCCTGAGGTGCAAAACATCCACGACTTGAACTGGGGAAATTCATCATGGTTCTGAACCACCCGGAACCACTATGACTCAAACATCTCGAGACTGCAGCCCTTTATTTTGATGGATCAACCTTCCATTCAACGATCTTCAACGTCTTTACCCTACAAACTCTCGCAACTCTCATGCAGGCAACCTGGAAAAACAAACAGAGATGATCTTCAGATGTTTAAGTGGGTAGAGGTCAAGTAACTAATGGAACCACAAAAGGCTGGTCATTTGTGTGGCGCTGCATAAACCAACCATTTCGGGCCCGCCATTTTGGACCAGGTTTCGAGTCGGCCGCCTCGCATGCATCCTTCATTTATTGCAGCAGCGCCAACTCATTGAGGTCGTGTTGGTCGTGTTGTTGACGCACGGGACTTTGATCAAACAGAACATCAATGGAGGTTTCCAATCCATGGGGGTACCCCTGTTCATCATCCATTAGATAATGGGATTTTCCATGAAATAATCCATCCAGCTATTGGGGTACCTCCATGACTTAGGAAACCTCCATATATGGGTGTGACTGAAGATGAGGTAGCGGTATACCCCAAAAACGTCCATTTCAGGAGGGACATGCTCCCTAGTTTTTCAGGCAAACCCATATGGGGGCACAATTTATGACCCAGGGATTGCAGATTTTGTTTACTTCATGTCAGTGACAAACGATCCTATTTTAGTGTACGGACCCAAGTTTGACCCATATCCATAGAAAGGTTCTTTCGAAATCAATGTATCAGTCACCAAAAGGGCGAGATATTTGGTACCCTCTGGTAACAAGTTGTTTTTCGACCTTAGCAATCGGTGGGATTGCTCAATCTTGATCAATGGGGATCAAATTGGTCATTATCCACAAACAAAATGGCATTATAATGGCATGGAAAAATTGCATGGAAAAATACAGGGGAACTTCATCAGCACGCGTTTTTTTTTGGCGGATGACCAAAAAAACTGGATGGTTTCAGATCCTATGACCTGCCATGGTATCAGAAAGGTACCCCAATAACTACCCCAATAACTTGACCTACGTAGGGATAAAGCGTGAATGGAAATCGGATGTTGCAATGCTGAGAGATGAAACCATTGTAGCTAAAACCTGGTGTGGTTGGTAAACTGCTTGAACTTGAACCAACGAAGGGGCATTTAAGCGTATACCGTCATGAGTCCCTTGGTGTATTAGAAACGAAGCAGCGTGAATGGATGGGTGAACGGGTACCCATGACACCATTCTTGCGAGGATGAACGTCCACGTGCTAGCTATTTTCGCGTGAACAGCGGAGCTATCAGGATGACTGACCAGGGTAACATGTTTGACGTAGATTTCCTTTCAATTTTCTCCGAAATGATCTGCCAGAGCTGCCACTGAGAGCAGGTCTGTGGCTGAATGGGTCTTTCCTTTGCAGAATCGGATTTTGCCACCTGAAAAGACCTATGACGCCTGGAATGATGGGTTTGTCCACGGGGGGCCTAGGGCCATTTTCGTTTTCAACTTGACGGGATTTTATGGGAACCACCTTTTCGGAAGAAACCCGAATTTGTCAATTGGTGACATATGGGGCCCTGAGTAAAAATATTGCCAACCACCAAGAATGGATGATTTGTCACTAGAAGCTTGACTAGATGTGTTGTTGTTGGGTACCCCATTGTTGAACGTGGATCACATCTCAAATCGGTGCCCCAAAAAGATAAACGACATGAGACAAATAACGTTTCAGGAGTTTACTTTTTGTGAATTGTGAATCGGCTTTTTACGTGTTTTTACCTCATGGTGCTCTGGTTTCCAACTTTCGATTTGTTTTGGTTCTATGGCGTTGACTGGTGACCTTGTTGAAGTTGACCAATCAACAGTGGTCCCCGGGGAAGATCTGACTTTTGAATTCAACAGCACTTAGCGATCGTCGTTTTCCCGTCATTTTTTTGCTCATCTTTGGTGGTGGGCCATCCACAACTGGGGAAGGTGCCTGCTGAATCCACACATGGGAAGCCTGCTGAAAGACACCAGCTATCTTATGGCCTCCCCAGGAATAAATGATCGTGGATATATATATATAAAGGATATATGATATATATATATATATAATTATATATATAATTATATATATATATATATAATTATATATATATATATAATTATATATATATAATTATATATATATAATAATATATATGGATATATAAAGGATTATAAAGGGGAAATCATCCACTTGATGGCCTTAAAGCAGCACTTATTTGGACCTTTAGATTCCTCCGCGGAAGACACAAGGTCATGACATCGCACATTTCAGATCATCCGGGGAGACTCACTGACAAAATGCTGAGTGGAGCAACATTTTGAGCTACGAACCCTAGAAATGGGGATTTAGCTAATACATGATCTGAGTTTGTGTTACCCATCATATCCCGCAATATTGTTGGCGACTCATCCCTCAGCGTCCCTTGACAGTCATGATGCTCTGCAGTCGGAGATCACAACCAGCTCAGCCCCAGTGACTCTACATGACATAGTGCTATTTGGTCTATCCTCAGTAGATTTGTCCACAAAGTGGAGGATGTCCGAATTTACGGCCATTTGGTCTATCCCGACTTTGATTGTTGAACTTCTGGTTGGGAACTTACACCCCAGTTCCCACTGAAACATGGCCCAAATATAGCTGATATCTGCACATGTTGTGTTCTTTGCAGAAATCACATTTCTACTTACATAATGTTACATACAGAAATTAGATTTGGATAAATTTGGATACATCTATATATATAATATTACAAATATTGGGTCAAACTTAATTATCATATTCTGGGGAAGAGCCATCCATAACCAGCTATGACTTGGGTATCTAGATGTATCTTGGGTACCAGGGTTTTGACATAACCATATGTTATATATATATTATATGCATATATATGTTATATATAGATATTATATGTATATTATATGATATTATATGTATGTATATATATATATACTATATTCGGCATATGATGAGCCCATCACATCCCGACATCTCGTTGAGGATCGTCAGCTGCTGGCTGCTTGACCGAAATGTCGCTGAAATGTTGAAGAAAGGGTCAGCTGTTCCACCAGGAGGGAGGTGAAAGATGACCTGTATACAAGCCATATATAAACCACATATAACCTATATTTAGCCTATATTTAACCTATGTGTAACCTTTATGTAACCCATCTATACAACCAATATATAACCCATACATAACCCATATATATATATATATATACATAGAGATTATAACTGGCTGATAGCTGCGGTTGGGATGTCAGCGAGAAAAAACGGCCCCATTCTTGGTGACTTTTCTGTCTAGACTCAATAGACTCAATAGACATTCATATAAACAACATATAACCCAGTATCTCCCAGAAGCTGCTTGATGTCTTCTGACTGCTGAAGACTGCTTTAAATGGATCCAATTTTTAATGATCTTTCAATGACACGATCCGAAAACACTGAGCCCTGGAATGATGATTAGGATTCGGGGGGTTATCCCAATATGTATATATCTATATATACATATATAATCCAATATAGCCGAACTTATCAGGTTAGTGAATTATGATAATTTCATATAATTTCCCAGAACGATGGCCACTGCTATGGCGCCAGTGACCTCGCTTTAGGCTCCAAGCGATCCAAGACGGCAGTGGTTGGAGGAATACATCAACGGATCTTTGATGTCTCACCGAGACTCGGCAGCACCGGTGAAACACCAGGTGCATCCCAAGGAATCCGGTTGTGACCGTGGTTGCTGCTTGTCACCCGGTGTGGTGCTCCACGGTCATGTTCCTACGCTGATCCCACTTGCTCTGTCTTGCTCCAGATTTCGTTTGACTCTTTATATGTTTTTTTTTTCTCTCTCTCTTTCTTTGTTTCTCTGTTAGGTCATTCTAAGTCGTACCGTACTTCCCATTCCAGTTTTGGACAAATTTCTCTCAGTTTCGTGCGCCAGGAAAAACCTACGAGTCGGAGGAGTGGTGCTCCCCTCCGCAGATCGAGATTATTCGCGTCTCCGAGGCCAGGGACACAGGTCGTCGCGTCGTCGCGAAAGGGTGAAGATCATGGTTAGTGGAACCGGGGAACTATCCCAACATGGCGTACAAGACTTACAAGACCTTGTTTCAGCTTGGGAAATCAGTTGAAATGATCTGCAATTTTATCCTGATGAATCGGGTGATTGTGCCAATATGTACCAATACATCTGGGTAAGTTACCGCCCGACCTCAGTTTGAACTGATGGTTTATGCATGACAAATAATTCCTAAATGGGCTTATTTCGCATGTGGGATTGATCATACCACTAATTAAAAATTGTCATTTGTCACTTTGGGAGTAGCCCTTCAAATCCATTAATTGGTTGATCTGTTCACAAATTTATAACCTGATTGGCGGTTGGTGCACTTAGTTAAGATGGGATATTTTCCGGGCCGGGCTTACAGGTTCTTAATGAGTGACCAACCAGGATGACACCCCAAGTAGGTACCAAAGTGGCACAGGCACAATCTTATGGAGCACCAGTGGGACCAATTTGATCCAAAAGCCACGTAGATGATGAGCTCCAGAAGCTCATCACGTGAAATTTGCTGGTTGGATTTGATGTATAATGACTTCTAATGGCAGCCATCATTGAGGCTGTTAAAATATGCATTCGAGATCAATTGGGTGGCACCATCAATTCGCAGGCGTATGGGAATACACCGTGACAAGAAATCCAGGGTGATTGTCCTATTCAGGTGTCTGTAAACAAATATAAGCCAGCTGGAAGACAGTTGCCTCACTGGAAGCGCCACGGAATCTTTAGGAAAGTTCCAAGGAATGTGTGTATAATATATACCTCGACCCTCCAAATCCTAGGAAACTTTAGGTGTTTTCGGAGTTTGACCTATATCGACTGATTTTACCCACAACACCTAGATACTGTACTACTTTGGTCTTCGATTTTAGGACTTTGATTGCATGTATTTGGGCTTGGTGAGACAAAGGCAAAAAATGGTTGCAGCGCCTCAAACGAGTAAGGAAAAAACCCGCAAAACCTCGCAAAACACCCGCAAAACACCCGCAAATCCTGAAATCTCGTTGTTTTAGGTAGTTTTCGGATTTTTGTATAGTTCCAAAATTCCTCACGTTTTGTGTACGGGGGCGTAGTGCTGAGATTTTCCCAGAAACATACATGTCTGGAACAAAGTGAATCATTTTTTATATTTTTTGGGTTGTTTGACCTATCTTCTTAGAACGACCATTTTTTCCTCGGAAGTGGAGGGTCGAGGTATGTATATATATATATATATATACATAATGTGTGTGTTCCGCAATTTATCATTCAGTTTGGATTCTCGTCCAAGTTCTTTTTTTGCCGCCATGCCTGAGGTCTTTAATCCAACTGTGAACAATGTTTCTCGGCGACAATCTCTCGAGATGTTTGTCAAGCACTAATGAGGTGAGTCTTGCAAACTTTTCAACACATGTTTGCAAAAGTCTTTGTCCCGCTTCCTTTCGATGTATAGCATATGTATATAACATATTATACAATAATATATATATATATACACGTATAAGTACATATATGATACAATATATATATATATATATGTATGTATATAATATACATGTATGATCTATATATAGTATGTGTAATCATATATATATATATATATCTATATCTATATCATCTTATGTCATCATCTCAGTGGTTTCTCCCGGAGATCTCCAACAATGACCTGGAATCGCATTCCGGCGTTCCGGCGTTCCGCCGACTTGGTCTCTTCCCATTGACTTTCATATTTTTCAGTGGGAAACCACCAATCAGCAGATAGTTGGATGAACATGATGATTGTATGATTAATGTATGATTATAATGGGTTATACAATGTTACAATGTTATATATTCCATTATTTTCATATGAAAGGTAATGACTGATTATAATTAATGGTGCTATCATGGGGATACCGTTTGGATCGCTTTTTGGATGTATGACCAACAAGGTAATGATTGCTCAAACAAAAAAATGACAATATGGAATGATTCCCCAAGTGGGTTTCATTCTGGAACATGTTGTATTTTATTCGTTGCCATGCTTGCCATGCGTTGACATCCGTTAAGGTAGTCAAAGAGTCAACGAATACCTTTCTGTTCATCCGCAAGTAGGGGGTGCAGTTCCCCTCCTCATATATCCCAACTTATGGGGATAGTTATAACATGATCAGACAAATGGCCCATGTCATAGCCATCAATTAATCACCCCAATGGCACCCCCAAGTAGTGCACCTGTATGTTGCCAACAGGCCTTCTATCAGCAGCTCTCACAAATGTCCGAGGCGGTCCAGGGTTAGGGAGGAGAGGAGAACGTAGTCCTTTCAGATTCCCTTGATTTGTTTTTTAGTCTTTAACGTTCTTTACAGTCACATGCGCTTGTTGGATTCTCTGTTGCTTGAAGTGTTGTTTCGTTCTTTTGAGAAGACATGAGAAGACTATAGTTGTCTCCTCTGATCTCGACATGAAAAACAGCAGCCCCGGGCATCCATTGTTACATGTAACAATCTACCGGGATTGGCTGAGTTTTTCTTAGCTGGAAAGACTCACATGACGAATTAGGATCCTGACATAAATCAAGTAGATGCAAGTAGAAGTGCGGGCAGTGGTTTTCGATGGTTTGCTTACATCCTTCGTAGTAGCCGTTGTCGTTGTTGACGTCGTTGTGGTTGATGTTGATGATGATGATGATCTCCCAGGGATTGGTGGTGGCCATGTCAAAAATCATTAAACACCCATTGTCCCATGCCAGTCTCAGTCCCTGAACTAGCTGGTTTACTGCCCAAGAAAGGAGCTTTGACATAGTTTAACCATGTGTAACCCGCAGAGAAAATTGGATAATTATCTGGATAGATTCAAACTTGAGGACCCAAGGATGCGACCCGGGTACAGGACACACATGGTCCTAGGGGTCCCGGGTTTCAGGGGTTGGTAAATGTCCTGTTTATCACCTTTGAATGGCTGAAGATGATTTTGCCATGGTGATGTTCAATTGGGACAATTCGGACCTTTGACTCGATCTCGGTCGGCTAGGAATGCGTGTCTGATCTGGGAAGATCCTTCGTGAGAGCCTGGAGTTAGTTTCTCTATGAAAATGGTCAATTGGTGGTCTAATCCGTACATTTCATCCCTCATTTGACGAGTGCATTTTTTAAATAAGTGGTTCAACCATTTTCAACGACCAACCAGATTTCTAATACGTTGGATCCATTGGTTTTCTGTTGGACTACCTGTCATTGGATTAGTTTTAGAGAAAATTCACAGGAAAACATGTTTTTCGCGGGTGAAAAACAAGGTGGTTTCAACCGCACAACTTTGCCTCCAATTCTGGAATCTTTTTCATGCTCAAATTCCCATTGTTGATGGTGCTATTCCTACAACTCCCCATTGTTTTTGGTGAAGCTTCCCATTTTCCATGGTCATAGCCATATATCTCCTGGTCATATCAGTCATATCCATGATTTTTCCATGGTACATCCTGATTTTTCATAGATAAATCATGATATTTTGGTATTTTCATTGTCTTTCATGGTACCAAAAATCCATGGATTTTTCCATGGTGCAGGTCTGGGGCAGCGAGCGGATGCAGGTTCCGGAACTGCACCGTGCCATTCCCATTCGCACTGCCTGGGATCAGAGCAGAATGAACGAGGCGTGACGGGCAACGGTGATCCAGAAAAGAATATGGAGGATTATCATCCAACAATTGGGTTTTTATATGTTCTTGGGTTATAATTTGGGTTATCATTATCCAATAACATGGGTGTTATAACATCATTTGGCTTCTCATCCAATATGGGGTTTCCTAAAGTGAGGGTACCCCGAAACCATGGGTTCCAACACCAAAGTGATCAAATTTTGCATGATTTGGGGGTGCCCTCATTTTATGACACCTCCAAAATGGGACAATATGATGGAACAATATGGAATAATCACATCCGACAGACGATAACAAAAATAACAATAACACCATCTATGAGAATATAACAGATGATATAATCTTTTACGATACATACATACATACATACATACATACATACATACATACATACATACATACATACATACATACATACATACATACATACATACATACATACATACATACATACATACATACATACATACATACATACATACATACATACATACATACATACATACATACATACATACATACATACATACATACATACATACATACATACATACATACATACATACATACATACATACATACATACATACATACATACATACATACATACATACATACATACATACATACATACATACATACATACATACATACATACATACATACATACATACATACATACATACATACATACATACATACATACATACATACATACATACATACATACATACATACATACATACATACATACATACATACATACATACATACATACATACGTACATACGTACATACATACATACATACATACATACATACATACATGTTACATACATGCATTGCATTGCATTGCATTACATTCCATTACATTACAGACAGACAGACAGAGACAGAGACAGACAGAGACAGAGACAGAGACAGACAGAGACAGAGACAGACAGAGACAGAGACAGAGAGAGACAGACAGAGACAGACAGAGTCAGACAGAGACAGACAGAGACAGACGGAGACAGACAGAGACAGACAGAGACAGACAGAGACAGACAGAGACACGACATGGGCATGGGTCAATGGCAGGGATTATCTCTGCATGAAGTTGGGATATTGTGATATATTGTGATGATATATCCTTTGGCATCTTCCACTTTCCTTTTGGGCTTAAATCTACGAAGTGGGAAAATCTCGGTGATCCAATGGCTGGAGCGCCGTCCTCACATCTCTTCCTTAACTTGGGCCATCGGGAAGGGGTCTTACAGCCTTAGGGCACCAAAAAACAGAACCGATCATCATCCAAGTGGACATGAATCAATGGCAAAGAACAGTGAGAGCAAACTTTTTATGAACAACCATGAACATCCCCATATCAGTACAGGTAAATTGCTTGGAGATATGAACAAAATTACTTTACTTCGTGTGATCCCCACCATGACATTTATACATTTTCTTACTGGCATATCTTCTGGCACTCTATCTGACATATCTTCTGGCATTCTATCTGGCATATCTTCTGGCATATATTCTGACATATCTTCTGGCATTCTATCTGACATATCTTCTGGCATATATTCTGACATATCTTCTGGCATATCTTCTGGCATATCTTCTGGCATATCTTCTATTTATCTGGCATATCTTCTGGCATATTTTCTGGCATTCTATCTGGCAAATCTTCTGGCATTCTATCTGGCATTCTATCTGGCATATCTTCTGGCATATTATCTGCCATTCTATCTGGCATATCTTCTGGCATATCTTCTGGCATATCTTCTGACATTCTTTCTGACATTCTTTCTAACTTTCTTCTGCACATTCTTTGTCCCATATCTTCCTACATGAGGTCCGGCAGGGAACACTTGGCGTGGATATTCGCGGTTGAGGTCCGGCAGGGAACACTGGGCGTGGATGGTCGTGGTTGAGGTCCGGCAGGGAACACTGGGCGAGGATGGTCGTGGTTGAGGTCCGGCAGGGAACATTGGGCGTGGATGGTCGTGGTTGAGGTCCGGCAGGGAACACTGGGCGTGGATGGTCGTGGTTGAGGTCCGGCAGAGAACACTGTGGATCGCGGGGCGCAGTTGAGCAAGGACGACGAGGACGACGAGGACGACGAGGAGGACGAGGAGGAGGAGGAGAGGAGGACGAGGCAGGAGGAGGCGGAGGAGGAGGAGGAGAAGGAGGAGGAGAAGGAGGAGAAGGAGGAGGAGGAGGCAACTGACATAAAATCTAACAACCCTCACCTGGCAGGTGGGGAAAAACTGCCAGGTTCAAGGTGATGTTCCAATTTTTGCCTGATATTTATCACACGCTTTGGATATTGTATCCAGGGGATGGCAAAAGCATGCAAAACGTAGCGGGTGACTTATGTAGAAAACTTCACGCAGTTTCAGGGTCGGGTTTTGAGATCCCACTGTCCCGTGCCGCGTCAGGTTTTGCTTTTCCACGGCTGCAAGTGGGATTCGTTGTTCGGCATCTTGCGCATCTTGTCAGCGTCGTTGGGACCCTTCTGAGTAGAGGATAGTCAATGGGTGTATCACGGTGTATCTATACTGCTAATGGCTAGTAAATGGACAGTCGTTGGGTATATCAGTATACATCCAATATTATTTTATCAAATTATATACATAGATCAATACATCCCAGCTATTGTTGGCTTATTCAGAAGCATCTCGCAACCAAACTCCACAAGTCTGCAAACCACCTACTCTCTGGCAATTTAACATGCTAACATGGTAAATCATCTTTACGCGGGCAATTTTCCACATCTACGCTGAATTCCTGGAGGGTAAGTCTGAGATTGCGATACATGTCTGAGCTAAAAACCTTCATCTCAACAGTTTCACGAAGTCTCAACCATTCTCCAAGCAGTCCGGTTTGTTGGGGGCATTTTAAGGGAGGATCCTGCATTGCGCCGCAGAGTCAATGGGGTCCAAGAATACCTGAGTGTGGACCATGGCCACTAGCCACAGCTGATATTCTCAGTAGCTCGCAGTGCATCTATGTGATAGTGACATTTGATAATCATATAGGTAGGTGTTACGAAACATATGTATAGTATAACTAAAACATAGTATTAGTTACATATATTTATATATATAGATAGTATATACTGTAATATACAGATAAGATCTATGTTGGCAACAACTCATATGACTAGAAAGGACTTTGGTAAGTTCGCACTAGAAAGGACTTTGGTAAGTTGGCAACTCCGATACCAGCCTATTGAATCTGTCTAAATATGATCGAACTTTTCCGAAGGGCATCCAGATGTCATTGTTCCATGTTCCTCTTATGGAATTCATAGCATCCAAAGCCTGGTGTGTTGAATGCTTTGGATGGTTTGGATCGCTGACTGCAGTTGAATCATCACTAGCACATCTTGGGGACAGGGCTGCATTTGGAGGGCCGGTCCAAAAAATCTCTTGGGTTGGATGGTTGGGGATAAGACATCGCCCAAAATCCAAGACTTACCACCACCAACCTTTACTGTAACATCATCAAACTCTATCAACGACTTCACAAAAAACATGGGGATAAGCAGAAACGTGGCAATTTTTAAGATAGTTTGCATAGTTTGTCATAACTTCAACTGGGTCACATTGGGTCACTTGTTTGCAGGGTCACCCCATCGTTTACTCTGAGGTGAAGGATTCGATCCTCGCCTGGGTGGCGTCAACACCGGCGCGGCCTTCGGCATCGGCTGCTACTTCACCACTGTGGCGAGTTGGAAAATCTGGAACGGTCGAAACAGACACGCCACGTCTATAATGGGGGCCATAGTGCACCACGGATTTCTTGGAAGATGTTAGCGAAAATTAGTGTTTATGGAATTTATGGATGGATATGAGGGATCACTGTCTATTATGTTCTCTTTGTAATTGGCTTTATTTTTTGAGCTGCTTATCAACATGTGAGCACTGTACACCACATTGTTGGGGATAGTCGTGGTCTGATGACCTGTGATAAGGTGCGCATTTCAACACTGACCCTCTGGTAATTGACCATATAGCTATCGAACATGGCTAACTATAGTTGATTCACCTATGTTTTTTTTCTATAGCTTTGTTCGTTTACGAGAGAGTAGAGAATCACTATTCATTGGATCAAACCAGATTAGTCATAATCCCTACAAACAGGAACATATCCTGGGATATACCATTCATTCCCAGACCCAAAAACTCATAGTAGTTGAGGAACCCCAGCAGCACAAGATTTTCAAAACGGGTAACATATCCAAACAACAGAAAGCATTTGGGTTCTCTGAAGATAGGCTACCCCATTGACCATTGAATCCACTCGTTAATCATCATTTTCCCTATCAAATGGCCATCATTGGGGGTATTTCTTTTTTGGGGACTAACCCATTTGGCCAATTCTTTGGTCCTTTCAACTACAATTCTGACCGTTTCCCCACCTAGGTGAGGTCTTCTGGGCCTTGCCGGACTCGAACACTATGCCAGATAGAATGGCAATATGTCAGATAGAGTGTCAGAATATATGTCGGATAAACCGTCAGATTTTTTGTGTCACTTAGTGTGGATGATTGGAAGTAAAGTCATTTTGGCCCTTCCGAATTGAACAGATGCTTGGAGTTTTGTATCCGAGACATCGCATCAACGCCCAATCCGTGCCCATTATAATTGGGTACCCCATAATCCAACGGTTTAGTGTTGTATTTCCATATTAAACATACCCTCCAGTAAGCTGACATAGATGCGGAAAATTCACTTTTTGTAGATTGTTTTCATAGGAAAACCACGTTTTTTTGTATGTCTACCCTAGAGTAACCATTGTGGAGCTGCGCCATTTTAAGACGACCCCATTTTTCGAGGTGGCTTCCAAAGCGGACGCCTACACAGAACGCTGGGACGAATGGGAGGGGCGGCCCAACTGCGAGATCCCCTCAGAGCTACGTCGCTTGGTGGTCACCGATGATTTCCCCCGATTTTCCCATGTTTCCCCATGAATTCGGAGGGGATGAGTGGGATGAACATCAATTTACCCATGTGAACAGAAGGGCCTCGATGGGTTTTGATTCATGCTGCCTGTGGATGAGGTTAAAACTGTCCTGATTGCTCGATGATGACTTTTGTAAACATCAAGAATCAGTACATTTATGATTTATGCCTATATCATGATGGTTAATTATGCTGAATTATGGTGAAGTATGGTTAATTATAGTTAATTGTGGTCAATTATGGTTAATTATGGTCAATCATGGTTAATTATGGTTAATTATGGTTAATTATGGTTAATTATGGTTAATTATGGTTAATTATGGTTAATTCTGATTAATTATGGTCAATTATGGTTAATTCTGATTAATTATGGTGAATTATGATTAATTATGGTTAGTTATGGTTAGTTATGATTAATTATGGTGAATTATGATTAATTATTGTTAATTATGGTTAATTCTGATTAATTATGTTCAATTATGGTTAATTATGGTCAATCATGGTTAATTATGGTTAATTATGGTTAATTATGGTTAATTATGGTTAATTATGGTTAATTATGGTTAATTATGGTTAATTATGGTTAATTATGGTTAATTATGGTTAATTATGGCTAATTATGGTTAATTATGGCTAATTATGGTTAATTATGATTAATTATGATTAATTATGGTTAATTAATTATGGTTAATTATGGTTGATTATGGTTAATTATGATTAATTATGGTTAATTATGATTAATTATGGTTAATTATGATTAATTATAATTAATTATGGTTAATTATGATTAATTATGGTTAATTATGGTTGATAATGGTTAATTATGGTTGGTTAATTATAATTAATTATGGTTAATTATAATTAATTATGGTTAATTATGATTAATTATGGTTAATTATGGTTGATAATGGTTAATTATGGTTGGTTAATTATAATTAATTATGGTTAATTATGATTAATTATGGTTAATTATGGTTAATTCTGATTAATTATGATTAATTATGGTTAATTATGGTTAATTCTGATTAATTATAATTAATTATGGTTAATTATGATTAATTATGATTAATTATGGTTAATTATGGTTAATTTGTGGTTAATTATGATTAATTCTGGTTAATTATGGTTAATTATGGCTAATTATGCTTAATTGTGGTCAATTATGGTTGATTATGATTAATTATGGTTAATTATGGTTAATTCTGATTAATTACAATTAATTATGATTAATTATGATTAATTACGGTTAATTATGGTTAATTATGGTTAATTATGATTAATTATGAGTAATTATGGTTATTATGGCTAATTATGATTAATTATGGTTAATTATGTTTAGTTATGGTTAATTATGGTTAATTATGGTTAATTATGGTTGGTTAATTATAATTAATTATGGTTAATTATGGTTAATTATAATTAATTATGGTTAATTATAATTAATTATGGTTAATTATGGTTAATTATGGTTAATTATGGCTAATTATGGTTAATTGTGGTTAATTATGGTTAATTATGGTTAATTATGGTTAATTATGGTTAATTATGATTAATTCTGGTTAATTATGGTTAATTATGGCTAATTATGCTTAATTGTGGTCAATTATGGTTGATTATGGTTAATTATGGTTAATTATGGTTAATTCTGATTAATTATGGTTAATTATGGCTAATTATGCTTAATTGTGGTCAATTATGGTTGATTATGGTTAATTATGGTTAATTATGGTTAATTATGGTCAGTTATGGTTAATTCTGATTAATTATGGTTAATTATGGCTAATTATGCTTAATTGTGGTCAATTATGGTTGATTATGGTTAATTATGGTTAATTATGGTTAATTGTGGTCAATTATGGTTGATTATGGTTAATTATGGTTAATTATGGTTAATTATGGTTAATTATGATTAATTATTGTTAATTATGGTCAGTTATGGTTAATTCTGATTAATTATGGTCAATTATGGTTAATTCTGATTAATTATGGTGAATTATGATTAATTATGGTTAGTTATGGTTAGTTATGATTAATTATGGTGAATTATGATTAATTATGGTTAGTTATGGTTAGTTATGATTAATTATGGTGAATTATGATTAATTATTGTTAATTATGGTCAATTATGGTTAATTCTGATTAATTATGGTTAGTTATGGTTAGTTATGATTAATTATGGTTGAATTATGATTAATTATGGTTAGTTATGGTCAATTATGGTTAATTCTGATTAATTATGGTCAATTATGGTTAATTCTGATTAATTATGGTGAATTATGATTAATTATGGTTAATTCTGATTAATTATGGTGAATTATGATTAATTATGGTTAGTTATGGTTAGTTATGATTAATTATGGTTGATTATGGTCAATTATTGTTAATTATGGTCAATTATGGTTAATTCTGATTAATTATGGTCAATTATGGTTAATTCTGATTAATTATGGTGAATTATGATTAATTATGGTTAGTTATGGTTAGTTATGATTAATTATGGTTGATTATGGTCAATTATTGTTAATTATGGTCAATTATGGTTAATTCTGATTAATTATGGTCAATTATGGTTAATTCTGATAAATTGTGGTGAATTATGATTAATTATGGTTAGTTATGGTTAGTTATGATTAATTATGGTTGATTATGGTCAATTATTGTTAATTATGGTCAATTATGGTTAATTCTGATTAATTATGGTCAATTATGGTTAATTCTGATTAATTATGGTGAATTATGATTAATTATGGTTAGTTATGGTTAGTTATGATTAATTATGGTTGATTATGGTCAATTATGGTCAATTATGGTTAATTATGGTTAATTCACACTAATATACAGTTGGATTTCCTATGATCTTAGACAGCTTAAATGAAGCTTTGGAGATTCGCCGCCCGAACGGGGCCATGAACGTTCGCGACATGGCCCAGCCTTCTGCTTTTTGGATCCAGATTCTAAGTCTTTCGCAAAACCATTAAAAAAAACTGTAACTATGTGGGGACTAATACTTACTAAGATTTCTATTGTAATTAATATAACTACAGTAGTTTGCATTACCTTTTCTTCAAAAGATGGTGAAGATTCGTAGCAAGTGGATTTAGTTGAGGCATTGAGAAAATGAGTAAAAACCAGAACTCATTTACATTATTTGCAAAAGCATGTTAAGGATCAAGGTATTCAACACTACAAGAGGACACGCTCCATTTGCTGAGGTTGCCATCAAAACTTCAAAACTGAACGTGCATAAGAGAATAGAAGCAGAGCAAGAAGGCAAAAAGAGAATACAATGGACTGACTACATTTTAGAAACACCTTTAACTTATGATAATAAAGTGAAACATTTAACGATGGAACTTACCTCAAATGAAGCTAGAAGACCACAAAATGAGTTTGGAGTAAAGATGAACATATCAACTAAAGCAGTGAAGAAAGGGTGTAGCCTGATATAGAGGTTAATGATAAAGTTGAACGGGCAGGAAAGAAAGGGATCACAGAGAAGCAACAGACCTCACACTGGTTAAAAGACATTTTTGCTGTTTCAAAGATTGAAAAAAAACATGGGATAAACCTATTTATTGAACCGTATAACGTATATGTTTTGTTTAATAAAATTGATTTTAAGGATACTCTATTTAAAGAACATTTATGTAATAATATTATATTTCACTATATTATAGTGACATGCTGTTCAGTTTCTCAAAATGTGATGAATGTAAAACTTAAATATTATGACATTAAACGTATTCAATGAATACCTGCTTGAAATAACAAAAATAGTATTTTCTTTCCACTGTTGTCAAACATGTAGTACAATGATGCTTGTTGAAGATAAAGTGCCCGAAGACATACAGAACTGCAGTGAACTGAGCAAAACTTAAAACAGATACCTAATGATGATACATGAACCATTATTTAACCTAGTACAGAGCAACAAGAAACAAATTGCCTCATTACACATAATAACATAGACCCGGGCAAGCCGGCGGCGGAAGTTTCTCAAAAATAAATGACCTATAGTTCGAAGAAAAACCTGTTCCGACCGTGTCCTTCCCTCGACAAGCGGTTTTTTTTCAGCGAGAGACGAAGCAAAGTCTTCACACTCCACACTCCACACTTCACACTGCACTCTTCGCACTCCAAACTTCAAACTTCACACTCCACACTTCACACTTCACAGTCCACACTTCACACTTCTCACTTCCCACTGCTTCCTTCACACTCCAAACCTCACACTTCACACTTCACACTGCGCTCTTCGCACTCCAAACTGAAACTTCACACTCCACACTTCACACTTCTCACTTCCCACTGCTTCCTTCACACTTCACACTTCACACTGCACTCTTCACGCCCCACGTTTCACACTGCTCTAAACGTACGTCCAACAAAAAAAACACTAGTGCCAAAATGGAGAAAATCTGCTAACAAACCCATTTCGCAGCCTTCATGCAGCCACTCCAAGACGATTTCCGAGATCCAGCTGCAAAAGACAATAGTATTACAAATGCAGCCACAGCACGAAGCAACTTTGACGCAGCCATTCCAATAGGATCTGCAGAGACTGAGTTGCAAAACACAATAGAACTACGCGCAACGGCGTCGGAAATTGTAGCTCCAAAACCGGATCTCGACGCCAGAGCGAAAAAAAGACGATTTTGAAGCACTTTTTTAAAGGATTTTTAGAAGGAAAATCACTAGCGCCAAAATGGAGAAAATCTGCTAACAAATCCATGTCGCAGCCTTCATGCAGCCACTCCAAGACGATTTCCGAGATCCAGCTGCAAAAGAAAATAGTATTACCAATGCAGCCACAGCACGAAGCAACCTTGACGCAGCCATTGCAATGCGATCTGCAGAGACTGAGTTGCAAAACACAATAGAACTACGCGCAACGGCGTCGGAAATTGTAGCTCCAAAACCGGATCTCGACGCCAGAGCGAAAAAAAAACGATTTTGAAGCACTTTTTAAAAGGATTTTTAGAAGGAAAATCACTAGCGCCAAAATGGAGAAAATCTGCTGACAAATCACTGTGGCAGCCTTCATGCAGCCACTCCAGTACGATTTACGAGATCCAGCTGCAAAAGACAATAGTATTACCAATGCAGCCACAGCACGAAGCAACCTTGACGCCGCCATTTACACTGCGGGAACGATCCTACAGTTGCAAAGCACAATGGAATTCCATCGGCCACTCATCCACCAGCAACACTTGCAATCCCATTTACATTGCGGGAACGATTCTAGAGTTGCAAATCACAATGGAATTCCATCGGCAACTCATCCACCAGCACCACTTGCAATCCCATTTACATTGCGGGAACGATCCTACAGTTGCAAATCACAATGGAATTCTGTCGACCGCACATGCACGAAACACAGGTGGAACCCCATTTACAATGCGGAACCGATCCGAACATGATCCGCCCATGATCCGACCACACACGAGACCGTCTCGCAACCGTCGCACCGCAGAGGTAGATCATCGAGGTTCGGGGACGGACTTTGTATGGAAAAAACATAGGGTTTCGTGCATCTGCTATCTCTCAAAAACGCATTTCGTGCGAGACTTCCTTCAAAACTCCATCGGCAACTCCTCCACCAGCACCACCTGCAATCCCATTTACAGTGAGGGAACGATCCTTGAGTTGCAAATCACCATGGAATTCCATCGGCAACTCATCCACCAGCACCACTTGCAATCCCATTTGCATTGCAGGAACGACCCTACAGTTACAAATCACAATGGAATTCTGTCGACCGCAAATGCACGAAACACAGGTGAAAACCCATTTACAATGCGGAACCGATCCGAGAATGATCCGCCCATGATCCGCCCATGATCCGACCACACACGAGACCGTCTCGCAACCGTCGCACCGCAGAGGTAGATCATCGAGGTTCGGGGACGGACTTTGTATGGAAAACCATAGGGTTTCGTGCATCTGCTATCTCTCAAAAACGCATTTCGTGCGAGACTTCCTTCAAAACTCCATCGGCAACTCCTCCACCAGCACCACTTGCAATCCCATTTACAGTGAGGGAACAATTTCTTTGACTAACTCGTTCCCTAACGAACTCTTTCTTTGCTAACTCTTTCTTTGCTCTTTCTTTTGACTAACTCTTTCTTTGCTAACTCTTTCTTTGACTACCTCACATATCCTGACTAACTCTTTCTTTGACTAACTCTTTCCCTCACTAACTCTTTCTTTGACTAACTCTTTCCCTCACTAACTCTTTCTTTGACTAACTCTTTCTTTGACTAACTCTTTCCCTGACTAACTGTTTCTTTGATAACTCTTTCTTTGACTAACTGTTTCTTTGCTAACTCTTTCCCTCACTAACTCTTTCTTTGACTAACTCTTTCCCTGACTAACTGTTTCTTTGCTAACTCTTTCCCTGACTAACTGTTTCTTTGACTAACTCTTTCTTTGACTAACTCTTTCCCTGACGAACTCTTTCTTTGCTAGCTCTTTCTTTGACTAACTCTTTCCCTGACATTCTAAAAGTCCGTAACACGGAAGTTTCTCCCCCTAAACTTCCTTTGATTAAAAGAACGACATGCTAGACATAAACTAAGTCGAGTCTTACAATTGTATGTTGAATCTAATTTAAAAGTATTCAGAAACATCCACGATAGCGTAGGAAACAAAGAGCCGTTATTAAAAATGCTAGAGTTTTGAAACTCAAGACTTCACAGTTCATACATAACAATCAGTTTTCCCATGAAAGGGAACTACTAAGGTTTATCCTACATTGCTACCTTATGAGTTTATTTATATATGAAATATATACTTAATTAATCCAAGAGATATTGAATACTATCTAGATGATGTCTTGGATTAACATATATTAAAATGCGTCCTTCATTTGTAGACCAACATATTGTACCAACATTTTGGGAATGGTTCAATCATATGAAATGTAAATGCATCCAGTTGTAGAGTGCGCTGTGTTGTGATACATGACATGCACGGTACCTAATAATTTAAACAGAATAATCATGGTTGTGGTGATTTCCCATTGAATGATTCCTGGAATACACATCCAACCTTAATGATGGACCTTGATGTCAGTGCTAAATGGGATGAAATCACCAGGGTCCACCGAGTGTGTTCAGCTGCAACATGGACCTGTACCAAAATTAGCCGTGTATTCACCAAGATTCCCAGGACCAGGTCTGACTGCCCCAAGGCTGCTTACTGGTGGCGAGAGTTGCCCTTGGGGAGGTCAGGTCTGTCATGATTGGGCCCGGACGTGCATCGGGCTTGGTAAACCACCACTTTTGGATGGGTTTTGAGATGGTAAACCCACGGAAAATCATTAAACCACCATATTTATGAAAATTGATAAAACTTGGAAAACTCATCGAACTCATGGACCAATTTCCTATAGCTATGTTATATATCTTGCCAATGGCGGGGTTTTCATTTTTTTCGTCTCAATTGGACATGACACCCCCGCGGTTTTCTCTGACGATGATGTTCCATTGACAGATTGGATTACCTGAGGGTTGAATAAAGGTGGACATCTATAAGTGATTCTAAGTGTAATCATTGTAACTACATACACATATATATATATACATATATATATATATGTATATATATATGTATATATATAAATATGTATTTATATATATATACATATACATATATATATATACATATATATATACATAAATACATATATATATATATATACATATATATATACATATATACACATATATATATACATATATTTATATATACATATACATATATATATACATATACATACATATATATGTATATACATATATATATACATATACATATATATATATGTGTATATATATACATATGTATATCTATACATAAATATATATATATATGTATTTATGTATAGATATACATATGTATATATATATACATATATATATACACACATATATATATATATACACATATATATATATATATACACATATATATATATGTATACACATATATATATACATAGTATATTATGATTATATCTATATATATATACACTGTATATAATTATATGCACATCATGTTCAAACAATGAATTACGGGGACAGCAGGTTAATGACCACACTTCTAAGCCGATCATTGACCTATTCCTTCTAGATTTCCTGAAGATCACCTTCCAAAAACTGCCAAGGCCCTGACCAGACTGAGGAATGATACCACCATTTCGCCAGTTACGTGTTGGTCAAGTCCCATGAAACCCTAAGTCTTGGGGAAATTCTACGAAATCAACACCATTCTAACCTTTCTAGATGATAACCGTAGATTAATGATGCTTAATATATGGTCAATATATGATTAATATATGGTTAATATATGGTTAATATATTGGTTAGCCACTAATATATACTGATTTTTTGTCATCCCCATTCACTAGCTGGTTGAGGGCTGTGTTCTAGCCAATCTTGAGTGCTCAAATACCATGTGCCATCCCATTTTTGGCCATCAACCACCACGGATGCCCTGGTCATTGCTCAACATTCAACATGTTCAAAACCACCCGCTGAAAAAGCACCATTTTTCATGCAAAAAATCATCGAATCAAATGCAGATGTTTCAGCGATTTTCATCCGTTTCGGGCATTGCTCAAGTGACAAGATCCAAAGTTGTTCTATGAAATCCCCTTCAATCCCCAATGTTGTGGTTTCAATCGTGTCTTTATTTTCCCTAATTTTGAACGTAGGAATAATTTTGAACATACTTTGACTGTTGTGAAACAAGCATATTTTTGGGAAACCACCCGACATCCCCATTTTTCTCAGGTCTTCGAGATGTTTGAAGCCGACTCTTCATTGCGGCGACCCCCGGTGGGACCCAATGAGGTCCGTTGCGACTCGGTGCTAGGCGCGGGGCGGGGCGGATCCGGTGGGAAATTTCAGGGAGTTAAGTAGCACAGATGGGGTAGACCAGAGAAAACCAACGAGTTTTATCAATTTGAAACCATTTTATAGGATATGCAAGCAGCACTATGGCGGAGATTTGTGCGAAAATGGGTGGGTTACCCTAAATCAGGACAATTTTCATAGTAGAATGAGGATGAGCCACTCATTGAGTATGTTTAAACATTGAATTAGCACGCCAAGAAATTGGATGCGGGTGTAAGTTCAGTCGCCAACAAAACATGAGAATATAATATTATATATATAATATATATATATAATATTATATTATAATCAAACATGGACCCAATGGAGGTATGACCGATTGAAGGCAGTATTGACTGGTTTCTAAGCATGGTTGTCATCCAGTTCGACGAATGGGCGACCACTGGGCTTCTCAACCGCTGCGATGACTCCGCCCCCAGCCGACTACGAACAGGTGTGCCAAGACAGAGGGGAGGCGTTGTGGATTACGATGAGTTTGTGATCTACAAACAGGCCTGGAAAAGTGGAAGCCCTTAGGAATTCACCCTGTCCATGTCTTCCGCATATACATTATATTATACATCAACTGAACCATGTGTGGAGACGTCCCCCCAAATGGGTGGGTGACGTTCTTAAATGGGAAGGTAGCTTATTGCAATTTCGTTGGCAAGAAAGCAGGCTCACAGTTGGAGGGAGAAAAGCCAACCAACCTACAACTTGGGCCGAACTTTGTCGTGGTACTGTCCAATTCTTCGGTCGTTTCCCTGTTTTATCATGTTTTATCTGATATCAGAGGTTTGCTATGATCTAAGATATATAGGATATGTAATGATATATACCCCATTTAAGATATGGGGTATGACCCAAAATTAATTGCCCGCTCATCCGGGATGGTCCGTCCAAATCATGGCCGATCTTGTGGCAGCTAGCGGCTTCCATCCACACCCCAAGCCCGGAAAACCACTTGTCAGATACCAGATATGCTTATCCATTTGCACACAGTTAGACCCATTGGGTATCATTGAGTGATTAAATGTCAGAAGTTCGCTTCCATTTCGGTATGTGTAAAAATGTTTGCTCCTCAAAACTGGATGGCTTCAGATCCTACGAATGACGTGAGTAAAATTGTGAATCCAGATCGTTCCTGGGACATTAATAGACTATAATCGACTCATAAAAAAAATCCAAGCCAGTTTCCATGTCCAGTAGAGTCTAGCAAGGAGTGAAATCAATTTTAAATCATCAGGTTTGCTCCAATTCATAGGTAAAAGCCACAAGGGGCACTTAAGATGGCACGGTAAAAATTGGTCATTTTACCTCCAGGCCCAAGCTGCGCTGCTCAGCTGTGTTCAGTCGGGACTGCGGCCCTGAAGCAACCGGACAGCCTAAGACCAATGCCATTGTATGGGGTTTAAACCAAATTTCTATGGGGTTTAAACCAAAGTAGAACAAAATATGGTGACGCTGGGGCAAACCCAATTGTTTGTACATATAATTTTTAAGGGTATCGTTTTTGGTAGCCTTCATTTATAGTAAAGTCTTTGGGTACATGGATTGTTGTGGTGTCTATGGCAACAGTTGTCTTGACCACCGGCTTCAGAGTTGTTCAGTTGTTAGATCATGTTAGATCATGTTGCATCAGTTGGACACAAAAAGTACGACAACTTTCGGATCACTTATTAGATATAGTACAACTTTTAATCTTTGGACCTGCAGTTGTGAGACCAGCTGTTGGTTGTTGGGTCAGCTGTTCTGATTGGAGGTTGCCACTTTTCTTTTTCGCGCTGAGGCCGCAGTTTATTGTGGACTACAAGCACACCGAATGTTGCACTTGTCGGAGTTGCATGGCAGATAGTCCCTAAGAAACAGCCATGATAGGTCTCAATCCCAGTTATTTTGGGCTGAAAAATACCCTAATCCTAATCACTATTGACCAGTTAGCGAAGACGTTCAATCGGGTGATATCACCTTGTGAAACAACTGGTAGGGGCCCATCTTTGTTTAAGTTATACATTGGCTAGCATTTCATTTAACAAAAGATTTGTCAGCTGTTTTGATCGCACACAAGACTGGTGACCTTTTCATGCGGTGTGAGCCGCTGTAATTGAAAGGTCTTCAGATGTCTTTGAAAAAAGGGTGCCCTGGTGCATCTGATTTATCAAGGTGCAGCAAATCTGCCAGAAGCGCTTGTGCATTCGAAATACGGCTCGACAGTGATCCACGGTTTGTTGAATAATTACTCATAATTACCCAATGAATCATAACATTTTGGGGTACTGCACCGGATTTTGGATCACACGTGTCCTCTCTAAAGGAAACAGCCTCAGTAGCAGGATTCACTCCTTGTTTGGTCGTTGCATAAACTGGCAGTTTCAACAACAGAAAAGCTGCTTTTCAACTGGCATCCATGAGACTTTGCTTTACTTTCCAAATTCTAGTGGTTTATGTCTCAATACATTGGGACACAAGAACTGCGCGATTTTGCAGGCAAGAATGTTCACCAGCCTCACTATTGGGGATCTCAACCTCTCCCGACAGGCTTTGTTTTTGCGGGAACAAATATCAGTTAAGGGTATCTGACATTGACTGTGACTATCATAAACAGATGTATATATATAATATTATATATTATATATATATTGTATATCATGTATACATATTATATACACAAGCAACTAGCAACAGGCTTTGAGGACATCCCCCTACTGCTGCTCGCTATGAGATTTGCTGCGAATCTTTTGGGCTTTCCTGCCCCTGGGCGAACAGAATGCGGCCAGAGCAGGAAAATGCTCGGCCTCAAGAAATCTGGTGCCACATTGAAAGTATTCCGCAGTCATGCAAGATGAGTGGTTCTGTAATATGAATGGAATTGGAAAGTGATCACCCAATAGATTCCCTATATAGTTTTGTTTAGTGTTTTTTTTTTGCGAAGGCGTGATAGTTCTTCGGGCTTTGGCAAATTCTGAATGCACCATACCATGTACATTCTTTAGTGCTTTCAATATCTTTCAACTCTGCCACTATTTTTTGTACTGTATTGTACATACTGTAAATGTTTGCGGGCTTGATACCAACTCATGCCTTTGTGGCGTCTGTGCCTGGGAGATGGGATGACCTGTCTATGACTACGGATGATGATGTGGTCCAGAGTGCACTGCATGGCCAGTGCTTATGGCTGTTTGGCCAATGCTGAAAGCTCTCAATTCTCAATGGTTTTTGGAGTCTCGTTCCAAGGCCGTGTATGGCAAATGTCGCCGCTAGCATTTGACAGGGATGATAAGCAATGGCAACTTTTTGTAAGGGTCAACTTGAGGACTCAGATCCATTGCACATCCGTTTTACCGTTTTACCTTCAATTACTTTACTTCGAGTGATCCCCACCATGACATTTATACGTTTTAATACTGGCAAATCTTCTGGCATTCTACCTGACATCTTAACTGGCATTCTCTCTGGCATACCTTCTGGCATTCTATCTGGCATATCTTCTGGCATTCTATCTGACATTTTATCTGGCATTCTCTCTGGCATACCTTCTGGCATTCTATCTGGCATAGCTTCTGGCATTCTATCTGACATATCTTCTGGCATTCTATCTGGCATATCTCATGGCATTTTATCTATCATATCTTCTGACTTTCTATCTGGCATATCTTCTGGCATTCGATCTGGCATTCTATCTGGCATATCTTCTGACATTCTATCTGGCATATCTTCTGGCATTCTATCTGGCCGTTGAGGTCCAGCAGTGCACACTGAGCTGGGAAGGTCCCAGGTTGAGGTCCAGCGGTGCACACTGAGCTCGGAAGGTCCCCGGTTGAGGTCCAGCGGTGCACACTGAGCTCGGAAGGTCCCAGGTTGAGGTCCAGCAGTGCACACTGAGCTCGGAAGGTCCCAGGTTGAGGTCCAGCGGTGCACACTGAGCTGGGAAATTGGCAAAGAGCTTGGCCAAGAGTTGGCAAGGCGGAAGTTGAGGTGGAAGTTGATGCAGACATGGTCGAGGAGAAACAGGCGGAGGAGAAGGAGGAGGAGGAGGACGAGGAGGAGGAAGAGGAGGAGGAGGAGGATAGCTAGCCGAGGAGGAGGAGGAGGAGAAGAACAACTGTGATAAAATATCTAACAACCCTCACCTGGCAGGTGGGGAAAAAACAACATCATTCATCCACGATCATGGCATTTCTCAAGTTGAGATGCTCATTTTGAAACGTTTTCAGCCGGACCCAGCCCCTTTCGGAGACGATCTGGACATAGAGGCTATGTTTACCTTTATTATCTGCCCAGTCTACCAAAATGTGGTACATATAGCAGCAGCACCAGCCAGAGCATGAATGACACGGCAGGAGACTGCACCTCAAAATTTAGAAGGGAACATGTACAGAAACACAAAAGATATTCAAACACCGGAAGTTTTCCTCTTAAATTATCATAAACTACCCTCTGGTAGTTTAACATAGCTATGGAAAATGGCTGAACATGGCCCAAGTATAGATGATTTACCTATGAAACATGGTGATGTTCCAGTTCGCTATGTTCGAAGGAAGTTTAGAAGTCAAACTTCCGACAATATGGACAGATGGAAAAGCAGAGGTGTGAAGAGTCAGAGAAGAGAAGAGAAGAAAAAAGAAGATCAGAGAAGAGAAAGAGTCAGAGGAAAGAAGATGCAGGTGCGCGAAAAGGTAGAAAAGTCGCGACTCACTCTGTTTTTCCAATGATTTGTGGCTCCGAAGGGTCGAAAAGTAGGCTCGCTAAAGCGACGGGTGCGGAGCCATCGGCCAGATGAGAGATGAAAAGTTGCACGCCGTTGTGGCGCGAAGCACGTTTCGAAGTCAAAAGTGTAAAAAACTGACGGTCTCAGACCACTTTTGGAAGTTGAGATGATGAAAAAATGCATGCCGTTGTGGTGCGAAGCACATTTTTCCAAGTGAAAATGTACAAAACACACCATGCTCGGAGCACTTTTGGAAGTTGAGATGTAGAAAAAGTGCACGCCATTGTGGCGGTAAGCACATTTCGAAGTCAAAATGTACAAAACAATTCAGTGTCGGAGCACTTTTGGAAGTTGAGATGTCGAAAACGTGCACGCCGTTGTGGCGCGAAGCACATTTCGAAGTCAAAATGTTAAAAACACCAGGGGTTCGGACCACTTTTGGACGTTCAGATGCCGTTTCGCGTGGCAGGCGCAAGGGATTCAGCACCTTGCCAAAAGTGAGCAAAACGTGAGGGTTTTGTAGAATGTCAAAAAACGATGGCAGGCGTGGGACATTTGAAGAGGATCTGGAAAGATGCATTTTCCGTGGCAGGCGCAGTACAAGATTCATCAGATATGTCTGGAGGTCAGGGCGCTGATTTCCTGAGAGGGGTTGCACTTTAGAGGGGTTTGCTAAGATGATTGTGCGTGACAGGTGCAGCACTTCGTATGACCTGGCCTCACTTTTTCCTGGCAGGCGCAGTACTGTAGACATATGGGCTGGAAAAAATGCGAAACGCATTGGTACGAGGCCGTGAGCTCTGCACTCAACTTTCCATTTTGAAGGAAGTCTCGCAGAATTGCTTCGTTTTGAATGTTGTCAACTTCGAAAAATGAGGAAGTCTCGCAGAATAGCTTCGTTTTTGATGTTGTCAAGTTCAAAAATTGAAGAAGTCTCACAGAATTGCTTCGTTTTTGACGTTGTCAACTTCGAACATTGACGAGGTCTCGCAGAATAGCTTCGTTTTCAAGCTTGCAGATAGACAGATAGTGACAACTACAGCTACAACTACAACTGCAACTACAACTACACGACTACAACTACAACTACAAATACATGTGCAAGTATTCTACGCTACATTGCACTACTACACTAACTATATTACACCACACTAATCACAGTACACTACACTAATCACAGTACACTACACTAATTACACTACAACAACACACCTACTGCAACAACTACAGCCACAAATTCAACTACAACTACACTACAGTACACTATACATCACTTTACTAATTACACTACACTACAGTACACTACAACTGCAACTGCTACTACAACACGCTGCACTACACTAATTACACTACACAACGCTACGCTACAACTACAACTACCACAACAGCTGCAAATTCAACCACAACTACACTACATTACGCGACGCTAATTACACCACACCACAACTACAACTACAGCTGCAACTGCAACTGTGCTACACTAATTACACTACACTACACCTACAACTCCACTTGCTTCACTACAACTACAACTGCAGATGCACTACAACACAGCACTACATCCAGCAGTTATGGGTGAGGTGACCACTGCAAAAACACAACTCCAATCACCTTTCGGCCCATCAGTGGATTCGCTCTGCCATCCGTGATTCACAACAACCAATCTCTCCTATAGGTTTCCTATTTTTGAAACTTCCGCCACCGCCTTGTGCGGCACCACTGGTAAGAATTATCAGAGAGTAAGCCCCTCGCACAGCAAGAAAGTGGCGGAGACTGGACTCCTGAAAAGTTCGCCGCGCAGCGCTGCAGAACTGCAGAAGGTCTGTTCGACGGTTCCTCGGTCTCACGTGAGATGTTGCCACACACGCGATGTAGGGACACCTACCGGCTATTGAATGATATTGACATGTTTTAACCACGATTAAATGGGGGAAATATCCAAACAGAACATATAAAAATCATATTGGGGAATCCAGCCACCATTGACTGGGACACTGCCAATATGAATATGACTGGGTAAAACGACGTGTGCATAGTTGGTTTATGTGTAGGGGCGGAATACTGGTTGTATGACTTGGAGCCTGGCGGGTTATCGTAAGGCAAGCAACTGGTGCAAGGTGGCCCTGGTGGGTTTGTTTGATGTTGTTTGGCTAGAGGGGTATTGCCAGCTCATTTCCCCGAACTT